TGATGGGCTGAGGCAGGCAACCCTCCACTGAGCCGCGGGTGGTGTGCATTTTATCGCTGGCTGAGCACAGTTACCCAATAGCGCCTGGGTCTTTGTCGTGAACTCCTGCCCGCAGGGAGCCTTCCATCACTTCACGTGACGGCCTCGAGGTGCACCTAGCCTGACACGAGCGCTGACAATGACGACTGTTGTTTTGTTCCTTGGAGTGAGCACGAGTCGCGTGCATTTGATTAATAAATAATACGCGTGTTTTTTACTCTGTGTGCGCGCAAACGAGTGAGTTCGTTCACACGCGTGTTCATGCGTGGATGTACATGTGTGTGCGTGCGTGGCCGTATGTGTTCATGTGTGTATGTGAACATTTGTGTGTGGGTTCATGTGTGGATGTACACGTGTGCCCTCGTGTGTGGCCACGCCTGGGTGAGTGGACACGCGTGTCCGTCGGTGCGTGGGGTGTACACGTGTGTGTTCATGCGTGTGTGTACACGACGTGTGTGTGTGTGTTACGTGTGTGCTCACAACGTCTGTGTGTGTACACCCAGTCATGCATTGCGTGGCCGGCCTGCATAGGCGCTCGCTAATAACACTTGCCCCAAGAGCCGGTGTGGCTACACGGGGGATCTTTGTGTATATAAGTGTGTGTGTGTATGTGTGTGTATGTATGTGTGTGTGTTGCGTTCGCGGGAATGTGTTTCCAGGTCCCCATTCACAAGTCGGATCATTATTTAGCCAGCACGTGACACTTGGCATCGGTGTGAGGGTGTGTGCGTGTAGTATTACATCCTATATACATACACAACTTCTTATTTCGTATGACTGATATAAATGCAGAGCAACAACTACACACACTCGTACACTCATACACACACATTGTACACACACACACACACTCAAACATACATACATACTTACACACACTCACCCATACACACACACCCATACACGCATACTCATACACACACTCACCCATACACACATACTTACACACACTCACCCATACACACACACCCATACACACATACTCATACACACACACTCACCCATACACATATACTTACACACACTCACCCATACACACACACTCATACATATGCCCATGCATGCCGATACATTCACGCTCGTGCATACAACAACAAACATCCCCTACACGGCATCGTGCTGTAAGGCGTTTGGGGAAAGTACCGTTAGCACCACGCCCGGCCACCTTTGTATTCCCATTGCTGATGTTCAAACGCCCAGGGGGACATTGGGGAGACCCAGGGTCGATGGACGTGTGAGATGCGGGTGGAGCGGTGGCGCAGCGATTAGCGCCCTGCACGACAAATCCGGCGACCCGAGTTCGATTCCCGCTCACGGTCAACAAAACCGGCGACGATTAACTCTGAACCGGTCCTGGGCTTCCTCTTAGGTGAACTCAGCCTTGAATGAGTACCTCGTGTGTAAACATCGCCACTTTGGAGACAAAGGCGGCCGGGCGTGGTTCTGGCCACCCACCCCCTCGTGTCCCTATGCTCGTCAACAGCGCTTGCCCCAACAGTCTGTTAAAGGCTATACGGGTGATCTTTGTTTGAGGGTGGGGTGTGTGTGTGTGTATGAGGTATGTAGGTTGTGTGTGTGTGGGTGGTGTGATGGGGGTGTGTGTGTGTGTGTATGAGGTATGTAGGTTGTGTGTGTGTGGGTGGTGTGATGGGTGTGTGTGTGTGTGTGGTATGTAGGTTGTGTGTGTGTGGGTGGTGTGATGGGGGTGTGTGTGTGTGTATGAGGTATGTAGGTTGTGTGTGTGTGGGTGGTGTGATGGGGGTGTGTGTGTGTGTGGTATGTGTAAGGTATGAGAGTGTGTTTACACACAATCTCACCTTACACACACCTCGACTAACGTTACACACACCTCGATGCCCGTTACATAAGGACCGCGTCAATGACCAATTAGGGGCGCAGGGCGTTAGCTCGAGGTCCTGCAGCTCACAAAGAGGCGCCTCTCCTGCCGCGCAGGAGAAGGAAGGGTTCAATTCCAGACCCCGGCGTGATGCATAGCGGGCGTCGTTCATCGCCTCGTCCGTCACCTCTTCATTCGTCATCGCATCCCAACGTGAACATTTATCATCCTCCTCCGCCTCCTCGTCCACTTCCTTCACCTCCTCAGCCGTCACCTCATCACCCTGTCCACCTACCCAACACCCACCTCCTTCCTCACCTCCACTTGCACAACACCCACCTCTTCCATCACTTCTTCCACCTCCATCACCTCCACCTGCACAACATCCACCTCCTCCATCACCTCCTCCATCACCCTGTCCACTTGCACAAGACCCACCTCCTCCATCACCTCCTCCACATCCCTCACCTCCACCTGCACAACACAGCTCCTTCCTCGCCGCCTCAACATGTACCTCCTCACCACCCGCCTACTCAGCATCTACCTCCACAACCTCATCTACCTACTCAACACCCTTTACAACCTCAACATTTACACCCTCCATCACCTCCTCCACATCAACAACACCCATCTCCCTCACCTCCTTCACCACCTACTCCATCACCACCTCCATCAGCTCCTCCACCTACACAACCTCCTCCTCCTCCACCTCTTCGTCGCTGATCTCGTCGCGATCGCGTCTCGTGCCACGCCCCCCCCCCTCCTCTCGTGCCCCCCCCCCCACTCCATCTGTAAGCGATTGTCGGTGAACAAACACGGACACGCGGAGGGGGGGGAACAGAGGAGACCGCGGGTCGCGTGCGTCATCATCTCTGCCCGAGTCACGATGACGAGGAGGATGATGATGGGGATGACGGTGATGGGCGCGCTAATTCGCTGCGATTGAACTCTTCCTGCTCCGTGCCCCCCCCCACCAACCCCATCGTCTCCCCCCCCCCCCCCCCCCCATCGGTAATCGTTCCCGGCGGCTCGGGGCTCAAAGCGGCAATTCTCCTCCCTCGTGTGGAACATCAACACCGCCTTCGTCACCCACTCGGCCCGAGCGCTTGCTGCTGTAGCTGCTGCTGTCACTGCTACAGCAGAAGCAGCTACAGCTGCAGCTGTAGCTGCTTCTGCTGTAGCTGCTGTAGCTGCTGCTGTCACTGCTGTAGCTGCTGCTGTAGCTGCTGCTGCTGTAACTGCTGTAGCTGCTGCTGTCACTGCTGTAGCTGCTGCTGTAGCTGCTGCTGCTGTAGCTGCTGTAGCTGCTGCTGTCACTGCTGTAGCTGCTGCTGCTGTAACTGCTGTAGCTGCTGCTGTCACTGCTGTAGCTGCTGCTGTAGCTGCTGCTGCTGTAACTGCTGTAGCTGCTGCTGCGGCATGTGGAGTGTGCGCAATGCGACGCGTGGTGGCGAGCGGTGGCGCACTGGTTACAGCGCTGCGTTACGAACCCGGCGACCCGAGTTCGACTCCTGCTCACGACCAATAAGAGTAGCGATTATCTGAACCAGTCCTGGGCCTTCACCGAGGTCGACTCAGCCTTAAATTAATACCTCGTGCGGTGTATAAACATCGCCACTGGGGAGACAAAGGCGGCCGTTGGTCCTGGCCACCCGCACCCTCTCGTCGACCGGCCTTCATCGGTGCTCGCTAATAGTGAGTTCCAACAGTCTGTTCAGGCTATACGAGGGGATCTCTCTCTGCCTTTTGGAGTGATGCTACTGATGGTAGCAGTGGTGGTCGTGGTGGTGATGGTTGTGAGGATGGGGGGGCGGGGAGCGGGGTACAGGCGGGTGGCGGAGGGAGCGGGGGAGCAGGGGGGCGGGAGGGTTCGTTTTGTCTCGATTTTGTGTTTTTTGTTGTCCAAGGTTTGGGGCAGGGGGGGGGGGTGACCACTTTGATTGTTCCGCTTGCGCCGTGGGGGGCACAACGCGGCCACAAGGAGGCGATTGTGCGCGGGTCCGCCCCCCCGCCCCCCCCCCCCGCTCCCCCATCCCCCCCGCAGAGTCGTCTCAATAGCAAGAAGGGGCCCCCCAGGAGAGACGCGGAGACGGCCGCAGGGAGACGTGACGAGAGAGATGCGCATAGACATAGAGACACGGAGAGACACGGAGAGACACGGAGACAGGGAGATCGACACGGGGTGACCACGAGGACACGAAGACGTGGGGGGGGGGGACACGTCCACACGAGGAATGCAGACACAGAGACACAGAGATAGCCTTGTGGGGTGGGGGACTCTAAAGAAGGTGGGGGGTGGGGGGGGGACTGCACAACGCACGTGTTGCTCACGGGTGGAGACCCCCCCCCATCACCCCCTCCCCTCCCTCCTTCTCCCCCCCCCCTTTTCCTCCGGGCATTCATTGCGCAGTCTGCTTAATGAGCTCACGCTTTAATTGCCGCGTGCCCAGCGCTCGGGAGCGGGGCTGGGTGTAGAATGAGTTGATTATAGTCGAGGAGGGGGGGGATTAACACACATACCTACACACAAAGATAAAGATCCCCCGTCTAGCCTTCACATACATACTGTTGGGGCAAGTGCTGTTAGCGAGCACCTATGAAGGCCGGCACGGCACACGCCCGGCCGCCTTTGTCTCTCCAGTGGCGATGTTTACACACCCGTATCAGGTACTATTTTTTAGGCTGAGTCGACCTAAGGGAGGCCCAGGACCAGTTAAAATGGTCGTCACTGTTATTGGTCGTGAGCAGGAATCGAACTCGGGTAGCCGGGCTCGTAGCGCAGCGCGCTAACCTCTGCACCACCGCTCCCCGGGTGGCACAGCGGTTAGCAAGTTCTGTAGCTCGCTCACACACACTCACTCGTGCACTCACTCACACACTCAGCAGCACACACACACAGAGAGACTCACAGAGACCCCCCCCCTCTCCCCCACGCACTCAAACACCCCGAAACCCCTGCCCGCCTCCACCCCGCACCACTTCACCATCAACTGCCCCCCCAACACCCCCCCACCCCACCGTCTCCCTCCCCTCTGCTGCCTTCTCTCATCTTCCTCCCTCTCCTCTCTTCCTCCCCCCTCCCCTCCACCCCATCTCCTCCCCTCTTCCTCTCTCGCTCCCCTCCCTCCTTTCCTGGACTCTAATTCGCGACTCCCCTCGCTCGCACGGCACAACGCGGAGTGAGCGCCAGGCGGAGAGCGCGGGCAGTGGAGAGAGTGACAGAGACGAGAGGCAGTGGAGAGAGAGGCAGGGGAGAGAGGCAGGAGACGAGAGGCAGGGGAGATAGTGACAGAGACGAGAGGCAGGAGAGAGACAGAGACGAGAGGCAGAGAAGAGGCAGGGGAGAGAGTGACAGAGACGAGAGGCAGTGGAGAGAGTGACAGAGACGAGTGGCAGGGGAGAAGCAGGGAGAGTTGGAGGAGAGCAGGGAGGGGAGACGCAGAGATCGAATTAAACTCGAATAGCGGCACCAGCAGGAGAACGTCATCCTCACCTCGTCATATCCCAGGTAAGTGCCTCTTCCTCATCTCCCAAGCACCTCACCCATTATCTTTCAATAATTTCTCCCCACACACCCACTGACCTCACAAAGATCCCCCATGTAGCCTTAACAGACTGTAGGGAAAGTGCTGTTAGCGAGCACCTATGAAGGCCGGCACGGCACACGAGGGGATGGGTGGCCAACACCACGCCCGGCCGCCTTTATATCCCTCGTGGCGATGTTTACACATCGCACCAGGTACTCATTTGAGGCTGAATCGATCCAGGGGAGGCTCAGGACCGGTTCAGATAATCATCACTGGCGTTTGCCATGAGCTGGAATTGAACCCGAAAGACAAAGATCCCCCATGTAGCCTTAACAGACTGTAGGGGCAACTGCCGTCACCACACGCACACTCACTCGCATCTTCATCTCTCCTCACCTCCCCAGGCTGTCGTCTCCCTCTTGAAGCCATGCTCCATCCGCTGCTCGCCTCGTGGTGTCCGCTGCTGCTGCTGCTGCTCATGGCGTCTGGGGTCCGGGTTCGAGCCCAGGACCCACTGGGTTCACCGGTAAGTCGCGCCTCGCCGCTCGCCCAACCGCTATACAATCATCCTTCCGGGGTCGGTAAAATTCGTACCACTTTCTGGGGAGGTACTGAGTAGCCAGCCGATGAATGTACTGGCTCCCGCCACGGGGCTGTGGAATTTCCTCGCACTAGCTTCGTGCCGTGAAAGTAGATGTTCGAGACACTTCGAGTTGAGCGTTGACCGCGCGCGTCAAGAATCATCGATTCGAATTGACGATTAGGCTCGCGTCAAACGCTACCAATCGATTACATCTGTGCGACTTGTCCTCGGGCGAGAGGGAACGTTCCCTGAGCGCGAACGGCTCCCTGCTGAGACGCGGAGCTGAGACGCGGGCATCACTCGCCAATCGCGGGGCGTGCCCTGCGGGGTTCCACTGAGAGACAGACTTGACTTTTAAACAACTTTTATTGCCGCCAGCAGCAACAGCACTGGAGGCGATTCCGATATGAAATTCAGTCACCAGCAAACAAATAAACACTATAAATCCACGCGATGTGGCGCTAAATGCAACGCGCACAACACGAAAGAAAGTCACGTGGCGGCGGTGGTGGTGGTCATCGCGCACGCCACGGTGACGAGCGAGCGCTCAGAAGGTGAACACGAGAGACAGAGAGAGGAGGAGGAGCACGTGGATCCGAGAGCAGGCACAGAGTCGAGATACCGCTAACAACAAAAAGTAATTGAGATTGGGCAAGACACGGCACGGCTAGGAATCATAATTGTAATAAGACAAAAAAAATACAAATCGTTATTCATATTTACTTTGCGTTTTTAAGATCACGTGGATTAGAGAACACTGCGCAGGGTAAAGACACCGTTAAGAGAAAAAAGTAATTAAGATTAGCCAAGAAACTTCACGGCTAGGAATCATAATACTAATCAATAATCGTAATTAATATTTAATTAATTTGACTATTTACTTAGGAGAGCCACGCTGAGTCGCTTAACTCATGTTCAGGAGGGTTCTGTCACTGCTGCTGCTGCTGTCGCTGCTGCTGCTGCATTGGGTTTTTATTTTCACATGTTTCCAAGGCAATGAATGGTGAGTTGTGTTTATTGTGCTGTACACGTGGGTGGGGGAAACCGGAGCACCCGCCCTCCCACTTGTATAAACGCTCGCTTAGTTGGCGGAAAACATCTTCATTTATAGAGGACGGCAGAGCTTGGGCAATTGTTTGGAAGCACCGGCAAACCACCGCGTGGTTCCTCCTCCTGGCGCCTCTGAGTCGTCTTCCCTCCCTCTCTGTCCGAGAGAACGAACACTGCGTGGCGACGTGGAACGATTTGAGATGATGATAATTCATCATCATCATCACCATCTGATCATCATTATTCCACTCATTTCGTGAGAACTGCTTTGTGTGTTTAGTTTGTTCTCCCTGGCCCGCACCTCCGATTCGCGCGGTTGGCTACGTACGGTGTGAAATAAGTTAAACATGCATCCACACGTGAATACATACGTGATTATTCACATTCATTAACTATTGTCGCGGCCCTCCCAAGCTTCACACACAAAGCCTTGACGCCGCCGTGACCCTGGACCGTGACCCCGTCCCCCCGGGAACCCCGTGTGCCTCCACGCGTGCTGTTGTTTTCACGAACTCGCCGATGGAACGTTTTGATAGCTCTAGCATGAGGATGCTGACGATGCTGCTGATGATAAGTAAATAATAACTGTGCGCATGCCACGTTGTGTATAATTATTATCGCACCGGAATGTAAATCCCTAAGGCGCCGGCTCCATTCGATCGCTCGACGCGGGAGTTCAACCAATGGGGCGAGTTTCTCAAATCCTTCTCGCACCCCCCCTGTTCGCTCGCTGGGCCCCCGTCCACCCCACATGGGCCCACCACGCTATGTCTACGATGGACAGGTCGCGAGCGGTGGGGTAAAGTGTGGGTACTTCCACTTCTTCCACGCCGTCTGGCCAGCGTGGAAGAGTAGGCCAAAATTAGCCACGAGTGGTTCCCTCCAGAGTGCTCTCCAGTGGAATCCTTTCCGCCAGCAGTGGCCTCAGTGAGCACTTGCAGGGCTGCGCCTTAATCTGTTATGTATCCGCGAAAACCCAAAACTCTCTTCAGGAGGGTCCTGCTACATGGGGATGTTTGGCCGATTCAATTAAACTCAAAGCCCCGCACAGATAGAATCAATAATCTGTTTTGCTTTACTGCCATCTCCTGACCACCTCGCCTCCAACACGAGGTATTCCCAGGCAAACTCCCATGCGAGCACGAATCAGGCGAAACCCCGCTGAGCGCCCGAGATCCGGAGGTGATTGGGCGCGTTCGCGGGTGATTTGATCTGCGCGTGATCCACCAATCCCGCATAGAGCAAAATAAAATACGGGGACCGGCGGTTTCCCGGACCCCTCCCGCTCATCCCCCATCTTCCCTTCCTCGCACCCCCCCCCCCCTCTCTCTTCCCGCAGTGCCCCGAGGGATACACCTGGGACAGCGAGATTGAGCAGTGCAGAGGTGAGAGGTGGCAGGGGTGATGATGGTTCCGATGATGATCGTGGTGCTAAATGATGATGTGTGTTTTGACCATGATCATGGTGGTGATGGTTGATGATGATGTTGCTGTTGCTGTTGGCGATGACGATAATGTTGTTGGGGACTTCGATGCTAGTTATAATGATGATGGTGACGATTACGTGATGATGTTACTGCTGGTTATGCCGCTGATACTGTTCGTACCTACAGTATTGGTGATGCCGGCTGTGAGTTTCGATGAAGGTGAATATATTCGTTGTGCAGCTGCCACTGCTAATCACGACGACGACGACGACGATAATAACGATACGCCCCTAACTCAGAGGTTTTAAACCTCTTTTGGTATGGCGACCCCCGAACCAAAAAAGACCCACCGGTCCCACCACCAGCCCAGGTCACCGAGTCCGCAATACACAAGAGATCGGCACGTGTACACCCTGTAGACAATAAGTCGCGCGATTCACGTTGTGTATCGGTGTGCTTTGCCGTCGCAACGTGGCGCCGAAGTTGCCGGCGCGCATTCAACATTTCTCCTGCACGGTATCCACGCCGCCCGTCCACCGCCCCCCCCCTCACCCCGAGATACCGCGGCCCTGACCCCTCACCCCGAGATACCGCGGCCCTGACCCCTCACCCCGAGATACCGCGGCCCTGACCCCTCACCCCGAGATACCGCGGCCCTGACCCCGAACCCCGAGATACCGCGGCCCTGACCCCTCACCCCGAGATACCGCGGCCCTGACCCCGAACCCCGAGATACCGCGGCCCTGACCCCTCACCCCGAGATACCGCGGCCCTGACCCCTCACCCCGAGATACCGCGGCCCTGACCCCTCACCCCGAGATACCGCGGCCCTGACCCCGAACCCCGAGATACCGCGGCCCTGACCCCTCACCCCGAGATACCGCGGCCCTGACCCCTCACCCCGAGATACCGCGGCCCTGACCCCTCACCCCGAGATACCGCGGCCCTGACCCCTCACCCCGAGATACCGCGGCCCTGACCCCTCACCCCGAGATACCGCGGCCCTGACCCCTCACCCCGAGATACCGCGGCCCTGACCCCTCACCCGAGATACCGCGGCCCTGACCCCGAACCCCGAGATACCGCGGCCCTGACCCCGAACCCCGAGATACCGCGGCCCTGACCCCTCACCCCGAGATACCGCGGCCCTGACCCCTCACCCCGAGATACCGCGGCCCTGACCCCGAACCCCGAGATACCGCGGCCCTGACTCCTCACCCCGAGATACCGCGGCCCTGACCCCGAACCCCGAGATACCGCGGCCCTGACCCCTCACCCCGAGATACCGCGGCCCTGACCCCTCACCCCGAGATACCGCGGCCCTGACCCCTCACCCCGAGATACCGCGGCCCTGACCCCGAACCCCGAGATACCGCGGCCCTGACCCCTCACCCCGAGATACCGCGGCCCTGACCCCTCACCCCGAGATACCGCGGCCCTGACCCCGAACCCCGAGATACCGCGGCCCTGACCCCGAACCCCGAGATACCGCGGCCCTGACCCCGAACCCCGAGATACCGCGGCCCTGACCCCTCACCCCGAGATACCGCGGCCCTGACCTCTCACCCCGAGATACCGCGACCCTGACCCCGAACCCCGAGATACCGCGGCCCTGACCCCGAACTCCGCGTCCGCAGACATAGACGAGTGCCTGACGATCGCCGACGCGTGCAAGGGCGGCCTGCGCTGCGTCAACAACTTCGGGGGCTACCTCTGCCTGCCGCACTCCGCCACGCTCATCTTCACGGTGGGCACCGAGGAAGGTGGGGCCGCCCAGGACGCCCACAGGGGGACGCAGCCCCCCGCGGCACCCCCGCGAACCCAGGGGACCTCCACCGGGCCCCCTTCGGTTCTCCGTCCCCCCGCGGCGCTGCCCGCGCTGGAGCGGTTGGCGTTCAGCGCGGGGGAGCTGGTCGAGCCGCCCCCCGGCCCCCCGGCCCCCCGAGCCCAGGGCCCCTACGCGGACCCCCCGGTGAGGGCGCCCCACGTGGTCTGCTCGCCGGGGTACGAGGGAGACTCTGCCGGGCGCTGTGTGGGTGAGGCCCCCCCCCCCCCCCACCACCACCACCTCGAGCAGCTTTCTTCTCTCCTCCCTCACGGACTCCACTCCTCTCCTCCACCCGGTTCCCTCCTCTCAATCCCCCTCCTCCACCTTACCCCTCTTCTCAATCCCCCTACTCCACCTTACCCCTCCTCCACCTTACCCCTCCTCCACCTGACCCCTCCTCTCCATCCCCCTACTCCACCTTACCCCTCCTCCACCTTACCCCTCCTCCACCTTAACCCCTCTTCTCAATCCCCCTCCTCCACCTTACCCCTCCTCTCGATCCCCCTCCTCCACCTTACCCCTCCTCTCCATCCCCCTCCTCCACCTTACCAGTCCTCCACCTTACCCCTCCTCTCCATCCCCCTCCTCCACCTTACCCCTCCTCCACCTTACCCCTCCTCCACCTTACCCCTCCTCTCCATCCCCCTCCTCCACCTTCCCCCTCCTCCACCTTACCCCTCCTCCACCTTACCCCTCCTCTCCATCCCCCTCCTCCACCTTACCCCTCCTCCACCTTACCCCTCCTCCACCTCACCCCTCCTCTCCATCCCCCTCCTCCCCCTCACCCCTCCTCCCCCTTACCAGTCCTCCACCTTACCCCTCCTCTCCATCCCCCTACTCCTCCTTACCCCTCCTCCACCTTACCCCTCCTCCACCTTAACCCCTCCTCCACCTCACCCCTCCTCTCCATCCCCCTCCTCCACCTTACCCCTCCTCCACCTTACCAGTCCTCCACCTTACCCCTCCTCTCCATCCCCCTACTCCTCCTTACCCCTCCTCCCCCTTACCCCTCCTCCACCTTACCCCTCCTCCACCTTACCCCTCCTCCACCTTAACCCCTCCTCCACCTCACCCCTCCTCTCCATCCCCCTCCTCCACCTTACCCCTCCTCCACCTTACCCCTCCTCCACCTTACCCCTCCTCCACCTTACCCCTCCTCCACCTTACCCCTCCTCTCCATCCCCCTCCTCCACCTTACCCCTCCTCCACCTTACCCCTCCTCTCCATCCCCCTCCTCCACCTTACCCCTCCTCCACCTTACCCCTCCTCCACCTCACCCCTCCTCTCCATCCCCCTCCTCCACCTTACCCCTCCTCCACCTTACCAGTCCTCCACCTTACCCCTCCTCTCCATCCCCCTACTCCTCCTTACCCCTCCTCCACCTTACCCCTCCTCCACCTTAACCCCTCCTCCACCTCACCCCTCCTCTCCATCCCCCTCCTCCACCTTACCCCTCCTCCACCTTACCAGTCCTCCACCTTACCCCTCCTCTCCATCCCCCTACTCCTCCTTACCCCTCCTCCCCCTTACCCCTCCTCCACCTTACCCCTCCTCCACCTTACCCCTCCTCCACCTTAACCCCTCCTCCACCTCACCCCTCCTCTCCATCCCCCTCCTCCACCTTACCCCTCCTCCACCTTACCCCTCCTCCACCTTACCCCTCCTCCACCTTACCCCTCCTCCACCTTACCCCTCCTCTCGATCCCCCTCCTCCACCTTACCCCTCCTCCCTCCCCGCTGCGCCCTGCTCACTCCCCCTACCCGGGTCATAGATCTCGGTTTTCCTTTTCCCTGCGCGTGATGCGTCGTGGTGGTTGTCACGTGACTGGTGCCAGGGCCGCCAGGGGTGTTAGTGGCTCCGTGCGTCGTGCCTCAAGGCAACACGCCCCTGGGTTCTAGTCTCAACTCGGACGCCTCTCCGTGTGGAGGAGTGTGCATGCTCTATCCCCCCTGTTATGCGTGCATTCCCTCCGGGTTCTCTAGCCTCCTCCCAAAGTTAAACACGCACGCACAATGTAATCGGTATCAACCGAAACATCCCAATTTAGAAAAATTACCTGCAAATTACTCATTTGGGATCTCACGCTCAGCAGCAGCAGCAGCTCCCTGACTGCGATCGCTTGGCGGGACCCTCCTGCAACTCGGCGAGGCGCTCCTGGGAAAACTAACATAATATAAATTAATAATCATGTTTGATTACACGAGAACGCTTGTGTTGTTTAGCGATTTTCCGCTTTAAGAAGTTGGCAAGACTGTGTGTCTCCCGGTATATCTACAATGTGTTTCCCCATTGTTGTCTCCCTTGCGCCTCCGTGTGTCTCGCACCTGTGTGTGTCCCGTGTCTCCCTGTGTATCACGCCTGTGTGTGTCCCGTGTCTCTGTGTGTCTCACGCCTGTGTGTGTCCCGTGTCTCTGTGTGTCTCACGCCTGTGTGTGTCCCGTGTCTCTGTGTGTCTCACGCCTGTGTGTGTCCCGTGTCTCTGTGTGTCTCACGCCTGTGTGTGTCCCGTGTCTCTGTGTGTCTCACGCCTGTGTGTGTCCCGTGTCTCTGTGTGTCTCACACCTGTGTGTGTCCCGTGTCTCTGTGTGTCTCACACCTGTGTGTGTCCCGTGTCTCTGTGTGTTTCACACCTGTGTGTGTCCCGTGTCTCCGTGTGTCTCACACCTGTGTGTGTCCCGTGTCTCTGTGTGTCTCACACCTGTGTGTGTTCTGTGTCTCCGTGTGTCTCACACCTGTGTGTGTCCCGTGTCTCTGTGTGTCTCACACCTGTGTGTGTCCCGTGTCTCTGTGTGTCTCACGCCTGTGTGTGTCCCGTGTCTCTGTGTGTCTCACGCCTGTGTGTGTCCCGTGTCTCTGTGTGTCTCACGCCTGTGTGTGTCCCGTGTCTCTGTGTGTTTCACACCTGTGTGTGTCCCGTGTCTCTGTGTGTCTCACACCTGTGTGTGTCCCGTGTCTCTGTGTGTCTTACACCTGTGTGTGTCCCGTGTCTCTGTGTGTCTCACACCTGTGTGTGTCCCGTGTCTCTGTGTGTCTCACACCTGTGTGTGTCCCGTGTCTCTGTGTGTCTCACACCTGTGTGTGTCCCGTGTCTCTGTGTGTCTCACACCTGTGTGTGTCCCGTGTCTCTGCGTGTCTCACACCTGTGTGTGTCCCGTGTCTCTGTGTGTCTCACACCTGTGTGTGTCCCGTGTCTCTGTGTGTTTCACACCTGTGTGTGTCCCGTGTCTCTGTGTGTCTCACACCTGTGTGTGTCCCGTGTTTCTGTGTGTCTCACACCTGTGTGTGTCCCGTGTCTCTGTGTGTCTCACACCTGTGTGTGTCCCGTGTCTCTGTGTGTCTCACACCTGTGTGTGTCCCGTGTATCTGTGTGTCTCACACCTGTGTGTGTCCCGTGTCTCTGTGTGTCTCACACCTGTGTGTGTCCCGTGTCTCTGTGTGTCTCACACCTGTGTGTGTCCCGTGTCTCTGTGTGTCTCACACCTGTGTGTGTCCCGTGTCTCTGTGTGTCTCACACCTGTGTGTGTCCCGTGTCTCTGTGTGTCTCACACCTGTGTGTGTCCCGTGTCTCTGTGTGCCTCACACCTGTGTGTGTCCCGTGTCTCTGTGTGTCTCACACCTGTGTGTGTCCCGTGTCTCTGTGTGTCTCACACCTGTGTGTGTCCCGTGTCTCTGTGTGTCTCACACCTGTGTGTGTCCCGTGTCTCTGTGTGTCTCACACCTGTGTGTGTCCCGTGTCTCCTGTGTGTCTCACACCTGTGTGTGTCCCGTGTCTCTGTGTGTCTCACACCTGTGTGTGTCCCGTGTCTCTGTGTGTCTCACACCTGTGTGTGTCCCGTGTCTCTGTGTGTCTCACACCTGTGTGTGTCCCGTGTCTCTGTGTGTCTCACACCTGTGTGTGTCCCGTGTCTCTGTGTGTCTCACACCTGTGTGTGTCCCGTGTCTCCGTGTGTCTCACACCTGTGTGTGTCCGTGTCTCCGTGTGTCTCACGCCTGTGTGTGTCCCGTGTTCTCCGTGCGTCTCCCCCGTGTCTCCTACATGTGTCTCCCTCGTGTCTCCGTGTGTCTCACACCTGTGTGTGTCCCGTGTCTCCGTGTGTCTCACACCTGTGTGTGTCCGTGTCTCCGTGTGTCTCACACCTGTGTGTGTCCCGTGTCTCCGTGTGTCTCACACCTGTGTGTGTCCGTGTCTCCGTGTGTCTCACACCTGTGTGTGTCCCGTGTCTCCGTGTGTCTCACACCTGTGTGTGTCCCGTGTCTCCGTGTGTCTCACACCTGTGTGTGTCCGTGTCTCCGTGTGTCTCACGCCTGTGTGTGTCCGTGTCTCTGTGTGTCTCACGCCTGTGTGTGTCCGTGTCTCCGTGTGTCTCACACCTGTGTGTGTCCCGTGTCTCCGTGTGTCTCACACCTGTGTGTGTCCGTGTCTCCGTGTGTCTCACACCTGTGTGTGTCCCGTGTCTCCGTGTGTCTCACACCTGTGTGTGTCCCGTGTCTCCGTGTGTCTCACACCTGTGTGTGTCCGTGTCTCCGTGTGTCTCACGCCTGTGTGTGTCCGTGTCTCTGTGTGTCTCACGCCTGTGTGTGTCCGTGTCTCCGTGTGTCTCACACCTGTGTGTGTCCGTGTCTCCGTGTGTCTCACGCCTGTGTGTGTCCCGTGTTCTCCGTGCGTCTCCCCCGTGTCTCCTACGTGTGTCTCCCTCGTGTCTCCGTGTGTCTCACACCTGTGTGTGTCCGTGTCTCCGTGTGTCTCACGCCTGTGTGTGTCCGTGTCTCTGTGTGTCTCACACCTGTGTGTGTCCGTGTCTCCGTGTGTCTCACACCTGTGTGTGTCCGTGTCTCCGTGTGTCTCACGCCTGTGTGTGTCCCGTGTTCTCCGTGCGTCTCCCCCGTGTCTCCTACGTGTGTCTCCCTCGTGTCTCCGTGTGTCTCACACCTGTGTGTGTCCCGTGTCTCGTGTTCTCCGCGCGTCTTCCCCGTGTCTCCTACGTGTGTCTCCCTCGTGTCTCCGTGTGTCTCACACCTGTGTGTGTCCCGTGTCTCGTGTTCTCCGCGCGTCTCCCCCGTGCCTCCTACGTGTGTCTCCCTCGTGTCTCCGTGTGTCTCACTCCTGCGTGTGTCCCGTATCTCCGTGTGTCTCACGCCCGTGTGTGTCCCGTGTTCTCCGCGCGTCTTCCCCGTGTCTCCTACGTGTGTCTCCCTCGTGTCTCCGTGTGTCTCCTACGTGTGTCTCCCTCGTGTCTCCGTGTGTCTCACTCCTGCGTGTGTCTCCGCCCGCGTTGTCTCCCCCCACCCCGTGTAGACGTGGACGAGTGTGCCCGCGGCTCGCACCGCTGCCGCGCCGGCCAGCGGTGCGTGAACGAGGCGGGCAGCCACAGCTGCCGCTGCCCGGATGGCTTCACGCTGCTGGGCGCGCAGTGCGTGGGTGAGTACCACGTGGGGTCGGGGTTGGGGCAGTGTCGGATTATCGTAGTAGCAGTAGTAAAAGTAGCTACACGTGATGCTACGGGTCCCGCACTTTCAAGGGCCCCGCGCTAAATGCTTTCAAGCTATCAATTCCGGTTCAGTGATTCTGCACTTGCTATATTACTATAGTACTATGCTGCCTTAAACTTTTACGAACGACTGGGTGTTTAAGGTTAGCGATTTGTCGTATTATCTGGCTGTATAGCGAATGAAAACATACAACAACTTTACTATGCAAGTCAAAAAATTGTGTTTTAATATTTATGTCTTTTTTAGGGCCCCTTTATAACATCATGATACAGGCCCTGCACTAGCTTAATCCGGCACTGGGTGGGGGGGGTATGCCCGGTGGGGGAGGGGGGCCTAGGTTTGGATTAGGACTGCTCAATGGTATTGGCATCTCGGGCTGGTGTCTGAGTCTGGACTGGCAATGGGGGTCTGGGAGCCCGCATTTTGCACCGGGATTCAGAGCGCGGTGAGAGGTGGCAACGGGCTTCATCCAGCAGTGGATTGATCATGGCTGCTGCTGCTGATACAGATTGCAAGCAGGGCCAAGACTAGGACTGGGGTTTGCGACTGGGACCCAGGGTCTGGGTTAAGAGCGGGTGCTTGATCCCATCTCTACCCCCCCCCCGACCCCTGCCCGCACAGACGTGGATGAGTGTCGCTTGGGCCTCTGCTCCCACCAGTGCCTCAACTCGCCCGGCTCGTTCCGCTGCGCATGCAGCATCGGGTTCAGCCTCGCGGCCGACAACCGCACCTGCACAGGTACCATACACCTGTACAGGATACCACACACCTGCACAGCACCACGACCACACACCTGTACAGGTACCATACACCTGTACAGAATGCCACACACCTGCACGGGTACCATACACCTGTACAGGTGCCATACACCTGTACAGGGTACCACGACCACACACCTGCGCAGGTACCACAGCCTCACACGCCCACATGCCATCGTGGACGCAAAGTGATTGACCCCTGCATTGTTGCCACCCTTGGGTGACCCCATCCCCCCCCCAACATAGTTGACCTCATATGGTGCACGCCGTGTGTTGGTCACCTTGGTTGACCTTGCAGACCTGGACGAGTGCGAGGTGGAGCGCCCCTGCTCGCAGAACTGCCTCAACCTCTACGGCTCCTTCCTGTGCCGCTGTGACAGCGGCTTCGAGCTGGACGGGGACCAGAGGTCATGCCGAGGTGAGAGGTCATGCAGCGGAATTCTTGAATCCATCTTTGTGGAGCTTTGTGCGCATGGTGGTTTTTTTTTGTTTAATCCGCTTGCTTCTGGCGCGAAGCCAAACTCTCGTCACTAATGGCGTTGGTACAAACAAAATATCCCAGTGTAGCAGGACCCTCTTGAACGCGAATCTTCAGGCTCACACTCTCCTGGTGAATTAAAAAAAAAGTATGTTTACTAATTGTTTTCATTAAAATACATCACCTGGAAATTCCCTGGATTCAACGTCTGGTTTGCAAGCGTATCCAGGGGGTCGATGGAGTTGCTGATCGCAGTGATGATGGGATTAAAAGTATTGATGATTATAGTAATGATCATAATGACAGCAGTAAAGATGATTGTATTGTGACTGTTGGCGATGACGATGATGGTGGTATGAGTGATAGATGATGATTGGTGGGCATTGCGACTCTTCGATGGTTGAAGAAGAGAATATCGAACACTCACACGAGAGTGATTTTAATGTTGTGGTGGTGATACTAGTGATGATCATCATCATCACGTGGTATGTCTGATCATCTGAGCAAAGCCCTCTAAATAATCTGGGTCCACAATTTGACTTATATCCCAGTGATCCCCCGTGTCTCCGTGAAACTCCTGTCCCCCCAACACCCCTGTGTCCACTGAACCCCTACAGCCCCCATGGTTCTATGTATCCCCTTCCCTACCTGCCCCCGCTCCCTCTCCACAATAAACCCGTGTCCCAAAAACTCGTACATCCCCCATTGATCTCTGCCTCTATCCCCTTCCCTCCGTACCCCCACGTGAACCTGCTTTGCCCGTGAATGCCTCTCCTCCATACCCTCCCGTGGGGTCCCCTCTGAACCGCCCTTCCCCATACCCCACTTGTGACCCCCTGCTCCCCCGCGTACCCCCACGGCAGACGTGGACGAGTGTGCATTCTCGCAGTACCTGTGCCAGTTCCGCTGTGAGAACCACGCGGGCAGCTACGCCTGCTCGTGCCCACATGGCTACCGCCTGCAGAGCGACACGCGCAGCTGCCGCGGTAATGCGCGCCGCACCATGCATCACACCATGCATCACACCATGCATCACACCATGCATCACACCATGCATCACACCATGCATCACACCGAGCACCACACCGTGCACCACACCATGCACCACACCATGCATCATACCGAGCACCACACCGTGCACCACACCATGCACCACACCATGCATCATACCGAGCACCACACCGTGCACCACACCATGCACCACACCATGCATCATACCGAGCACGACACCGTGCACCACACCATGCATCACACCATGCATCATACCGAGCACCACACCGTGCACCACACCATGCATCACACCATGCATCATACCGAGCACCACACCGTGCACCACACCATGCACCACACCATGCATCATACCGAGCACCACACCGTGCACCACACCATGCATCACACCATGCACCACACCATGCACCACACCATGCATCATACCGAGTACCGCACCATGCACCACACCATGCACCACACCATGCATCACACCGAAAACCACAGCACGCATCACGCTGAGCACCACACCATGCCGACCGAGCACTGCACCAATAACCACTCACATAGACCGCTTAGCAGTAACAATGACCGTACTGCAGCAGGGAGAGCGTTGCTTTGACCTTTCACCCTGTCTGCTCTCTTGCCCCGCTCCCCCCCCCCCCCCCCACCTGCTCCCCTACCCTGCTCCCCCGCTAGACGTGGATGAGTGCGAGGAGGGCAGCCACGGGTGCCCCGAGGGCGCGAGCTGCTTCAACGTGCAGGGCAGCCACCGCTGCCTCCCGCGGATCACCTGCAGCGCGCCCTACACGCTCATCGGGGACAAGTGAGACGGGCGGAGTGTTCCACCCTGCACTGTGCACCGCCACCCTGCACTGTGCACCGCCACCCTGCACTGTGCACCACCACCCTGCAATACAGCCATGCACTATAGTCCTGCACCCTGCACTGTGCACCGCCACCCTACAATACAGCCATGCACTATAGTCTTGCACCCTGCACTGTGCACCGCCACCCTGCACTATGCACCGCCACCCTGCACTATGCACCGCCACCCTGCAATACAGCCATGCACTATAGTCCTGCACTACGACCCTGCACGTGTCTCTCGCCGTAGCCGCTGCGTGTGCCCCGGCGAGATCCCGGCGTGCCGCGAGGAGCCCTACATCGTGCTGCACAAGGCGATGCAGATGCAGGCCGGCCGCACCGCTCCCTCCGACGTCTTCCAGATGCAGGCGACGGCGCAGTACCCGGGCGCCTTCTACACCTTCCGCATCGCCGCCGGCGACGACGCGGGCCACTTCCTCATGCGGGTAACGACACGGCGGTGACGCCGCGACACGACGCTACGACGCTGCAGTGACGACACAACAGGATGACACGCGACTGCGACACGATGCGACACCACGATGTGACTCAACGAGGACACGATGCGACAGCGCAACACAACTGGACGCGATGACGCGCGGGGCCGCGATACAAAACGACGTGACAGAAGGATGCGATGCTGTGTGATCTGATGATGGGGAAGGGATGGATGATGATGACGCCGCTGGGGATGATGATGTTGATGTTGATGCTTCACAGCAAATCGGCTCTGCGAGCGCGATGCTGGTGCTGACGCGCCCGGTGACGGGGCCCCGCGACCTCGTGCTGGACCTCGAGATGTTGACCATCAACCCGGCGGCCGGCACGCGCGGCAGCTCCATCATCCGCCTGAGCATCTTCGTCACCGAGCACCCATTCTGATCCCCCCCTCCCTCCCTCCCTCCCTCCCTACCTCCCTCCCTCTTTCCCTCCCTCTCCCTTACCTCTCTCTCACTCTCGCTCGACAGTCACCGAGCACCCCTTCTGATCCCCCCCTCCCTCCCTACCTCCCTTCCTCTTTCCCTCCCTCTCCCTTACCTCTCTCTCACTCTCGCTCGACAGTCACCGAGTGCCACTTCTGATCAACATCTCTGTGTCTCTCCCTATCTCCCTTATCTCTAACTCTCGTGACACAGCTCTCTCGCGAACGTATTGCTCCGTGTCGACCTCTCTCGTTAACTCTTCCTTAGCTCTCTCGTGTTAAAGTCAGCGAGCACCCAAGGGAGACTTTCTTTCACTCTCCCTTACCCCTCTCTCTCTCTCTCACGTTACATCTCCATTATGACCTAAAAACTCAATGTCACTCTCTCTCTCTCCACCCCTCTCCAATCCCTCCTTATGTTTTCAATGTCGTCATCAGCCATCATCAATCCACTGCTGGGTGAAGCCCTTCCCAAGTCGTCGCGTCAGCCCTCACTACCTGCCTTCTCTCCTCAATCTCTCGCGTTCCCTCTCTCTGCTGCTCCCCCATGCTCTCCCTCGGCGGTGGTTGTGGACACGGTGTTGTCTGAGTGAGACGCTTCGTCCCCAGCGCAACGCGATGACTCGTCACGCACGCGCATGTGTGTGTTTATATCCACCCGAGTTCGATTCCCGCTCACGACCACCAACACCAGTGAGGATTATCTGAACCGGTTTTGGGCCTCACCTACGTCGACTCAGTCTAAAATGAGTACCCGGTGCGGTGTGTAAGCATATCGCCCATGAGAGAGACAAAGGCGGCCGGGTGCAGTGCTGGCCACCCACCCCCTCGTGTCTCCGTGCTAAATGGCGGCGGGGGGGGGGGGGTCTTTGTCTTTATATCGAATAGTGAGTGGACGATTCAATTGCAGACAGAACCACGAAACCAGAAAGCCCCCTCGCGTCAATCCCCCCATTCCAGAATAACCACAAAAAGTGCAGTTTGAGGCCCCAGTCAACGTTCGCTCGGTGGGAGGTCGCTCATTCCACTCATGCTGCCCAACGTGGCCTGGAGCCCCCCCTCCCCCCCCCCCCCCCAGTAGTCCGTGCAGTGGACTCGTTTGCCCCGGTTCAAAGTCCCCGGCTCAAGGCTTTCCTTTGCTCATGCGCCCGTGGCAGACGCCCGCTGATCCGTTGCCAGCGTCTCGAGCCACGCGGTCCGCCACGCGGTCCGCCACGAGACGCTGCGTAGACCCCTCGCGGTGCTGAGCGTGAGCCGTCTGCCAGTAAAGCGGACAGCACCTTGCGTCGCCTCGCCCCCTCTCGCCAGATCCGTCGTTCGTCTTCTCGCTCCCTTTCTCCATCGTTACAAATCCCAACTCTAACTTAAACGTTAACCGTTTTGTGTCCGTTCGCTTCTCTGTACATTGCGTGGTTTTCATTTATTAGGAACTCGCTAAAACACACACACACAAAGTGAAATGTTAAGTGTTGCCCGCGTTTCAATTAGCCCCGTCGTGCTAGCGTGTGAACGGTTGTAATTATTATTGGCGCATTCTTGTTGTTGTTGTTGATGATGATGATGGCAGCTCCACAATTGTGAACACAGACGCCGGTCATCCTGGTTGCACGAGCAGTGACCACCAACGTGGTCGCCTTGGCTTGGGTTTTCCACCTCCGAGCCACAAGAAATTCGGGACGAATCATGGGAAGAAGATGAAAGATATCCCATTACTGTGTACGGGAATAGTGGAGAACTACATGGCAATGCGTGTCCTTGAGTGGTGGAGTAGTATTATTGTTATGCAACCGACAAAAGCCCGGATTTTAAATGTCAACACTATACGAACTCACTCTGTTATCTCCACTGAAGCCCTCTCGTCGCAGCGAGCAGATCTCGATATCGGCATGGGTCTCAACACATCGCTGCCATCGTGACCACGAACACAACAATAGGTCTACGGTGCCTGAATGCGGTTAAAGTTTTTTTTTTAATCTGTACTTCTCACGTGTTGTTCATAACCAGTGCACGTTTATAATAAACCTAATTAAAACCCTAAGCTCGTGTAGTTGTCTGATATGATGAATTACCGACTCACGATCCAGATTGAGAGCTTGTATTTATCCATTATAGAGGGATTTTTTGGGTTAGATTTCGTAAATATAAATGTGTCGTTAGACCCGCCACCACCAAACGCAGCCAATTAGTAAGGTTTGTCACGTTAACAAAACGTGCCAATTTGGGTGGTGGCGGGTTTAACGACACATTTATAAATACACGATCTAACAACAAAAATCCTTTATTATGGATAATATTTGGGTCGCGAAAACCTACGTGTTAAAAGCTTGTATTTTTCTTGTCATTTCGCACCTGTTATTCCCTCTCGTGCTCTCCGCGTGTTTACCAATCAGACAAATGTTCACGCGGGGAAATCTGTCGGTAAGCAGCGCCATCACCTTGAGTTACAGGATGACCCGCAGAAGCAGATATCACAGAGTGGTGGCTGAAATCGCTTCGAGTGCCACACCAAGAGGCACACTCTCCCACACACGGTGCTCAAGAGAGAAGCGTGCGCCGTGAAGAAGGACCATTGCCCGACACGTCGCCTAGTCAAGACACATTTTAAGACCACACAGTATTGTTATAGACCAGGGGCGGGGAACCTTTTTCTGCCAAGGGACATTTGGATATTTATAGCAGCAATCGTGGGCCATACAAAATTATCAACTTAAAAATTAGCCCGTTATATTTGGTCAAACATTTCATTAACTCGCCCCTAATGCGATGGCTGGAACTGCTTCTCTTTGGCGATGCGTGTGATGTTAGCTGCTATTGATGATGTTGCTACTCGCAACTGCTTTTGCAGGTTTGCTCCTAGATTTATTGAATTTAGAGTCCCGCCTGCGGTTGCCTTGGCAGGGCCAGAGACTAAATGATTTCGCGGGCCTTACACGGCCCGCGGGCCGGACGTTCCCCACCCCTGTTATAGACGAATGTGCTGAATGTTGTTGTTAATGGTGCGAATGCACCACCACCAACGCAACAGCAGCATCACCAGATAATGTTGCAGGGATAACTATGCGATTCTCACATCTCATGCCTGGAGTTTTGCCAAATTCAGTAAAACCCTTACTTCATGTAACGATTCCGCACCTCCGATGAGCACGGTTGGATATGTACGGTGCGAAAGAAGTTCAACATGCACACATGTGTGTGCAGTAATTGGTGACCGGGATGAGACCACCAATTGGCCAGACGAGAGAACACAGGTTTCATCACTCGTGGCTGAAACCGGGACGCAAACCCAGGCTTCTCGGCTAAAACGATTAACTATTTAAACTAAACCACCATTGGAATCTCATTAGCCAGTAAAAAATATGATAATTGGTTTTTTTACCCTTCTATCTGGCAACAAAACTGACACCTTTTTTACAAGGAGTCATGTTTGCATAGACCACAATACCTGCAGCCATAATGCAAAAAAATAAATCTGAGTTTTTATCAGAGTTATGTTTTTTGTTTGCATTATGGCTGCAGGTATTGTGGTCTATGCAAACATGACTCATTGTAATAAAGGTGTCAGTTTTGTTGCCAGATAGAAGGGTAAAAAAAACAATTATCATATTTAAACTAAAGTTGTGCAGGATCGCCGTCTCTGACCTCCGAGACACCCGTCCACTATCGGGCCAGAGTGTTGCTTGTATTTAACCAATCGTTCTCAAATGATGCGCTCACAGAAAACCGCGTGGCTGATGGAATGTGTAAAAAATCCTTTCACTTTTTGTTCATGTGGAGGGACAATCTACGGCACATTGCCCCATCGTGTTGACAAGTGCAGTCTGTTTAACATGAAGGCTTTGGCGACCAATATCCATAATAGAGGTTTCTGGGTTCGATCGCGTAAATATAAATGTGTCGTTAAACCTGCCACCACCCGACACAGCCAATTACTAAGGTTTGTCATGTTGCGGATTTCTTCTCCAACACTCCGGTGTGCTGCACTGGTAACAAGTTGGTATGCTTTGCTTACGTCACAAACCTTACTAATTGGCTGTGTCGGGTGGTGACGGGTTTAACGACACATTTATATTTACGCGATCTAACCCAATAACGTATATTATAAAGTGCAGTCTACAAATCTTATAATCCGCCCAGACTCTCTAACCTTTCTAATTACGTGCTATGAAGAAGGGACGTTGCCCGAAACGTCGCCCGTTACGTATATATGTTTAACGCCACACAGCGTCCTATTGACACATAACGTGTTGGGAGTTTCGATTTAAAGCGTTCTTGACTGCAGGGATTCATCTTCTTGGTTCTTTCGGTAAAGTCACGTAGAATGGAAATAATAAAATAATAAAATAAAACATTATAAAATAATTCTCACGACGTTTCGGCCACAACGCAAGTAGCCGTCCTCAGTTATTGGGAAGATGCGTTTTGTCCATTAATTTCACTGCCCGATCCCAACCGCCAGATGTCGCTGTTGCTGGAGCTCAAGGCTTGAGGCTCACATGGGAAGGGGGGGTAAGGGGGGTGTGATCACGGACCCTCCCACCCCCCCACGGGTTGGAGAGACTCGGGGACAGAAGGGGTCTCCTGCATCGGGGATGATCCTCGAAGCGGGCTCCCTGCTCCCCCTTGCACCGCAACACATTCATTTTCTTAACCCCTGTGAGACGCAGCGCCTGGAATATGAGCCGGGCGTCGTGGCAATGCGTGATAAGGGTTGGTGGTTCGCGCAGAGATGTCCTGGTTGTGCTGTGTAGTTCGGCGTGCCCGTTGCCACCTGCCCGGGTTTCACCGGGGGTCTTTTTTTGCACGAACAGTCCCCCGGGAATCGTCGTCTGTGTTGGGGCGGCGGTGGAAGTTGGTTTGTACCGAGATCTGGCACCGGCGTTGCTGTGTTGAACTCTATCGCGGTAGACTGCGCGTGGGTTTTTTTTTTCTCTCCGCCTGATGAAGACCGCTTGTGTTGCGATCGAAACGTCGTGGGTTTTTTGCTTTTATTACTTTCAATGTATTATTTTTATTTTATTATAATGATTTATTATTTTATTTTCATTTTTGGACTTTTTTTTCAATTTACGTGACTTTACCGAAAGAACCAAGAATATGAATTCCTGCAGTCACGAAAGTCGTAAGTCTAAATTTAGACCCAGTGCTGTCTGAGAAATGTGTCCGAGTTTGTTCTATGGTGGAAAAGGTGGGAACCACGCTCGGCATGATGTCGCAACGTTCCCCTCCGGGGGGAACACGCGGAGGGGAACGTTGCGAAGCGTCGGACACAGTGGCGTAGTGACGACGTTATCAGCTCAGAGGGTGCGGCAATCGGTGAGGTGAGGCCCCAATGTTTAATTTGTCTCGCACGGTCGGCCATCGGCTATTATACATCGCGACTCCTCTTGCCTAATCACATCGTCACGCTCACGGTTTCGAACACGGAATGCTGTTAGGGGCGCTCCGTCTACGAAAAATGCAGCCACTATCAAAGCATTACGAATACAATACATTTAAACCGCGTTTTAAATACGTTTTTATTCTTCTCGACTGTTGTTGAAAACATATCTCATGGTCGTTGTCAAGGGGGGTGGGGGCGGCAATTTGTAGTTTTTTTTTCAGTTTTCAGTTTCATTTACTTGGTATAGCCCTGTGAGCCATTCGGCTCTTGAATCGGATGCAACCGCAACAAACAAAAGACAAAAACATGAACAAGAAAACCTCTTAAAGATCCCCCACAAGGCACCCCCCTGTCCCCACGTGGCCTACAACCAAAAAGGACACAGGCAGCTTGGGCTGGAGATGATGTATACAGCTCCCAGACATCGCTGGCGTGCGAGGCGGTGGCCAGCGTATAAGGGGTTGGAGGTACAGCGCAGTTGGGCTCGTGAACCCGTCTATATGCACTTGAAGCGCACCTCCATTTACCGTATCACATTGTTGGTGATACGGACAATAAGATGTATGCTGTTGATGATGCAACTTTGTCATGTTGTTGTTGACACGTCAAGTCGATGTTGACATGTTATATTGTTGTTGGCAATGTGGGTGTTGTTGATATGTCATGCTGTTGTTGTTGATGTTGTTGTTGACTGAGTTAGATTCGATAATTGGTTTTTACCCTTCTATCTGGCAACAAAACTGACACCTTTTTACAAGGAGTCATGTTTGCATAGACCGCAATACCTGCAGTCATAATACAAACAAAAGACATTACTCTGCACTGGTGGGCCTTTTGGCGTCATCTTGTCCAACCCATGTGAGACTAGGCTCTAAGGAAAGCTGTCTCGGGTGTGGACCAATCAACTTCAAGGACAGTGCACATTATCAGAGTTATGTCTTTTGTTTGTATTATGACTGCAGGTATTGCGGTCTATGCAAACATGACTCCTTGTAAAAAGGTGTCAGTTTTGTTGCCAGATAGAAGGGTAAAAAACCAATTATCATATTTTTACTGGCAAATGAGGTTCCCATAGTGAGTTAGATTCCTCGCAAATGCGCTGGCAGTGCTCGTCCATAGCAGGACCCTCCTGAAAATAAGGACTGAGACTCATCGAGGCTATCCTGGCGAATAAACTTTGACGTGGTTAATGTTTTTGTTATTTTTTTTTATCATTTGCTGAGAACAGTTTCTCGGAACCTCGTGCATGACTCATGTAACCAGGAGAGTTAGCCGCTGGGAATGTGTGACCATTTCCTATATTTATCCATATCGTTGACCTCGTGCAAAGGAGAACACGCCATGTCAAACATTCATAGATGACGGACAGCGACCACGTCACAATAGCAGACAGAGCCGATAACCGCACACAACCTTTTGACGCGCTATCTTCAAACACAGTCACTCACACCGAAGCTGTGGTACACCTCCATCCTTGCTCCTTGCAATACCACAGCTGACAGAGGTTGTGTGCCAGGTTATTCGCTCTGTCTGCGGGGAGTCACAGAAGCCACCTTGCATCCTTGATCCCCTTGATCGATAACGCTTCCACAGTAGCAGACAGAGCTGATGATGATCGCACGCAACCCTCTGTCTCCGCCTGCAAGGCAATGCTCCACAACTCACAGATACAGTTTAATACTTCGGCTTTCGCGACCAATATTAACAACAGAGGTGTTTGGGTTAGACCGGATTTACTGTACATGTTGTGGGTTTGCTCTCCAACACACCGGTGTGCCGTACTAGTAAGGTGCCGTCCATAAATGACGTCACGCACCTGGGGGGGGGGGGTCAGACATTTGTGACGATGTGTGACGAGGGGGGGGGGGGGGGTTTGAGAAATGTGACGTCACATCAAAATGCGCAACTTTAAATAAATATAGACAACACGTTCTACTTAATTGAATAGACTTTTTAATAAATGTTTTCTCCTACAATATCAGAGTGCAGCGCCACATTTTATAACAATGGCAATAGTTTAAAGCGATTTGAAGCATGTTTTATTTTTTATGGGACGGGGGGCAGTGCTTTGTGACGTCATATTTGAGGGGGGGTTTGACTTTTTATGACGAGGGGGTCAAAAATGGTCCAAAATCGCGTGACGTCATTTATGGACGGACCCTAACGAATTGACACGTTGTGTTTACGTGACAAACCTGTGTCGGGTGGTGGCGGATTTAACGACACATTTATTTTAACGCAATCTACCCCCCTCCCCCCCAAAAAAAGACCTTGATCACAGATTACAGATGCCAAGGTCCACCTCCAACCCCCACCCCTAACCCCCCCGCAAGCTCGCGCGCGCCGCTTTTCCCACGTTACGTCACGCAGCACGTGACCACGCCGTAGCTCCACCCCCACGCGGCTCCCATTGGCCACGAGGGCGAGGGGGCGGAGCCGAGCAATTGAAAGCGACGGCGGCGACAGCAGTGATAGAATCGCAAAACGCCCCGGGGGCGTCCGGATTCCCTCGCGCAGAGTGTGATGGGCGAGTTCCCGCTGCTCCCCTTCGCCCAACTCTGCGCCGGGGGCGTTTTGCGTTCGCGTTTCCGTCGAGGGGACGCCCCCGGTTTATCAGCCCCCCCCCCAAGCCCGACTACCTCCCCCTACCCCCCACCTTCTACAGCCATTTCGGGAGGAGCGGCCCCGCGTCCTTCTGCTGTTTGGAACCCCGGCGGGGCGGCCGGGCCCGCGGTAGCCTCGTCAACTTCACCCCGACACCGACACCAACACCACCACAGGCGGCCTCGGCAAATTTCGCTCGGCGTGCAGAGTAAACGCGTTCGCCTGCTCGGGTTTTTTTTTCTCTCCCTTCCACCCCCCCCGGCGGTGCAGTCCGCGGTCTTCTGTCTGCAATCGCGGCAGTGGCGGCGGTGGTGTGGGGGGCGGGAGATTAGCAAGCAAAGGCCCGAGGCCGCCGGGGGGGTGGGTGGGCTGTGGTTTCGCCCGCCCGCCTGCCCGTCCACCGTCAACCCCCCCCCCCCCCCCGTGTCTCCCTCCACCTCGGCCTCTCTCTCCTCCTCCCCTTGCGGAGACCGCGGTTCTCCTGCCGCGTTCGTTCGATAGAAACGCGTCGCAATTGTTGCATTATGTTTGGCCGTAACGTGCTCGTGTAGAGACGTAGAGAGAGGGAGATATTGTGTAGACAGGGGCACGCGTGCATTGCCGCCGCTGCCGGCGGCGGCGCTTGCTGAAGGCCGAGAGGCGGGTTTGCCTGCGATTGACTGGGAGTCTGGGAGTCGCAGTCAGCGGGCGATATCGATTCGAGTCGTGGGTTGGAGGAGATGTCTAATCACCGCGACTACAACGTGAATGCGTAAACGGGGTGGAGGAGGAAGAGGAGGAGCAGGAGGAGGCCTTTGCTGCTGCTGAGGCTGCTGAGGCTGCTGCTGCGGGCGAGGCTGCGAGGCTGGCCCTGCCGGGCCTCTTGCCGGCGTCATGTCCGCCCGGACGCCACTGCCGACCGTCAGCGAGCGGGACAGCGAGCACGTACGTACAGTGTGGTGGGGGGGGCACCGGGCTACTGCTGATGATGATGGTGCTGATGATGATGCTGATGATGATGCTGATGATGATGATGCTGCTGCTGATGATGATGATGATGCTGCTGCTGATGCTGCTGTTGCTGATTATGACGATGCTGCTGATGCTGCTGTTGCTGATTATGATGATGCTGTTGCTGATGATGATGCTGCTGCTGATGATGATGATGCTGGTGCTGCTGATGCTGCTGATGTGTTTTTTCTTGCGCCAACATTTGACACCCAACGTATGGGTTCACACAAGCGCTGGATGACGAGTGTGGTGTAGTCGCTTCCCCGGCATGCATTTACACACCGGTGGCTGTGGCACCGGTAGTCTCTGACCGCCCCCCCCGACACTGACGCCGAACCTTGTTCGGTTGCTGTTTGCACCACGACGTTGATACGACGTGGTGTGGCACCGTCGTCATTGACACCGGTTGCAACGTTTGCTTTGACACCGATATCGGCGTTGATGCCGGCAGGATTGACACCGGCATTCGCTCCAGCAGATGCAGTAGCACCAGCGTGCATTGTGACCAACATTGGCACAGGTATGTCGCCAGTAGGTGCAGCACCGGCATTGCCACCTACCTCCACATTGGAGGATTGGCACCTAGCAGCAATGGGGGGGGCTATTGCACGAACGCTGACGCCAACGTTGCGTCAGCATTGAAGCTAGAAGATGTGGCACAACCATGAGTTGGCAACAGCATCGGCACCGGCATCGACACAAGTTGATACAGCACCATCATTGACACCAATGTTGCCATCAGCATTGGTGCCGGCATTTGACAGCTTTAGCATTGACGCGAGAAGATATTGTGCCTGCGTGCTACGACACGGGCATTCACAGACGCATTGTCACATCGTGGAAGGGAGTTATCGGCATTATTAGGGGCAGCACTGGCTTCGACGCCTGCATTGACATCGGCAGTGATGCCATCGTTGACGCCAGCAGATGTGGCACCATCACTTACATCCAGTATTGACTCGATTGGATTAGCGCCAACGTGCGTCGATGCCAGGATTGTCACCCGTAGATGTAGCACCACAATGCATTGGCACGAGCATTGAGACCAGCAGAAAAAACCAGTGCTGCGAATTGCAGCACCAACATGAACATCTGCAGCATTGATACCAGCATGGACACGGTACATTTGGCACCGTAAGTGACCCCAACATCGACACAAGTGGATGAAGCACCAGCGGTGACGGGCGCAATTACTCAAGCGTTGTAGCAGCTGCATTGACATCAGCAGATTTAGCAACAACATTGACAGCAGCAGCAGCAGTATCAGCTGCAACACTAAGGGCTGTGTTGCCCGCATCACCGTTGTCAGCTGCTTCACCAGCAACGGGCGCATTAACACCACCAGCGTTATCACCGCCAGCACCAACATTAGCACTAGCAGCTGTTTGCTTTGTGTCATGTATCTGTCTTGTAAGGGTGCCTGACTTTGGCTATTTGGGCCTTTGGCAAATCCACTGCATGCTGAGATCCCCTAACAACAGCAGCACTGGCTGTGAAAGGAGCTATAACACCCGAATTAGCATCAGCAGCTGTTGCATCGGCAGCTGTAGTAGCAGCAGTACCAACATGAACAGCTTCAACTTTCGATTATAACCAGGCAGCAACACCAGCTGTAATACTTCAGCATCAGTATTATCAGCTGTACCACTACCATTAGATCAGCTGTTACACAATCGGCTATACCACCAGCAACAACAGCAGCAGCATCTGTCGCACCATTGGCATCATCACCATCATCACCACCATCATCATCACCATCATCACCATCACCAGCGGTAAATACCTTGCATCACTGGGATCGGCAATACCACTGCCACCCCCGTGGCCGCAACCACTTTAAGCGCAGTCAGCACCGTAGCCGTCGGCAGGGCATTTGATGGTGCTGATGTCTGCAGATGGTGCTGGAGGTCGTGTTGACACAGTCACCGGTGTGTTTTTGAGTCCCGATATTTTTCCCGATACCTGTTATATAATTGCACTGTGTACCCTGCTGTGTGTGCATGCCCGCTAATTTCTAGGTCGTTTGGTGTGCCGTGTAAATGAGCCAAAGGCACATGGAGGGGCGCAAACATGCAGAGACGCACAGTGATATGACATCCAGACACACAGGCAGACCCACAGAGAGACTCAGACAAGCAGACCGACACACACGAGTCGACACCAAGGCAGACAAGCAGTTACAGACAAACGAGCACAGACAGACAAACAGGCACACATACATAGAGACGACAACAACCGCCATTCGCCACTAAGTGACGGTAACGTCACCACGGCGCTTGTGGCAGGCTATGTGCACAGACAGGCAGACGGACACAACTACGAAGGCAGATACTGGAAGACAGATGTATAGTTAGAAGGGTAGATAGACTGGCAGGCAGAAACAGGCACACAGGTAGATAGATAGACACAGGAAAAGCAAACAAAGACAAACGGGCAACCGTGGCGATAGGTAGATGCACAGGCAGACCGACAGATACGCAGACAGACAGGCCACTCAGCCTCTTTGATCACCACATCCAAGCCATGGCACACGAAGGCTGCACCTCACCTGCAGAGTAGACCTGGTCAGTTGTCGGAATTAAACATGGGTTTCGCCATCTGTGCCGCCCCACTCATTACTGCCGTGGTGGCCATCAGCATTAAGGGTCAGATCCACGGCTTGTCATCGCATCGACTAAATAGCGCACGAATTAAGCAAGTCACCCCATCGTCGGTGACACAGGCATTGGCACAATTTTACCCGAAATCCCACTCAAAGGTTCGTTCCCTAACGCGCGAGTTGGGCTCTAAAAGTAGAATCCGCGGATGACGCCGCTGTAGGGAGGAGCGGCGCTGTCAGTGGAGGCCGTCATTAGCGTCACCTTGACCGTTGATCATTTCTTTGCCGCCGTCAATGCTAAACGCGTTTACCCTGTAATGAATAGGCAGTGGTGGCTTGTTTATGGCGACGTCTGGACGCTAGATTAACTTCCCTTCCGCAGTAAATCGGCAAAGCGGAGCACATGCCGACGTGAGACAGGTACATGCTTGGGCATAAATGCAGCAGCAGCATCCACGATTTCATGGGTGCTTCGTGAGCTTAAAATCGATTTTAATCGATGAATCAGTGCGTTGCTTGCAGCTGTACTACATTTGCGTACGCGTATACGTTGCAAGGTATGCATGTAATTGCCCAGATGGCTGAGTGGTACAGCGAGCGGCTCGTAATCGGAGGGTTGCGAATTCAAATCCTGGTTGATGGTTGACTCGGCCTATCATCCCTTCAGGGTTATTAAAACGAGTATTGCTTTGCGGGGAAGTCAACGGCGGTTTTCCTATGGACAAACTGCCCTCCCCAACATCCGAATGTGGAATTTCCACGACAGGCCCAGGGCTGTAAACAGGAGATGAGCACTGCCTCAATGCTCATTTGAGCAGCTGCAACTGACTTTGAATTTGATTTGCAATCAGCCCACATCCCTGCAGTGATGGTGACTTTTGGCGCAGCGGTTAGCACACTGCACTGTGGACCTGGCCCGTGTGTGTGTGTGTGTGGCTCCATCTGCAAGCCGGAAACAGATCTCGTCACTCCTTGTGGGGTGTGGTTTTGAGTGATGAGTCCCATGCGACACAAATCCCTCGAGTGGTAACTCACTGAAGCGGGGGGGGGGGGGGGGGAGCGAAGGGGAGGGCGGCAGGGGAGGGCGGTGGGGGGGTGGTAGTTGATGAGCAGCAGGGTTGAGTGTCAGTCACTAATTAAACACTGCCCCGGGCATTTGCCGTTCCGGCATGAAGCCTCGCGGTACACGTTGTGTTCCGCGCTACGATTATTCCGATAGCGTGAATTTAACGACAATTTCAATGCGGGGGCACGAGTTGCCATGCAATCGGAGCTCCTTTTCCTTTTTTATTTATTATGAGCGCTGATTCAGCAACAGCTGGGCATTCTCGGGATTCTTGGCGGTGGGATCGTCGCACAGCAAAGTTCATTCATTCAGACGCGGGGTTCGGTTCCTCACTGAATATTTTCTGGGTCGTTGCTGGAACGGAGTAGGTAGCGTGTGACTAGTAGCCGCAAGCATAGCTGGAGGGATATTTGATGTAGTGTGCCAGGCACAGAAAATGTATTCTGGATTGCCGATCGATCGGGGTGACAGGTGACAAGCAGCCAGAGCGAGATGTATACTGGAGGTGTTGTGCCACTTGCGAAACAATATTTTCTGGACCGCCGTCCCGGAGAGGAGCCCAGCTGAATTTAACCCCCTATCCCGAATGACGTCCACAGACCACAGCGCTGAGCCTGCAGGAAAACCCTTTACGCTTTCTAGGAGCTCGACGATGAGAATCCCCGAGTCTATGAGTGTAACTGTACTCGGCAGGATGATTATGGCCGAGCTGCTCGGAGGAGCTGTTTTAATAAAATAAAATCTCTATCTGTGCGCATGATGGTCGCTTAGCGTGCGAGAGGGGTGCGGGCGGGCAGGAGCGTGTGCCAGAGTCATCTGGTGTAGGACGGTGGTGATGCTGATGATGGTGCTGAGGAGGTAGGAGAGGCGGCGATGACAGGGAGAGCTTGGGGTGGCGTTGGGCAGTGGCAGCAGTTAGAATGGTTGTGGCAGAACGGTGGGCAGCGTTCGCTGGCATCGTAAACACCAGAACTGTACGGTAATCAATAAGTGAAGAGGCTGTTATTTTGTAATGGGGGTGGGGGGGCGGAGTGGAAATTTATCAAGTGGTAGAATACACGACTTGATCAAAGTGTACACTTACCGCTAACCCTAACCAACTACCTACCCAACCAGGTACTAATCCTTCCCCTAACCTTATCTAGCTGGAACAGGCTAGAACTACCTGTGAATTACAGTTCTAATTGATTGACATACTTTACCCCATCTGTAATATGTCTGAAATGTACTTCCGAAATTGCGGATCTGTCCTGGCTTGACAAAACCTGCACAAATGAGATGTAAAAACAACGCATAAATAACGACCGATTCCTGAATCAAATCGAATTGCGACTTTGAATCACAAGGATTTAATCAATCGCGTTTCTCTATTGGGGTGAATCACCGCACGCCGAGTATCCAGGGATGGGAAATAACCATCGCGGACGGTACTGCCTCGTCACTTTCTGCTGCCGGAGGTGGGGGGCCAGGCGGGGACACACGGAGTGGGGGGGGGGGATGCTCGTGACGGGCAGAGCGGCGGTCGTGCCGATAATTGGTTTCGGTCGCAGAGTCTCTGGCGTGTGCATGGTGCCACCAGAACCTCCACCAAAGCCCCACCCACCCTGACCGCGTAGGCGACATTGCTTGGTAACCTCGGGTTAATCATGGGTAATGGCAGGCGCCCGGCGCCCCCACAGGAAGTGCCACATTTAGAACGACGTGTACCGTATTAATAGAACACGCAGATTGCGGGCTTTGTAGCTGCCTGCCGGCGCCTGCCAGTACTGGGGGGCGGCCTTCGCCGGTGGCGCACGGGAATGGATGTTGGGATGTGGACATCAAGACAAACGCTGTACCGTGTGTTGTGCGGCGCGATGTCCGACATTCGCTGAAGAAACCAGGAGCTTATCTGGGATGTTCACAGTCGGAGCGATGCTGATGCCATTAATCTACCCAACAAAGCCACACAGAGTCTCCGATCCATTTCAGGAAGGTCCTACCACCATTATTTCTGCTGTGGTATGCATTGCCATGGTCAATGCTATTATATTCACTATTATCATCATTGTCGGCGACAGCATCATTCTGGATATTAATACCAATTATCTAGACGGCATAACCTCGTCTACAGGAGCGTCCTGCTTCTTTGAGATGTCAATTCCAGGAATGAGTGTTCAGCTTCATGTGGGGAGGAAATGGGAGTCCACGGAGAAAACCCAGCACGCATACAAGAGGGTATCGCTCAAAGCACCGCACGGATGGGTTCACGAGCACCCAGGTGTCATCACAGCAAGTGGGTGCATGAATGCACCTGTGTGGACCTCGTAGCAACATCTCCCTGTGGCTTTCCTCCGGCTACGCTGGTTTTCTCCCACTCGTGAAAAACACTCGCCAAGCGTGCCAATGTTGCAGGCCCACCTGGGTGCTAGGTGGATTATCACATTGACAGGGTGGTGAGATCTTCTTGGTTCTTTCGGTAAAGTCACGTAGAATGGAAATAATAAAATAATAAAAATAAAACATTAAATTTTATTATGTTAAATTTTTTAAATTTTATTATTTCCATTCTACGTGACTTTACTGAAAGAACCAAGAAGATGAATCCCTGCAGTCACGAAAGCTTTAAATCGAAATTTAGGGTGGTGAGAGTTGGCGTGCAGTGGCTTGGGCGAGGCCTTCGTCTAGCAGTGGACTACATGGCTGACGAAAACGATGAACATCAGAATCGCCCTTGCACCGGAGACTTGCACGGTGCGCTGGGATCTCAACGCTTGAGATGAAACGAGGAAGCACTGTGAAGGATCCCCCGCGCTACCATTCTGCTCTGCACGATTTCCCCATGGATTCTACGTCGCATGACGCGCGACCGCTGGCGTAGTTGGAATATATAATACAATGTTGGGACTAAAGACGATGACAACAACAAAGAAGTTGAACCGTTGAGCGCGAGTGCGTGGTCGGTCAGGGAACGTGGTGACACAGTCGAGGAGGCGCTCGAGAGGTCCGCGCGCATTGGCCCTCGACGCGCCTTAGAGTGGCCCTCGACGATTTTTTCGGCCATTCTCCCGGCACCGCCCATGGCTGGGGCTGTGCGGTTCGCTCAGGAGGTAGGCCCAGCCGCTCGTTCACACGTGGCCGGCGATTGATAAGGATTGGGCACAGGAAGCGGTCAGGGTTGGTGGCGAGGGGTCGGGCCGGAAAGTTGTTGTGAGCGGCGCTTGCCGGTGTTGTGCCGCGCGCGTCGCTATTTTCTGATGCGGCTGCTGGGATGACCGGAGCGAACTTTGCGTCTGCAGCGGAGTTCAAAAGAACGAGAGGTGTGCCGGGGGGGGGGGGGTCCCGATGTTGGTGCTCCTGTTGAGGTCAAGTTTTGAGTTTGTTGCTCGGCACGTCGTGATGCGTCGATGTCAGGATCCATCGATCAAAACTCATTTGTATGCTCATGATGCATACATTGACTTTTGCGTGTTTCCAAATCTTGCAGATTATTTGCAGATTAAAATCTGATATTATTGTTGTCTATTGGCAAAAAACAAAAAAAAAAAACTTAAATGTTTGTTTGCAACGATGCAAACAGTATGGGAAAAATTATCAAGTCTAGAATCAAATTGCAAACTGGAATCACTTCAGCTATATCGAATCGCTGTTGGAGCGTTGGTGAATCATTCAACATTTGCACAGAGTTTCTAGTGACTACGGTACAGTAACACGCTACTCCACGGGGGAAAAACTAAATTAGTAAAAAACGTTCCGTCCTTTCCAGTCATGACGATCACGGCAAGAAATACTCTGCTCAGGAGAGGGGTTTCATAAAGATACCGCCATTGAACAATTCCCGTCGCAGTGTTTTATTCCAAGACCTGCTGAAAAATGGAAAGAGGAATCCACTTGTGGAAAGTAAAATTGTGTGGAGCGCGGTGTCGTGTGTACGAGAGAGAGGGGGACAACGCTGCGGTTGTTGTCGACGTTGCCTGCAGCTCTTGGAAATGCTCGGTAGTGGAGAGAGCGTAATGATCGTGCTGGACACTGCGGCGTGCTGTACTGCTGGAGCGTCCACGCCTTCGAGTGGCTTTTTAGCGGCAAGCGGGCATCCTGTGTCCGGGGGAGTGGCGTTCTCCGGATTCTTGGGAATAAATAGCAGCACTTGTGGCTTGCGGAGCCAAACAAAAGCAGCCTCACAAAGGGAAGAGCGCAGTATACGCCCGCGTGATGCAACGGGCTGCGTCCGCTGGGTGCTGGACATCAATCTGGCAGCCGGGCGTCCACGAGTTCTATTTTCACCGGCCAGTGTTATTCTTGTGTGTTTGGAATTTTGTATTTGGGAGCCCGGTTTGTGCCCTTGTCTGTTCTGAATGGTCACAGAGCTATTAGGTAATTGTATGCGTGGGGGTTAATAAAGTTCCCAAGGCCCAGTAAAAATAGTCTCCTCGCAACCATCTCCTGAAGGTCTGATGGAAGTCACTGTGTGATGACCTGACTCTCTGGCCTGCAGCTCATCATAGTATGACCTCCAGTCGGTATCGTTATGGCCGCCCCCAGATGATTTTTGATTGATCTCTAAACCACCTCAATGTGACCTCCAGACCTTCTCAGTTTAACCTCCAGATCTTCTTGGCATTCAGACAGTATCGATGTGGCCTCCAGACAATATCACTTTGACCTCGGTATGGCCTCTGGAACAACTTGGTGTGTGTCTCAAAGATTTTTGATCTTAAAACCAGCTCATTTCAACTGCCTTACCATCTTCGTATGGCCTCCAGATGACCTCAGGGTTACTTAAAAAATATAGCACTTCAGTTTCAAGGTCTCCTTGATTTGACTTTCAAACCATCTCATCGTCATCCCCAACTTTTCATCGCGTGATCTCCAGAGCGTTCCATTGTGATCTCCACGACCATCTGATGGGGGAACACTGAAGCTGTCAGAGTGGCGCGTTGTGCTGACCGTCATCTCACTTGCTGCCGTGATTGTAAAGAGATTAAGCGAACCGTTCGCTCTGCCGCGCATGATCCGCGATGCCTGGTGTGTGGGTAGGCGATAGGTAATTATCCTGCACAGTTTTATTTTTAACTGAATATTGGCCGAAGCACACCTTTCCGCCAGCATGTGAAGGAAGCTCTCGATGTTTTTGGAAGCTGTGCTAACAATACTGCCAATGAAAATGAATGTGTCTGGGCAGATTGTGGCATTCCTACGTTTATAGTGCAGCAGCTGCGGGGTCTGGCGGAGTGAAAGCGTTGGCAAGGGGTGGTGGTGGTGGTGGTCGTCACATCTATGGGTTTGGCCAAGATGGCATCTTGATTTCTTTTTTTACTCCTGTTCCCGTGGCATATTGAGCCGTGTCGTGGTTTAAATAATGCCGCCGTGACCGCACTGTTGCCATGTTCCCCCCGCCCCTGGACAGAACTGCGGCGGCACGGGCGATGTGCGGTTGGAGCCCGTCGGCGCAGCCAAGCCGAGCGTGCGGGCCGGCATGCCACGGTGCCGCTCCTCCGTGGCCGACGAGATCCCGCACGTGGGGAACTACCGCCTCCTCAAGACCATTGGCAAGGGCAACTTCGCCAAGGTCAAGCTGGCACGCCATGTGCTGACAGGCCGCGAGGTGGGCACGCTCGCTCTCTCACTCGCTCGCACACACGCACTGACGCACTCGCTCACTCGTTTACTCACTCGTGCAGTCGCTCTCTCTTACTCAAACTCGTTCACTCACATTCGCTCAGTCACTCGCTCGCTCACTCACACATGCGCTTGCTCACTCAACCGTGCAGTCGCTCGCTCGCAGACACAATCGCTCGTCGACTTGCTTGATGTCTCGTACACACTCAAACACGTTAGCTCGTTCACTCACAAGCTCACATGCTGGTATACTCACAGACTTGTTCACTCATAAGCTAGGCCAGGTGTCGGCAACCAAAATAACAAGAAGAGCCATTTCTTTCCAATTCGGTACAAAATTCAGTATTTCAAGAGCCGCAATGCATCTGAGTACATACGTACTCATCGTCAAGAAGCAGCCCGTAAAGAGCCGCATGCGGCTCCGGAGCCGTAGGTTGCCGACCCCTGAGCTAGGCCATTCACTCGCTCACTGGTCACTCACTCGCTTTCCAGATCGCGCTTTAGCCAACGTACGCTCGATCACTCGTGCTTAATCACTTCACTCGCACACTCATTCCCCCATGTGGACCATGCATTGCGCCAACGAAAGAAACTGTGGTCGTGTTTGTTTGGTTGTTTTCTGTTCTGAACGCGCAGGTTGCCATTAAGATTATTGACAAAACGCAGCTGAACCCGTCGAGTTTACAAAAGGTGAGAGCCTCGGGTTTTTTTCTCTGTCGACGCAAGAGTAGTTGGTGTGCGGTAGCCTGACAGTGCTCGCGCGTTAGCACTGCAGCGATTCACCGATCCATCGATTAACATCGATCCTTAACACCACCGCCGTGTGGGTTCTCGCGGTTTGTGCGGCTCTGGCAGCCCTTTAACGTGCGCTCCCGTTGTACTGTGTGTCGTTTGGCACGATGTCCGATTGCCGCGCACAGGCCCTGTCCAGGCTCCGTGCGGTGGGGCTGCAACGTCGGATATCGTGCTGAACGACGCACGGTACAACCCGAATAAGCATCCAAGAGCTATCGATTCTTAGTCTCGCGAAACATGCATCGAATGTTGCTTGTTAAGTTGCAATGGTGTTTCGCTTGATATGCGGAGCAAATAATTGGTTCATGTGACCCATGCAGCCACGGAAGCCTGATTCGTGACAACTGATTGAAATCAGCGAAGAGACGAATCGTTGCGGCTCTGTTGCACGAGCGTGTGGACCCGCTTGCCTGTGCTGGTGCCAATCCTCGAGAGCGTGTTAAGGTTCAGAACCGTGGCGAAACCGCAACAGGAAGTTGTGGCGTTTCCCTTGCAGCCACGTGCCCAGCAGTCTGGCCCGCACTCTCGCGCCAGCACCCAGGGCTCTGCGTATGCCAGGAGCAATCGGTGCCCTCATGTGCTCTTAGCTAAAGTGCGCAGATGCCCCTAATGTCCATTTAATGGCTTTCACTTGTCTTGAATTGGACCTGCTATTTCTGGTGTTTTAGGTGACAGTGGTGGGGGGGGGGAGATGGAGAGTTTGTTGTGCCCGAGTGCCATTGGGTGACCACTGACACCCTCGTCAGCTTTGCATACGTACGTGTGCGGGCTCCTTCATCAATCCACTGCTGGATGAGCCCCTCCACACGCCGAGCGGGTCGTGGGTTATTGAGCTTAGAGAATTGACAGTGCGGTGACGTGGCCGAGCGCTCGCGCGTATACCGCTCATTGTAGATGTGTGCGGCTCAAGCCACTGGCTGCCCTGGTTAATACTGCGGTTGTTAACCATAAAATACACATGATCTGCATCAGTGGACGTTAAATATCCCATGAATTTACTAAAAAAAGGGCATTTGTGCCCAACTCATTGTCCAAATTTGCCAAAAAATGTTATTACTTGCAAATTACCGAATTGAGTAAAGACCATAGCTTCATTGTCCCTCTGCTGTGAAACTACTGCAGTCTCTGCTTGCCTTTGAAATGTAGTGCGCGTGCACTGTCGTTGCACAATGATAATATCCGTCCATGCGCTACGAGAACGGCGTGAATGGCACACGCGGCATGCCGGGTGAGAAGCTGCCCTTGCGGCGATGTGCGCGACTCACTTCCAACCCTGTGTTGCTTTTCAGCTTTTCAGGGAAGTGAGGATAATGAAGGTGTTGAACCACCCCAACATAGGTGAGTGCGGGAGGAGAGGCACATGCAGATGCAGGTGCCTGTGATCGCCGCAAACGATCGGCACGCAGTGGTTTTAATTAGCAGCAGCAGCGGATGGGGGGTATGGGTGGGTGTGGAATCAACGGGAGATGTACAAGGGGCTCACGGGCAGTGCGGTGTTGTAAGCTCATTTGGTTACTTAGCTCGCACGACATTGGACGATGAGCACAGTTTCCGGAAAGCGAATTGACGTTTGCCCGCTGTGACATCTAAATGGGTTGAGGCTCTCCTCCACCACGAGATCTAGAATTTTATTTGTAGAACCGCATACCCTAGCTGCAATGCCATTCATTTATCCAGGAAAGCGTCGTCGAGTCTTAAGACTCTTAGTTGGGAGGGTCCCAAGGAGGGTCCCACCCCCGACTCAATTTAAAGGCGCCGCCTATCGGTGACAAATGTTTACAATGAAGAGGGCCGTTAAAAGTGGTTGCCACCTTCAGCGCTTGAATGAAGCTGGCGTGAGCCGCCTGTGTTACCCTCCCTGCTCCCCCACCATCTCTTCCGCAGTTAAGTTATTCGAGGTGATCGAGACAGAGAAGACGTTGTACTTGGTGATGGAGTACGCCAGCGGAGGTGAGCAGCCGCCCCTCGGCGGAGGGTACCGCAGCACGCAACGCCACCGCTCTCAAAACGCGCCGCCGCAGCCAATAACGAGTCACAGCCCCCCCCACCAGTAACCGTCGGGCAGGGCTCTTCATCTCGTATTTTAACCCCAGCGTGGGTCTGTGGGATAAAATGATCGCGTGCCGACGTGCCAAGTGACGTCGTAGTGCCCCGTGTATTTGGACGTTGTTAGATTGCATGGCGTCCTAAACTGGTTCAACAAAACACACTTGAAACTTGAAAACAGATCCTGACGAGACCACTTAAAAGCAAAAACAAATTCACATTGAAAATGAGACGAAAAGTAGTAAGTCGTTTACTGAAACGGATGGAGACCCTGAGTTGTGGCGGCCCTCTCTTAGAATGGCTGAATGGTTTAAGAGTCCGAGTAGGAATGCAGCTGGCTCATTCACTCACTCTTAGCGCTCACAGCCACACGCCCTTCTCTGCTGCCAACAACTTCATCATCATCATCATCACCCATGATAAATTTGCTGCTGGATTGAGGCCTTCCCAAGCAACAGACATTGCTCACAATCTTGCGCTATTGCAATCTGTATAGCACCTGCACACGAACTGATTTCATCGCTCCATCTCCCTGTGGAGGACACGAATATCGGGCACTCGCTTGGCTGCCACTCCCCAGTTGGTATCAACCACCTGCCATCGTCTCTTCTAGCCATGACGTGTGCCTACCCCCACCCCACACTTGCTTTACCTTAACAGTGAAGATTGCATCTTTTAACGTTCGTACGTCTTCTAATTCAAGTCTCCCTTTCTGCCTTTCAGTCTATTTCCGTGCTTGCACCTCCCCTACACTTCTCGACGCACTTTTTGTGTCTCTTTGCGCGAGCAACGCCAAACGTTTCCTTTTCCTCACCCTCTCTCACTCTCGCCGTTTAATGTCGTGCACTCTCGCCACGGAGGAGCTGCATCCGGCCGTATGGGGTGGCCAGCTCCAGCAATCCGCAGCGCTCATTGTGATTGATTGCCTCTTCGAGCCACTGGAGTGGAATCCTTAAAGCGGCCGTTAGCAAAATTCCGTTGTAAATGCATGTCACGTAAACATAATAATAATGATGATGATGATTGGTTGGGGGTGGGGGGGTTTGACGGGCCCGGGTGGTGCGCTCTACGTGCGATCAGGGTTCGGGTTGGGATTAGCGCCGAGTTTGTGCGTCGAATCGACGAGGGCGGCGCTCGGTCCGCGTGGCGTGACCTTGAGAACACGGCCCCGGGGGCAGCATGGAGCGCCCGGCCCGATCGATGAGGCGACATCGATACACGAACCCGACCCCCCCTCCCCCCCGTCCCGGTCCACCCGCACGCTCCCTCCCTCGCTCGCTTGCCCGTCAATTCGATTGCCTGCCCGCCCACCAGTCTGCTCGCTTGCCCATTCGCCCGCTTGCTCAGTCACTCGCCCACAGAGCCGCTCGCCTTTCTACTTGTCCACTCGCCCACACGCTCACTCGCCCACTCACCTATTCGCTTGCTTGCTCAGCCGCTTGCCCGCATGCCCACCGGCTCGCTCATGCATAATGCCGCAAACTCACCCATTTGACCACTTATTCACCAGCTTTTACCCACCTGTTCACTCACTCAACAACTCACTCACCTGCCAGGTTACTCAACTGCTCACCAGGTTGCTCACTCACGAACCCACTCTCCCACCCGCACAGATCATTGCCCGCTCAACTGCCCGCCCGCCCCACTCGCACTCAAACCCAATCGCCCATCCACCTGTCCACTCGCTTATCCACTCGACCACTTGTCTAATGTCTCATCTACCTGCCTGCCCACCCGCTCGCACGCTCGCTCTTTCCCCCATGGCACCAGCAAGCGATCTCTCGCTCACATCCCAAACACCAAACACAAGATCCTTCTGCGATCTCGTTTCACCGTGATTACACAGTGCTGCGCGCTTGCCGTTGTGAAACACTGCAAACACCGGTGTGGACGCCGCAGAACCGCGTTCATAGTGAGAGAGTGGTCGAACTTTGGTTGATGACCTCTAACTTGGAAGTCTTTACGGAAACCCACACCCCGGCTCTTAACTCGGGACTTGGCGCAGGGCCGTTGGGTAGTGGATATCGCTTGTTCTCTCTTCTCTTCCGCCCGCCCGCCCGCCCCCTCCGCGTGCCGGCTAATGGTCCTCGCGGCGCTGTGCCCTGTGCGTGCCCCGCAGGGGAGGTGTTCGATTACCTGGTCGCGCACGGGCGGATGAAGGAAAAGGAGGCACGGGCGAAATTCAGACAGGTACCGCTTTAGCCGTGACGTCATGACGGTCAGCGCACTCGGAGGACGCCGGTTTTATTCGATCTCCAGGCGCGGTGCTTGAAATATTGGGGCAAGTTTATTTAACCCACTCTTGCCCATGTTCAACAATCTCCATCTGTCCCACCTCTATGGGATGGAGTGTTGCACCCTCGCACGCGCGTGGGTTGTGTTGGGGTGCTCCAGTTTCCTCCCACGTATTATAAACGCTCGTTGATCGGCTGAAAACACCTTTGTCCATATGCGCCTCCGTGCGTTGTGGTATTCGGTTGCGTAAATGCTGCGATATAAAACTCAGTATTACCATTATTAATGGGTATGCCAAAGTCAGTCTATGAGCAAGGCACGTGTGATGGTGGAATTAGGTAAGAATACTCCCCCCTCTTCCACGACATCTGGTCAGGGTAGAAGAGTAGGCCAAACTTGCCTATTGGGCTCCCTCTACTGGAAGCCCCTTCTGTCGGCAGCTAGCATCAGAAAGCAATTGGAAGGGCTGTACCTTTATCTTCTTAGTATTCCAGCCGTAACCCTCCCTACAGGCAAGTAAGATGTGCGTGTGGTATGGAGGCCGGGCCACAGCTACACACCGTGCCCGCCTGTGTGTCTGTGTTTCAGATTGTGTCCGCGGTGCAGTACTGTCACCAGAAGCTCATCGTACACAGAGATCTGAAGGTGAAGTGTGTGTGGGTTGTAGTTGTGACATTGTATACGGAGACACCGCTGTTGGCGATGCTGCCCCCCTCTCTGGCCTCGCTGTCTTTTTGTAGAGGACACCTGGGCACAATTGAAGTGTGGCCTTCTGTGAGGTGTGGCCTGGTGTCAAGTGTGGTCTGGTGTGAACTTTAGCGTGGCGTGAAGTGTGGCCTTCTGTGAAGTGTGGCCTTCTGTGAAGTGTGGCCTTCTGTGAAGTGTGGCCTAGTGTAAAGTGTGGTCTAGTGTAAAGTGTGGTCTGGTGTGAAGTGTGGCCTGGTGTCAAATTGTGGTCTGGTGTGAAGTGTGGTCTGGTGTCAAGTGTGGTCTGCTGTGTGGTGTGGTCGAACACATGACGGGGGATTGGGTGCTCCACCACCACCCCACCACTCACCTCATTTCCCCCCTGTGGGCCACACCCCCAGGCGGAGAACCTGCTCCTGGACGCCGACATGAACATCAAGATCGCCGACTTTGGCTTCAGCAACGAGTTCACGGTGGGCGGCAAGTTGGACACGTTCTGCGGGAGCCCCCCCTACGCCGCGCCCGAACTCTTCCAGGGCAAGAAGTACGACGGGCCCGAGGTGGACGTGTGGAGCCTCGGGGTCATCCTCTACACGCTCGTCAGCGGGTCGCTGCCCTTCGACGGACAGAACCTCAAGGTGGGCAGTGGAGGAGAGGAGTCGGCGTTGTAACGCTGTCCAGCTCGGGTTGAAAGTATTAATCCATTGGATGAGTCCCATCAGTGGGAAAATGAAAGACGAGCCGCACTGGTGCGATTGTGGCCATGCAATCCACACTGTGGTCTGCAGAGTAAACCAATGTAGTCTGTGCTCATTCAACGGAGAAGGAGCAAAACTCAACGAACTCTCTCCTGAAGCCTTCTTGTCGTGGTCTGCAGACCTCAACACTGGCGTCTGAACATATTGCGGTTGCCATCACGCGTAAGAACAGAAACAGTCCGTCTGTACATCCGTCTTATCAGTCTGTAACACTTGGGTCGTGTTAACTGTTCAAAAAATGATCTTGTATTGACGTTTTCTGATGAAGTGGTGTTGCTATTAGGGACTTGCCCAAGAGTGAATCGGGTACACCGGTGCGTCGAGGATGATTCTGGCAGCAATACGAACCAGTGTTGAGGGGAGCGACATTGTCACAACAGTAGTCATGGGGGGGCATGGCCGTACTCGCCGCAAGGGCTTCTGGGATCCGTGAAGCAGGGATCGGGAGGCTGAACGTGAGAGTAGAGAAGGCAATGAGACAGATGAGTGGTGGGATGAAAGTGGATTAGGGACCTGGAAGGAAGTGGCCTCGGAAGGGAGAAAGAGATGTTTACGAGATCAGAATAAGAGCCCATTACGATGAGGGAACCTCTCTACAGAGGAAACACAGGTTTTTAGAATTACATTAAAATAAGAGACGCGTCTTTGCGTGTGCGTACTGCTTGCCACCCGCAGACTCGTGTGCCGTGCTGGCCTTAACAGGTGCTCGCTAGCTAGCAGCACTTTCCCCAACAGTCTGTCAAATGCTACACGGCTGGATTTGTTTCCTCTCTGTGTGTGCACCGCCTCATTAGGAGCTGCGGGAGCGGGTGCTGCGAGGGAAGTACCGCATCCCCTTCTACATGTCCACGGACTGCGAGAACCTGCTCAAGAAGTTCCTCGTGCTGAACCCTCTCAAGCGCGGCACGCTGCAGGTCAGTACGGGGTCGCAGCGCCACCTCCCCCCGGGGTTCACGGCGCCACCTCCCCTGGGGTCGCGGCAGCACTGCACCTGGGGTCGCGGCGCCACCGTCACCATCTGGATCGTAATCGGCTTGTCTTATCAGAGACGTGTCGTTGCCTATAAACATCTGGCAGTTCACCAGCATTGGTTGCAGTAAGCCCGACTGATGATTGAGACACTGAATGTCGAAACTCGTCCCGAGTGTTGCTTGTGTGCAACCATTCTTGCCAAAATTATAGACTTTCGGAAGGCCGTGTGGGTAATGGGATGTAAAAAATTAAAATATGTACGTGGAGAGACAGGTAGAGGAAGGAGCTATAGTCTGCTTATCTATTATATAATCCTAGTAGATCACGGATAAACCACCAACTATCATAATACCCATGACCTGCACCCTCCCTGCATCTTCTGAGAAGGCCGTTTGCTACCCCCGTGTCGCCATCACAATCTCACCAAGCCCTCCACATTCTGACCATCGTGAGCCCAACAATGAATGCCGCGCTGCTGGCCGTTCCACTCGCAGCCTGCGAGAACTTCTCGCGTGCACGGCAAACGAGTGCCAAATGTTGGAGAGGTGCGCGGGGAGCTAATGGCTCGGGTGCGCTCGTGGCACCCGTCGCGACGGATCTGGCGAGAGCCATGCGACGGTGGCGCGGGGCAGCCACCCGCACGGACTCCCTAGCGGTCACCGTAACTCCACGCATTTGGCGTAAACAGGAACCGTGTGGTTTGCCCCGCGGTGGGGGGGTGGGCGGGAGGCGGCCGTGGTGGTTGAGGGGGCAGCCGCCGTGGCCAGATGCGTGTCGCCAAACGCGTGCGCATGCACACACGTGTTGATGCTGGCGCCCCAGGGCTTAAGCGCGTTCTGGGTTTCTGGTAGACTGGAGTAGGTGGCACGTGACTATTAGCCACAGCCATAGCGAGAAGAGATATACTGGGTGTGGTGTGCCGGGCGAAATCTTATTTCGGGTCACTGACCCGGTCATACCCAGCTGAAACGAAGCCCTCGCTGGCGCCGATTGTGCCGCCCGTGGGGGAATGAGGGGGGGGGGGGGACGGCTGAACTCTCCTGGTCCCCGTGAGAATGGAACACGTGTTCTTGGTTAGCGCATCGAGCGCGGTTCCCTTTAAGTGGGAGTCGATGGGCGCGCTAGCGGAGTGTAAAAAACACACAGAGCATCGACGCGCCGATTAGAAATGTCGTTTTATGGATGAGTCCAATCGCTTGTTGATTCGGAGAGCCAGCGGTAACCCAATGCCGCTCACTCCCTTGACCCTACGTGGATTGGTGACTAATCGGGCCTTGATTTCTCACTGATTGGAGTAGGTGGCATGTGACTAGTCGCGAGGAGTATGCAGGACGTGCTGTGCCAGGTGTCAAAATGTGTTCTGGTCACCACCGACCAGCACAGACGCGGCTGAACTTGAGTCCCGGGTTTAATCTGGAATACGATGCCCAGGATATAATCTGGGACACAATGCCCAGGGTGTAATCTGGAATTCGATGCCCAGGGTGTACTCTGGAATACCATGCCCAGGCTGTAAAGTAATCTGTAATTGTAGAGGATGACGTTGGTTTTCGGTTAAGCTTTGTTGGGTTTGCACTGTGGGTTGTGTACGCCCCCTGTTGGCTGGCCTCCCACACACCGTCGCTCTAAGGTTCTGTGTTGCTGCCGTTACCTGTGAATCGGATGAATTGTCACAATGCTTCCTGGTCGCAAATACCCCTTTTTGTTTCTATATTCATAGAAAGTAAAAGCACATATTCATATGTAAAATGTCATGTGCATGTTATGCTAATTAACGGGCCATTAACATCTTAATATTTCGAGGACCGCAGAGTTTAGGCAATTGTTGGTTGCGCCGGCTGAGCTGAGTTTCTGCCTTCTCGTCCGTTCTCTCTCTCTCCGAGAGTGATGAGCAAATACCGCGCAGTGCGTTACAAGCCTGGTATTATTAGCGTTATTTCAGCTCGGAGAATTAAAAGTAAGAATTTTACTGTTACATGACAAGCCTTTCTGTGTCGCCGGGTGCTATGTTTATTTATGCGTGTATTCGTGTATGTGGGTAGCATAGCGTTTAGTACGAACCTGGCGGCACAAGTTCCAGTCCCCGCCATGGCTAACATGAGTGGCGATCATCCGAACCGGTCCGTGGCCTCCTCTGGGTCGTCTCAGCCTCTGCAGTGTGGCCACGCCACACCACCCCTCTCGTGCGTCGGGCTGGCCAACAGGCACTTGCCCCAACAGCCTGTGTGGGCTACAAGGGATATCTTTGTCTCTTTGCGTGTTGCAGCAAATAATGCGCGAGCGCTGGATGAACGTGGGCTATGAGGCGGATGAGCTGAAGCCGTACGTGCAGCCCGAGCCCGACATCACCGACCTCAAGAGGATCGGTACGAACCCACGGCGGAAATTTCACATTCGTATGGCGGGGACCAGTATGAATTTTGAGTACAGGACTGAGCTGCGACAACATTTGAAGCGATGATGATGATGGGACCCTGAGGTTTAACTCTTGCCTCCACCCCGCTGCCCCACAACGAGATTCACCAGTCACGTGTTGCTGCCCTTGTGGTGCACTTAGAACCTCGAGTGACTCCGAGTTCTAGATCACGGCCCACATCGACGACGAATATCTGAACCAGTGCTGGGCCTCCCCTGGGTCGACTCAACCTCAAACGAGTACCTTGTGGGGCGTATAGTAAACATCAGCACTGGGGAGACGAAGGCAGCAGGGCGCAGTGCTGGCCACACCCAGCCGTGCCGGCTTTAATATAAGATTCTCGCTCACAGCACTTGCCCCAAAAAAGTTCTGAGGCTATACGGAGGGATCTTTGTCTTTGCGCGTCCCCCCACAGAGGTGATGGTTGGCATGGGCTACACTCGGGAGGAGATCAACGACTCGCTGACCAACACCAAGTACAACGAGATCACGGCCACCTATCTGCTGCTGGGGTGCAAGCCCTCCGAGGTGAGTGGGTTCGCGAGCGGTCAGCCGCCCCCTGCTCAACGCGACGGGCGAGCTCACTCTTGTCTACTATGACCTTAATCGTGTGTTGTTTGTTGCTGGATGCTCAGCATTTTATGTTGGGCATCTGCTCACCAACTGTGTAAAAAAAAAAACTCAAACATAACGTATTCTCAAGTTTAAGGAGTTGGTCTCTGCCCCAATGAGTGCACGCACACGATCACGTTAAATCTGGGTACGCACTCAATTTGGCCAAATTCCACCTGGTGGATTAAAAATTAATCGGCTTTACCCCACGCGAAATTCAATCTCAGCGCCAGTGCGAGAGACACAGTGTGCCCCTGTGGCATACAAGATGAACAGGCCACCAGAAACTGAGCTTTTGGGACTCGTCCTGGGACGATATAGCCCGGCTTGTTTTAACCTTAAACTTTTGGTATGGTCATTGCGAAAAATGCCACTTGCAGGAAGTCCTGCAACAAATCTGTTTTCGCGGGCCATTCCCGCACACACGAGACATATTGCTGATGGCACACCATCATCATCACGATCATCATCAACATCATCGTCGGCGATGATTAATCCACTGCTGGACGAATGCTTCCCCAACAAGCTGTAGCCATCCCTTGCTGTCCTTCGACATAACAATCTGCCATATAGTCCGCCGCCGATAGCGTAGTCGGAATAAAATTGTCAGAAAGCAAAAGAGAAAGAGCAATTCGCAGCACGCAGGCAGACGTGCTTACGGGCGGCGTGCGTGTCCGTGCGCTGCAGCTGGAGGGCGGTGACTCGCGCTCGGCAAGCAGCCTGTCGCTAGCTCGGCCGGCGCGCCCCAGCAGCGACCTCAACAACAGCTCCGTGCCGTCGCCCTCGCACGGCAAGGTCCAACGCAGCGTGTCGGCCAACCAGAAGCAGCGGCGCTACAGCGACCACGGTACGATGCCCGCTACCCCCTACCCCCACCCTTCCCAACTCTCAGAACCCCCCAAAAAACAATGCCCTCTTTCCGTTATAATATAAAAAATATTGTGTGCTGGAAAAATCTAAAGGTTGCCAGTTGAAACTCCTGGCATGCCAGTTGCAACAATCGTTTTATAAATCCCGCTCCACGCCCTCGACCGAGCGCACCCAGTGGTATAAACGGTGCCGTTTGTTGATGGGCGCTTGACATTTTGGATTGTGGGACCTGTGTTAAGCAGCAGCTGTGTTTAGAATGATATAACTTTGGTCAACCTTGGCCCATTGATTTTTCAGGCCGCTTGTGGTGGCCCTTTTTCGAAGATGCCTAGCCAACGTGGAAGAGTAGGCCAGGTGGGCTCTCGCTAGTGCTCACCATGGCGGCATGAGTGAGCAATCGCAGGGCTCCACCTTCACCGCTTTGTGTTGCAGTTGGGCCGCTGATGGTGCCGTCGGCCGTGTACGGCAAGCGGGGGGGCGGTATGTCACCGGTGGCCGGCGGGGAGGGTGGCGGCATGGGAGGCCACGAGATGGCCGTGCACGGGATCCGCAAGGCCGGATCTGGGGGCGGTGGTGCCGGGGTCACGGTGCTGCCGGGTGGTGGCAGCATGGGGCCGGCGGGCATGCCGGGGAGGCCCGACCTGGTGCCCGCCAGCCCTGCCGCCAACGTGCACAAGTTGGACGTGATGGGCCGCAAAAAGGCCGGCCCTCCTGGGGTGAGCGTGATGTCCTGCGTCGAAATCTTAGTTCGTGATAAGTCAGTTCGGTGTGCCAGTATAGCGCCGCCCCATCGCCACCATACACGTTGACGCGACCGTGCAGCAGCCATTGCGTCTTTCAGTAACACGCGTTGCCGGTTGGTGCATCCGCGATTTAAATCCTCGCCGAACATTCTCCGGTAGACTGGAGAATAGGTGGCACGCCGCGACTGGCAGTAGCCGCAGGCCGTGGCTAGAGGGGTCTTGCTGGACGCGGTGTGGCGTGTGCGGGACTCGACCCGACTGTGAAGCGTCGCGCGTCCATGTGACTCCGCGCAGGGCATGCTGCTGCCGGGCGGCATCAGCCGGAGGAACACGTACGTGTACGGGGAGAAGGCTGGAGGGGACCGGCAGGCGGCCGTGCAGAACGGCAAGGACAGCAGGTGCCGCCCCCTCGCACCCACAATCCTCCATCCCGGGTTCGACTACTGTCTCGGGCATCTCCCTGCTTCAGTTTATGTTCTGCCCCTGTTCTGCGCGAGTTTCGACACGGTTCACCGCTTCACTCCCATAGCCTATAGCCTAACCCACACACACAGTGGAACCGGTATTGGGCCAGCCCAATGCCAAGTAATTACCTGTAAATTACTCAATTGGGTTCACACACACTGCAGTAACGGCACCCGCTATTGTGAAAACTTGAAGCTCCGACAGGCTTTCCTGCATGAACGAGTGTAGTTATAACAGAATAATACATCCACACATTGACAACCATCGCACAAAGACAGTTCCCCATTTAGGCTACATAAACTCTTGGGGAAAGTGCTATTATCAAGCACCTTATGAAGTCTAGTACTGTGCATGAGGGTGTGGGATGCCCATTGCTAATGTTTTATACACCGAGGTACCCATTTATGGCCGAGTTGACCGAGTGGAGGTCCAACTATTTTCCACTGTTAAACATTGTTAGGGGTTCATAGTAGTGCACTGTCCGCTGCTCCACCACTCTACCTTTCGTATTATATTCCAAACTCAACATAATGGGTCTGTTGTGCAGTCACGGGAGACCAGGCTGAGACCATCGTCAACTCGCCTGCTGAGACTCGTATTGGAGCCCAAGATGATAGCAGGGCCAGCTCTGTGCCCTGACACCTGAGCCACACTGCTTCGATCCTTCCTAACCGTCCTTTGTTTCTGGTGCTGCCGGTTCTGCTGCGACGCACGCAGCCTAACGGAGGTGTCTGGGGGCACCGGCGTGGGCGGGGCCCTGTCGGCGGGCTCTGTGCGGCCCCGACACCAGAAGTCCATGTCGGCGTCGGGACATCCGGGCAAGGGGGGCCTGCCCCCCATCGAGGACAGCGAGGGACCCGGGCGGCCTGTGTGAGTCACCGCCTGCCATGACACTCGGCGCTCGCTTCATCAGCAGCGTCCACACCGCGACGGTTTTGCGTGCGGTCGTCGGTGACCGAGCTGAGACCATCCACTTGCAGCACTGGAGGAGAATCCCGTAAAAAATCACGGTTGGGTAGCCGAACGCATCCACTGTGGAGACGAAGGCAGGCCGGCAGGCGCGGTTTCCCACCCTGTCGTGCAGCTTGTCAGGCTGCGTAAGATCCCTGCGCGCCCCAACAGCCCATTTAAGGCCGCACGGCGAATCTCTGTCCCCGACCTTATGCGCAGGACCCCACCCGGCGGGCCGCAGCGAGCCGCGGCCCCCGCCTCGTCCCCCTCGGCACACACCATCGGGGGCAGCACCCCGGAGCGCACGCGCTTTCCCCGCGGCAGCACCAGCCGCAGCACGTTCCACGGCGTGCAGCTGCGCGAACGCCGGCACGCCGCCCACAACGGGCCCCCCGCCTCGCCCAGCCTCTCGCACGACGCGCGCAGGTCAACCGCCGCGGCCGGCGGGGGACCCGGCGGCCTGGGGGGACCCGGCGGTGGGCCCACCACCCCGAACCTCTTCTCCAAACTCACCTCCAAGTTCAGCCGCAGGTCGGTTGGTGCAGGCGCTGTTCGATGAAGGCTCGCGTGTTGCTGTTGTGGTCTGGACTGCGGGGTAGTTCTGGCGTGCGTACGACTGGCCCCATGCCATATGAATGTGGCACTTGCGGTACTGGGTCTGGATCACCAGCGGCGATGAGCAAGGGTTGTGTCGTGTGCATGTGTGAAGACGCTGACGTTTGTTATTAGAATGCAAATAATGTAATTGTTGATTAGGGATTTTTTTTTAGATTCATAAGCACGCTGGTGAATGCGGGTTGGTGAAGGCAGGATCGGTTTTGATATTACGTGCCGCCAATGTTTCCCTTGAGCTGGAATCAAACTCAGGTTGCAGAGTTGATAGCGATTATTCTAACCTGTGTACCATCCCTCCACTCCCATTGTTCTTACTGCTGCTATTGAAACTGAAGTTTACACCCGTGGCTCGTATTGCCAAGACCAGAAGTATTAATATCTAGTCCGTATCCAGCTGTCTGAGAGGCCAAGGCAGGTCTTGCAAGCCACCCAGGCCAGGCATGGAATTTGCCAGTTACAATTGGTCACTCTAAACTAAGCAAAACCCAACACGGCCCATTGGCCAGATGGGCCTGGATTCAATGTTGCTTCCCGATACTGTATCCATTCGTTGTCCATATGTGAAAACTGAGCTGGTTGTCGTTTAAAACCTGTCATTTTAATTTTTTTTTCTTCATTTGCCTGTTTTGTTTTATTTCCCATTCTGTAGAAATGTGTCGTTAATTTTTTCCAAAAGGTAGGAGTGCCTCGCACATCTCTCTGCTGTCCAGTGGGGTGGGACCATCGTTTAAACCGAAAGTGGTGGGGGGGGGTACGGGGGGGGGGGGGAGGCACGGTGACATGGCTCCGTGTGAATACTCCACCGTGTGATATGCACGTGCACTTTGGCTCGCCACCTAACCTTCCCGCGCACGTACGCTCACTTACGCGCACGCTCACTAACGGCTTGTCACTTCGCCCACGCGCGGCCACTGTTCTTCGTTTGTAAGTCGCGAGGGTTTGCATGGGCGCCGTCGGGTCGAGCGGCGGCTGGTTTGTGTGCCAAGTTTAATCACGTGGTGTTCTCCCTTACGCACGCACGCACACACGCATGCTCTCCCTTGTTAAAAACAAACTCACGTGCACTAACTCGCCTCATATCTATAAAATCATACCCACAATTGACACCCATAAAGCTTTTTCAAATCGTGAATGCTCACACTTTTAAACTCGCCCAAACACAAACTCATGCATACATTCACCCTTACACTCACCCACACAAGCACACCCACACCGGTCCACATACCCAACTCACCCACACTCCTTCCCTCTGCCGTGCCGCGGAACCGGCGTGCGCAGCACCCGACACTCGACGGCGATCGGAGGTGGAGGCACGCTGTCGATGTCCGCCACTTCCGGGGGGATCGTGGGGGCCGGGGGGCCATCCGAGGCTCGCGACGACGGCAAGGAGGTGAAGCCGCGTTCGCTGCGCTTCACGTGGAGCATGAAGACCACGAGCTCCATGGAGCCCGACGAGATGATGCGTGAGATCCGCAAGGTGTTGGACGCCAACGGCTGCGACTACGAGCAGCGCGAGCCCTTCCTGCTCTACTGCGTGCACGGCGACGGGCACGGCGACGACCTGGTGCAGTGGGAGATGGAGGTGTGCAAGCTCCCGCGCCTCTCGCTCAACGGCGTGCGCTTCAAGAGGATCTCGGGCACCTCCATTGCCTTTAAGAATGCCGCCTCGCGCATTGCCAACCAGCTCAAGCTGTGATGGTCCGGCCGGCCGCCTCGTCAGCACCGCTCCCAGCTCGCTCGCCCGCCCGTCCGCTCGCCCGTCCGCTCGTCCGTCCGCTCGCCAGCCAGCCCTGGCGTGAGCCCGCCGTCTCGCCGTCCCGCAGTCTCGCCGGCCGCCTTAATCATCGTCGGCTTGGGAAGAGCCACCCTGCGGCTCCGTCGTCGCGGGGGTCCTGGGGGGCGGTGCCGTCTCGCGTCGACTCAAAGCACATTGGGGATTCCCCGCACCGCCTCCCAGAAGCGGCCATCCCTTGCGCATCCAAACGCCCTCTGCCAGTGGCGGCCTCGCCTCCTCCTCCGGCTTCTCTCGCGACGGTGGCGCCGTCCCAGCCCCCTTCGGTACCAGCCCCTCCGCCTGGTGGCCACCAAGCTTCAGAATGCCCCAGCTCTGCCAACTTCCAGTACAGGGACCGCTGCGCCGTCGTCCTTCAACAGCCGCCCACTCAACCACCGTGCTCGTCTGCCTGCCTGCCTGCCTGCCGCCACTCGGTGCTGCTGCTGCTGCTCCTGCTGCTATTCTGCTGGCGCTGTTAGAGTCTCTGGTGGCGCGCGGTCGCCATAACCGCGAGACTCGACGCCGAAGTTGGAACACTTGGCGCCGCGTTTGATTTCGCGATCGTTCTAGTTTTATTTCTTGGCGGCGAATTGGGAAGTTTTATTTGTTACGCGTTTTAAGTTTTTGTGAAGAAACACGAGAATCAAGCAAGCAGCTGTGTAGCACACACGGGGCCCCGGAGTCCACCCCTCTTTGCACATTCGTCCTCGGGCTCTCAAGTATTTGTGGTGGTGGCCGACGAACGAAGCCGTTGGGAGTTTTCAAATGAAGGAAAATGGATACAAGCAAAAAAAAATCTGGAAAATTAATAAGTATATATATACGCGCACACGGGATGCAATAAACGCGTGGGGACGCGTGTACGGAGAGTTCCGATGCCACACGGCGTCATCGCCGCAGCATTCGTGTGGATAAACCTGTGTGTGCGTTGCTTTAGCCCAGCTGTCTGCACGCAGCCTCCATCACTGGGCACACTCCCCCCCCCCCCCCACGTCACCACCCCCAGCCCCCCTTCTAAACCCTATCTTAGCCGACTTCTATACATCTCTGGGCACCACCTCCTTCCTCTTCATTCCCTCCAGCCCAGCTACTCTCCACACCTCGTGGCTGTGGCTGCTGCGCTCCACTCCGTTCACGTCTCCTGCACTCCGCTTCCTGAAGTCCCTCACGGCACTTCGTGTCAGCCTGGGCCGCCAGCCTGCAAAGTCGTCCTCGCCTCCTCCCGGGCGCAGTGTCCCCCTCACTTTCGTCGGCTGAGGCTTCAGAAAGCATCAGACGTGGCCCGCAGCAATCCGGAGTTGAAGTTCTGGGACATGCGCAGTCTGCGGGGAGTACTTGCGTGGTCTGAATTTGGTGTTTTGCAGCAGCCCAGCCTCACATTTGACCCTGCCACTCAAAAAACGCGAGCTTAAGGACCGCCCCTTTCGTGCCAGGCTGGGGGCAGTGCCCACCATCCGTCCTCTTTAGTGTGCCCATCACTGCCATCCTTTAGCCACGGCCATCTTTATTATTTGTCGAGAAACTGACACGTCCGCCCGTCGCCTCTTGTGAATGTACGATAGGTCAAGGCATCTCCACTGGCCCCCTCCCCGTCCCCTGCTCCGTCGTGCCACCCTTCCCCTGAACAAGAGAGCACTACTCCACACCCACCACCCCAAACAACTATTACCGGATCGGCACGTGCCATGCCCGTCTGCTTTGTTTACGTTTGCTCTCGCTGCGTTACCGTGGAATGTGCCTCCGTTCGCGCGGTCCGTCGGAGCTGTGACGCGCAAAAAGAGAATATAGCGGCGATTTCTGGCGATCGGGGCTTAATTTCTCGGTGCGTTCCGGGTCGCCGGTAGACTGGAGTGAGTGGCGTGCGACTTAAATAGCCACAGCCAAAGCAAGAGTGGTATACTGGATGTGGTGTCCTGGGTGCAGAAATGTTTACTGGGTCTGACCCCGGCTGAAATTTAGCCCTGGCTGCATTAATCGGAGCCAAATCCTCCACCCCCGGCGCAGAGCCCAACCCGTGACCCTGGCCACCCCCTCTCGTCCTGTGGCTCCAGCGCGTTAATCTGTAGCAACTGTCCATGCGTAGCCCTGAAGTCTCTAGGTTTCTAGTCCCAGCCTATTAATGGAAATCCTTTGCCCTGTACGATTCTGCCCGTGGATGTAAATGTTTAAAAATTGGACGGCGGAAGGGTACAGATTGTTAAATGGGCATCTATGTTAGTGTGCTGATGACTGTCACCATCAACACAACCGCCATCACCACTAATCGTGACCATAACCACCTTCATCACCACTGCGGCCAGCATCATTACCATCGTCATCCACCATAAAAAATATCACCACCAACCACTGCAATCATCACTCCCACCACCCTGACCATTATCACCATCATCCACCACCACATGTGTCACCAACATTCCCACAACCACCACCACCTTTAGCCATGTGCACATCCCCAGCCACCCACCACTTTCCCGTGTCACGATGCAACAACTCAGCGGTGGACACCACTCACTCCGTGCCCCCCCCCATCCCCCACCCCATCCCCCACAACCGGTGGAGCCCCCCCCTCTCCCAAGGCGTCCAACGCCTCTTGTTTTTGTACGAATGTTTGTTTGTGAAGTGGAGTGGTGGCGCTGAATAAAGTGAGAACAGGACTCGCGTGTGGCCGCGAGGATGTGCGTGTTGCACGGTGCTAGCGGTGTCAAGATCGGCCCCTGTGGAGGCGGCTCGTGAAGAATGCTGCTGGGGAGTTGGAGGCAGCCGCCCTCCAGCAACAACGGAGGGCGGAGAAACGGCGGTCACAACGAGCAGAGGCACAGGGCGGCTAAAATGCAGAAAGTTGGTAGATCTTGCCAGCCATCTCAGTCAACCTATGACACCTGGGTCTGTTTCTCGACCTGCCAGCAAGCCTTCGACACTTCACGTGGCCTCAGGGCACCCAGCATGGCACTTGCTAACCTTGCTACCCGCCTATACTGGACATCTCGGATAATAAGCTTCATAGCTCAGATTCCTCCAGTCTAAATACAAATTCCGATTTCTGGAACAGGCGCCCTGGTGACGTCGCCACCACCACCACTTCGTGGTGAACGGCGGTTGTCAATAGTGGGGAGGGCAGGCGGAACATCTACCAGGTATCGCAGTCAAGTAACGTACAACAACTTGGGTCTGTCCTGTGACCCGATGCCAGCGAGCCTTCGACACTGCGTGACCACAAAGTGCACCTAGCCTGGCACAGGAGCGGTGGGGGATCTTGAGCAGAGGTCGCAACCGGGTACCCGATACCAGTACCCTACCCGATACCCGGCTACGGGTAGGCCGTGAGTCACTGGTGAGTAACTGTTTGTCACTCATTTCCCAACGTCTTGTATCTTCTCACAATTCAAGTTCCTAGAATCAACCCACCCGCGCCTGCACCATGGCTTCATCCCAGAGGTCGCAATCAGGTACCCGATACCCGTACCCTACCCGTACCCAGCTGGGTACGGGTAGGGGCCGGGTACGGGTACCCGTTTGCGACCCTGGTGCGGCCGGGTACGGGTAAGAAATCAAAACCCGTTTGCGACCTCTGATCTTGAGTTTTTGGTATTTGTGTTTCACTCGGACAAAGGCAGTAACCACGCTTTACCAGCAGGGGGTAGCGTGTCGGCACGATCCGTCAACGCACAAACAGGCGCGGGCTCGCGCCTTCACTCGCAAGTAGGCCTTGGCAAGGTAAGGTAAATTACCTTTATTACCGGGTAAAAGGGAAAGGGTAAAGGTTCCCACATGCCAAGGGGTAAGGTAAAGAGTAGGGTAAAGGTAGCTCAGAAGAATTACCCGTAAGGGTAGGGCGAATAATTACCCGGTAAATACAGTACCTTGTTTACTGCTAAAAGTTCCGTGGCGCAGTGACGCAATCCGTGGCCTCCATTTTAAAGTAATGGCGGAGCACATGGAGACGGTCCACGTTCTTGAGGTCGAGGTACTAGAGGACAAGGATGCCAGCAACGGCTTTTTTTGGGGTTGCTGCGAACAGCAATCGAAAGAGGCAGCGGTGTGCGTTCCCGTGTGAGCACACACGATTGGATGAAGGGTGATCCGCATGCACAGCAAGGGAAGCGGCAGTGCGTGCACTGCCGCAAGTGGTTTTCCACCCACACGAACGCGTCGGGGTGGAAAGCCCACCTCAAGAAACAACGTGTTCGCTCCAGCCAGCGAGGTCGAGACATCGGCGTCGGCGAGCTGCCTAATACAGCAACCGCTGAGCCGGCCAGCAATCCCGGATCGCCTCCTGGTAAAGTTTGAGAACGCGGTGGTGGATTTTGTTATCCAAGGTGCAATCTCTTTGCGAGCCGCCGGCAGCAACAAGTTCAAGACCTTGTTCAACACATTGACGCAGGGATACGAGGGCCCATCGACCCGCACCATCATTCGCAGGATTGTTGAGCATCACGCCATCATGCTGCCCATCGTCGGGGCGTTCTTCTCCCACCTGGACGTCGCCATCTCGCTCACCATCGACGGGTGGTCGAACCGCAACCTGAAGGGATTTTGGATGGTCGTCAAAATCCATGCTGCTGACAATCCTCGATGTGCAGTCCGGAAGGGGTGTCGGCAAGCGCATTGGGGCCGCTCTGTTTGAGCACCTCCAAAGCCTCGGGCACAATATCTCGACTAAGCTGCTCGCTGTCACCAGCGACAATGGCTCCGATGCGAACAGTGCTGTCAAGATGTGTTCGCCCTGGTCAACGTGGACGCCGGATATAAGCAGTTGCGGGCTTGCCACCATATTCGATGTGCGGATCATTCCGTCCAGATCGGCGTCGTCCAAGTTCTAAAACTGATCAAGTCAACAAATGCCGAACTGCGCAAGGCGCTCGTCAATATCAGGCGCAGCAAGGTCGTCCGACAGTCGTACCGCTGCGAGGCTAAGATCGCCAGGCTCGCCAGCAAGGAGCCGACGCACCAGGACTCACCGACCAGGTGGCATTCGACGTTTGACATGGGCGACGACGCCATCAAGAAGCGTGTCCCATTGGACATTATCATGGCGCGCTTCCAGGATGTGATCGGTGTCGGTGCTTTATCTGAACTGCAGTGGGCAAACATCGAGGGCGTGACAGCATTCCTGCGAATGCCGCTTCAGGTCATGGCCTCGTTGTCGGCGGACCACAATTCGACATTGGATCTCGTGCCGGTGATGATGGAGCACGGTGAAGCCGCCCTTAGAGCGATCGATGAGCCTTTGACTGCGACGGGGGATGAAGGCCGAACTGGTGCGGTACCGCCACCTACTGGTTCAGGAACCCGCCATTGTGGCATCCTACTTGAATCCACAGCTGCCGAAAACGACAGACCAAGACGAGCTGGCTACACTGAAGGCCACAATCCGCTCTGTCCTGCAGCATCGCTACTCGGACGTGCTCACGATCTCGCCGACGGCAGTTGCTGCCCATATGGAGGAGCGGTCGCTGTTCAGCACCCTGTTCAGCAATGTCGGCAACTCCATAGACGACGGCGATGAAGTCGATCGTTTTCTGAGCATGGGCGTCACGACCGCCAGCGCCTTCATTGACGTAATGCAGTGGTGGTTTCTCCGCAAAGAGCTGCTCCCCGCCCACTACAAGATGGCCTGCGACTACTTGAGAGCGCCGGCGACATCAACTTCCCTGTGAACGTGCGAATAGCGGAGCCGGGCGGGAGTTCACATGCGTTTGCCAGTCGCTGTCAACGACGCTCTTCATGAAGTCCATGTGCTTGCGCTCATGGATCACGGCCGGCTGCCTGAAGGTTCCGTCTAACTGGGCTTGGAGCGGCGCAGGATCTTATTGCCTGTCGTCTGTCCAAGGATGATGGCAATGACGAACTTGATCAGGTTGTTGATGAGATCGCCATCGACCAAGACGACTGGGACGAGGAGGTTATGGAGGACGGTGTCGTCGACAGCCTAAACGCCCGATTTGAGAGTATTCTATATGATTAAAGCGTCTTCTTTCGGTAAAGTCATGTAGAATGGAAATAATACAATAATAAAAATAAAACATAATAAAATAATTCTCACGACGTTTCGGCCACAACGCAAGCAGCCGTCCTCAGGTGAAGACCAAGTCTGTCGGGGAGACAGCGTCTGAATGAAACAGCACCATGCTTGGAGCGTATATTTAATCTGGGTTGGAAGGGGGGGAAAGGGCGCCTTGACAAAAGAATTTGCATATCAAGAGGATTTTTGCATATTTATGGGAAATGCAGGTATGTGATTAGTACTACTTATGCCCGTGCATTATGCAGGATTAGCAGCATCAAAGGGAGGGGATATGGGAAATGCAGGTATAGGATTAGTACTACTTATGCCCGTGCATTATGCAGGATTAGCAGCATCAAAGGGAGGGGATATGGGAAATGCAGGTATGTGATTAGTACTACTTATGCCCGTGCATATACCCGGTAAAAAGGGTAAATTGCCTTACCTTGCCGAGGCCTGTCGGCCCGTCGTTAAGCGATTAGTCTATAACAGAGGTGGTCGTGTAGAGGGATATACAGCAGTAGACACGAGGTGTACCACGCCACCCACTGCTGCACACCGCCCGAGCATCTCAGACCCGGGAATTCCGACGCTCACGCGAACATTTTAGCTCCGGGGGTCAACTCGGCGTGAGACGAGGGGGGGGGGGAAGAGAGCCCCCTGCAGAATAGGGGCCGACCGAAACTGAATTTCTGGTTTCGGACGAAACTGAAAGCAAAAAATTGACTTTCGGCCGAAACCGAAACTATGCCGAAAGAGGGCATTTGCCAACTTTCGGCCGAACCGAAACCGAATTTCGGTCGACCTCTACTGCAGAAGCAGCTGCTGCTGCTGCCCGTTGCTTCTCCTGGCTGCCGAACCTCCTCTGGGTCGGATGCTCGCACTCGACTGAGCCAAATCGGCTCTTTTATAACCCCCCACCCCCCTAGCCAGTTAACACCACCAACTCCGTGGAGTGCTCGTCGCGCTAAGATTGGCTCGCTTTGCGTGAGCGATTAACCAGACCCAATTTGGTGCTTCGGCCACCGAGTTCACTGCTTCATCGAGCTCTGCTCCACCACCGACTGCTCCCTCCACCCCTCTGAGCCCGAGTGAGCCTTCTCCCGGCTCAGCGTTGCCGCACGCACGGCTGCTGATGATCAGCAGCAACAAGGTCCATGCCGTATTGCCGACACTGTTTGCTACCATTGCCAGCTGTGTCGGTATTCTTTGACGCATCAGCTGTGGGACAGCGTTCAACTAACCCCGTGACGCAGAGCAGCCCCCGTGTTTATCATCTCAGCGCCTCCCGTTCGGACACAGAGTGAATGACCTCAGATTGGGTGTCAATCTCTAAATAATCATCGCTGTCAACCCATACGATTTACCCGTGTTCATGTCCATACGGCGTACAGCCGTTTCAATTCGGGCAGCACGTTTTTTGTCAATTTGTTTGTTTTTCTCCCTTGTGATGGGACTTTGTCGGATGAACGTTGAGATTTATAAGGGCACGGGGTGACCAATACGGTGTGAATTGGTCTGTAATAAGGGGTTGACAGGTATGAATAATTAACGCTGCATTTATCTACGTGTTGTGAAGGACCATTGCCCCGAAACGTCGCCCATTATAATCTCTTTCTTTTGAGGGCCGCAGTCTTATCGACGACCGGTGTAGTAGTTGTTTTGTTTGTTCATTTTAATCGACGCTCACGACGTCACTGGGAGCACGCGCGCACGCACCACGTGCCAAGGCTCACAAGGGCCATCTCCAACCACAACTCAACGCGTTCGTCAACAGACACCGCGGGATTTCGAGGGGACATATATAATAGGCGACGTTTCGGGCAATGGCCCTCCCTCATGTAGCCCAAAAAAGGTTAAACAACGTTCATGAGTGCAGTCAGCGAGGTTTTGGCCTCAGCCCAATGAACTGCCGACTTGGTAAGAATAAAAATACAACCCCGAGCGAGTGGAGATTGTAGTTAAAGAGTCGTAGACTTTATTTCATTTACGCAGCAAGAACAGAACGACGACCCGACGAGGTGTGGAGCCCAGCCCAGGCCGGGTCGGCAGTGGCAGAAACATCGCAATGGCAGTGGGTCGGTTCGTTAGAGAGTCGCTTCGTTACAGAGTCGGTTCTTAAGAAAGTCCACTCGTTGGAGAGTCGTATCGTGAGAGAGTCGGGGGTGGGCTCGGGGTTGGGGGGGGGGGGCTCGCGCGTCCATTCGAATCGGCACCGCCGCCGCCTTAACGCGTTTAACTTTGTACTTAATGGGACAAATCGAGAGTGACGGGTGGAATGGAACGCGCGCGTGCGCACAACTCGCACGCGGGATGAGCCCGCCTCGTTTAGAGTTGAAGGTCACAAAGCTCCGGGCGCGCGACCGACCCCGTGGCCCAACCGCAGGCCCGACCCACCGCGGTCGACGTTGGCTCGGAAACAGAATCTGGAGAAATCCGATGAGCTGTGAAGCTCTTTTTTTGTCACAGTATCTCCAGTAAGGGTACGCGTCAGAAAGTTGGAGCAATAAACGAAGAGCGGCACACGCAACGCCACCAGAGACCGCTGCGGATAAATCTATTCCGCTTCGGGGGGGAGGTGGGAGGCAGAACGATGAAGCGACACGAACTGTTTGAATAGATTCCTGTTTGAAGTCTCCCATTCAAACGAGCCGCCCGTTCGGCGCCTCGAGACCTTTGTTCACGTGGTTTGAGCGCCATAATTAGGGAATTAACATTGTTGTTGTTTTGTTTCTCAAGAACGGAAAATTACCTTATGAGCTTCGTCTTGCAGTGCCGCCTCCGAACACAATCACGTCCAGGGGCAGAGTTTCTTACTCAATCCTTCCCCGGTCGCTCGGAGTCCACCGGCGGTGTCGGTGGCACGCCACCAGCACTCACCACGGCTCATACCGAGCGAAGCTATACTGGACGTGGTCGGCCGAAATAATAATAAAACAAATTCTGTGTCACCCAGGCTACTTGGTTTGCTGCCTCCGAGGTTATAACAACAACAGAAACGGAGCACACGTCATGGGAAGAGAAATATCCCACAAGATCGAAATCGGGGAGAGCCTGGGGGTTGAACACTGCATTCCGGTTCTTATTCTGAACGCAACTAAAACAGGGACGTTTAATGTCGCGGGGAAGACGGAGTCCGGGTTTTCCATGACAGCGGCAGCGGCGGCAGCCTCCCCAACTCGAGAACAATCCTGGGCCACACGAGCACCGGTGGCCACCCGATCGACCGATCCGGGCCAGACCGCGGCGGCAGTCAATCGGCGATTATTGCTGTGGCGGAAACGTGGTGTTTGATGTCGGGTTGGGACGTCGATTCACCTCACAGCACCACCACGCGCACGCGCACACAGGCAGAGCAGCTGCGGTGATTGTCGGCACCACTCCCGACTTGACCGCGTCACCCCCCGCGTGTACGGAGAGCGCCGCTCCACGGGACCGCTCGGCACGGTACCCTGGGGAGCGATGGATGAACTAAGCGAGGCCGCGTGTTCATGACGAAGCTGATCTGAGACTGATACAAGCAGGGCCCCGGCGAGCACGACGGCCTCCACAGGGCAGCGAGGAGGTCTCCCCCGGGCCTGCTGCTGCGCCAGTTCAACCACGTGACCCTCCATCCACTCAACCACGTGATCCTCCAGCCACTCAACCACGTGTCCCTCCAGCCACTCAACCACGTGACCCTCCAGCCACTCAACCACGCGTCCCTCCAGCCACTCAACCACGTGACCCTCCAGCCACTCAACCACGTGACCCTCCAGCCACTCAACCACGTGCCCCTCCAGCCACTCAACCACGTGACCCTCCAGACACTCAACCACGCGACCCTCCAGCCCCGACACTGCCATAGCCGTGCGGCGGCAAAGGTCGCAGCGACGACTGACGACGAGGTGATGGCACTTAATGAACTCGCACTTAGCTCCGACTGATTGATGACAACGCTGTTGATGATGACTGATTAATGATGATGACAACAAATTGATGATGACGAGCAGAGCGAGGACGGTGACGACCGTATCGATATTCATCCAGTGGAGCCTCACCGAGGCCCCAAGGCCCCCCCGGAGGGCGATAACACTTGGGAGGTCTGCACAGACGGGTTCGTGAGCCCAATTGAGGAGCACGCGTCCACCGCCGTGCTCCGCCCGACTCCACCGCCCGACGATGCCCATGACAGCGGCGGTCAGACGAGGGAGCGGAAGAGGAAGGAGATGGAAGCGCCAAGCGACAGGCCGAGCGACAGGAAGAAGGCCATGATGGCACCGGCCGTCTCGGCATTGTGGCTAGACACCTTCCTGCATCCACACACACAAAGACAAAGATCCGTCAAAGAGCCACAACAAACTGTTGAGGACAAGGGCTGTTTGCGAGCTGCACCGTTGAAGGCCGGCACTGTGACACACGAGGAGACGGGTGATGTCGCCGCACGGTGACGTTGCTGGGTGACGTTGCTGGGCAATGTCGTGGTGATGATTACGATGTCACTACGTGATAGTGGCGGGCGGGTGGTAGTGATGATGATTACGATGTCACTACGTGATGGTGGCGGGCGGGCGGTGGTGGTGATGCAGCCACACGGCGATGATGTTGCTGTCGCGACGTGATGCCGCCGCACGCGCGCGCACTTGGGCCCGTAGCACATGGCGACCGTGGCGAGGTATCCGTTGCTGAAGGCGAAGAGGAGTATGAGGACGATGAAGACGGCGTCGTGCGGGAAGAGCACCGGCAGCGCGGCGGCGCCGCGAGGGTGGGCGTTGCACATCATGAAGAGCGGCACAAAGGCGGCGCGCGTGCACACGAGCAGCAGCAGCAGCCACAGGCTCCCGATGCTTGGCTAGGCGGGGGGACACGGGGAGGACAAGAGGAGGAGCACACGGGGGGGGGACACGGGGGGGGACACGGCGGGGGGGACACGGGGGGGGTGGACACGGGGGTGGACACGAGGGGGGACACGAGGGGGGACACGGGGGGGGGGAAACACGGGGGAGGAGGGTAATGAGGACATCATCGTGATCATCGTGATCATCGCCGTCATCATTGAGAGTCGTCGTTGGTTACTCTTTCGGTGTAGAGTAAATCAGAGGAGGAGGAATGTTGAAAAGCAAGGACAATTTTGATAAATTGTCAAAGAAAATGTCCTCTCCTCCACATCCTCGCCTCGATCTCCTCCTCGATCTCCTCCTCCAGTTTGCTGAAGAGGCGAGTCAATCGGCACATTTCTCCCACGTGGCAGCTTCATTAGATTGGCTCCATCGGGTGGAGGGGGGCACCGCTGCCAATTGGCATCATAGTGGCGCTACCATCTCACCCAAAAGTAACTCGCTATGTAGCACGACATTGGTTGTGAGAGCCTTCGCATAAAACCATCACCGTTTACATCATCGGAAAAACCAGCATCACTGTCGCCGTTGTCGCGAGTGGGCAGCTCCCTCGCCGCTCGTTGCGCAAGGTGTTCGCGGTTCGAATCTGGCGGCCGCCCCGGTTAATTCTGCGGTTTGTGTTAACCGTAGAAAATACCAACCGCTCCACAGCGGATGTTAACGATCCCGCGGGAGCTGCTCAATGTGCCCCGCGTTGTCCTCCGTCGTTGTCATCGTCATAAACTGGTCATGTCGACAGTAAAGACCTTCATAGGCACACTGTGCGGTGTGCAGTAAACATCAGTCCTAGGATACAAAGGAGGCGGCCGGGCGTGGTGCTGGCTACCAACCCTTTCATGTGCCGAGCCGGGCTTCATAGGTGCTGCTCCTGCTGCTCGCTAACAGAACTTGCGCCCACAGCCCGCGTGGGCTACACGAGTGACCTTTGTTTCTGCGCGTGTGCGTACGCGCGCGACTCACAAACGTCACCACTCCAGCGAAGCTTCGTCCCGCCCAGTCGAGGAGGTTGAAGAGCAGGAAGCACGAGATGGGGATGAAGAGGATTTCTGGAGAGAGACACGGGGAGGAGACACGGGGAGAAACGTGTGAACACACAGGGACACGTCAACACGGGAAAGACACGGGGACCACACGATGAGACACGAGGAGACACGATGGGGATGTGGTGAGCTGAAGGACACATGGGCGGTCGGGAGTCGGTGTGAATTTTACCAGAATGGTGAAGTATGGCGCTCACCCCATCGGCTCCCTGGGGTGGCGCTGGTGCTGACGACGTCGGCGGTGATGGCGGGGTACACGCCGAGCGTGATGGTGAAGGTGAGGCACACGCACAGCGCCGGAATCCAGATCTGCGTACACCTCCCCTCGTCAGCCACGCAGCTTCCCCGGGAACTTCCGCTACCGCCCCGCGGGGCAAAAACGGACGCTCGACGATTAACCTGCGCCCAGTGGTACGAAGGCAGCACGCTCCACGCAGTGCGTCTTGAGGCTTATTGAGACTTTCCTGAGCAGGAGATATGCGACTCCCCAGTCAACATTGGCCCAACGTTGGCATGTGGTTGGAACCGTTGGCTCAATGTTGGCCCGACGTTGACCGACGTTGGCATGTGACTGGAACAGTGGGACCAACATTGACCTCGGCTATCGAAGAGTCAACCAAGCTCGCCCCATGCACGACACCCTCTTACCATCATCGTCACACATGGTGGAGGGGGATGTGGCGATGAAGATGACGCTGGTGGCAGTGGTGTAGTAATGGCATTATCAGCTCAGTGGGTGCTGCAAATGGTCAAGTGGGTCCCCAATATTTGACTTTTCTCGCACGGTCGCACCTCGGCTTTTATATATCTCGGCTCCTCTTGCCCTAATCGCATCATTACGCTCACGGTCTCGAACACTTGACGCTGTAGGGGGCGCTCTGTCTTCGAAAATACGTTCCTTCGGAGTGGGCAGGTAGGAACTTGGTTAAACCAATCCGGGAGCGTACATGTTTGGGAGGGGTGCACCTCTGGTTGGCTGCTGGCTCGCGGTCACGTGACACACTTCAACCAATCCGAGAGCGTACATGTTTGGGAGGGGCTATGCACGACAGACAGACAAATAATCCCTGGTGGGCAGTGTGGGAGTGTTGTTCTTACCTGTAAATGCAGCCACTACAGCTCCTAGGAACCTCTTTGCAATATAATTGACGTGTATCTAATGACACAAATATCCCAGACAAGGAGATCTATGTCCGATGTTCTTTTACTCAAGTTACCATCATTTAAATAAAATTACGTTTCGTTACTTTACATTACATTTATTTATGGTAAAATAAACCTACTACTTCCAATACTAAACTAAACTGTTTTCAAGGGTACCCTAATTCGTAGCGTTGGCCACCAAGGGAGGGAGCAAGGCGCCCCCTGCCCCCATGCTCGTTACGCTACTGGATGGTGGTGATGGTGGTGATGGAGATGGTGGCTCACACCTGTTTTAAGATTGAGAGCACAGAGTCTGGTTCCATGATCTTGGGTTCGGGTTTTGCATCCAACTCCAACTCGGGGCCCTCCCCGTCCGGCCGCTTATTACCCTCTGCGCAGGTGGGGGTAGGAGAGGTTTAGGGTTAGGGGTCAATGCTGAGGTTATAGTAGGAATGGGGTCAAGGTTATGGTAAGGGGTTAATTTACTGTAGGGCTTGGGGTAAGATTAGGGTCAGTGTAGGGCTATCGGTTTCAGAGAGGAGTAAACTAAACTCGAATTTTTATTTTACCAATTAAGACCCACTGAGCTATGTAGCTCTTTTGCAGAAGCCACCTGGCTATCACAAATGATAGCTCAACGAAGTGGCTTATCATCGTGTGGAAATGCATAGCAGCCAAATAGTCTAAACGCAAGTTGATTCTAAACGTGGAGGGGAAAGCTGGAGGGTGGCTGCAAGGTTATGATTAGGTTATTGGTCAAAGTGGTGTCGAGGTTAGGGTTACGGGTTGGGGTTAGGTTGTCATGTAGGGCTATAGTCGGTGGTAGGGCGAGGGTTTTGGTGAGAACTCTCTAGGTGAGTGAGCGAGGCTGCGACTCACCAGGTACGCTGTACCCTTCTGGCTCCTCCGCCTCGTGGCCTCGACCCCTCTTCGAAAAGTAAAACGTTGCAAACTTCTACAGCAACGAGATCATCAGCAACGATAACAACATTGAGGAGGAAGATGAGGTGGCGATGATGATGATGATTGCAGAGACGATGATAACGGTCGGAGTGGTGGAGACGACAGTGCTGATGATGATGATGATGACGGTGACAATGATGAAGAAGGTTGTGGTGTTTAATGATGGTAGAAAAAGTTCTGATGGTGGTGGTGAGGGCAACCTACGAGTTTGGACATGGCGAGGTAGGCGATGATGGTGATGAAGATGGTGACGCACGCCGTGATGAAGTAGCCAAAGGCGCTGTGGCTGTGGTCGTTCCCTTCTGCACACAGCACGGAGACAAAGCAGCCTGACCCCCGCACCCTGACCCCTGTACACTGACCCCAGCACCCTGACCCCTGTACCCTGACCCCGACACTGACCCATCATAGTGAACGACACATCTCCATTGTCGCTGTGGTCAACACGCGGGGGTGAGCATGTGCAGGTGAGAGTGCGTGGGAGATTGCATGGGCGAGCGTGTGTGGGTGAGCGTGGGGGTGAGTGTGTGTGGGCGAGCACGTGCGGGTGAGTGTGTGTGGGTGAGTGTGTGTGGGTGAGTGTGTGTTGGTGAGCGTGTGTTGGTGAGTGTGTGTGGGTGAGCGCGTGTTGGTGAGTGTGTGTGGGTGAGCACGTGCGAGTGAGCGTATGTGGGCGAGCGCGTGTGGGTGAGTGTGTGTGGGTGAGTGTGTGTTGGTGGGTGAGTGTGTGTGGGCGAGCCGCACGCAACAGAGAGAAGATCATCGCCAGGGCGGCGAAGATCCCGGCCATGCCCTGGCCGCTCATGACAGGTACCGCGTAGTTCAGTGGCAGCAGCCCCACCAGGCCGAAGATGCTGCCTTGCAGCACCGCAACGAAAGCTGCGATGGCGACACGCCAACACCACCATCACCATTAACAACATCATCATCGCCAACATCATCATCACCATCATCATCAACAATACCATCATCAATACCACCATCAACATCATCATCAACAACACTATCGTTACTCTCATCACCGTCATCGTCGGCTGAGGAGGTGGGCAGTCAGTTAGGACTTGGCCAGAGAAGAGAGCAGGACAGCTTCAGAGCGCCTCTTTGAGTTGAGACTAAATATCGATATGAGAGTTCATCGCCGACGACTGTAGTCTGATGTTGCACACTCGAAATGAAGGACGTGGGCAGGTGCTCCAAATCGAGGGCAAACACATTTATTGTGGTCAATCTGTAAGATGCTACAGCACGTGGTGTCACACACAGCAATTCTTCAACCGAGTCGCCATTAACCACGTGACTGGTGTCCAAGTGCGGTTATACTGGTAGGAACGAAGTGAACCAGCCTACAATAGATTATATCGTCCGTCCGTCCATCCGTCCGATGTGCGATTAGGTGTAGCAACATCGCCCCCTACTGCAAACACTTGGCAGGACCCTACTCCTCAAACTCTCCCTTCGTATCGTACCCCCGCGTGTGTGAAAGAGAGTTAATGTTTAACAATGTTACATTCCCTGATGTTTTTTAATAGAAACATTTAAATTTAAAGCTTTTACATAAATCATTAAAACATTTAAATAAAAAATTAACTCACAGCGGCCTAAAGCCTACAGCTAGGCCTAAAGCCTAGAACTAGGCCTCAAACTCTCCCTTCGTATCGTACCCCCGCGTGTGTGAAAGGGAGTTAATATTTAAAAATGTTACATTCCCTGATGTTTTTAAATAGAAACATTTAAATTTAAAGCTTTTACATTAATAATTAAAACATTTAAATTAAAAATTAACTCACAGCGGCCTAAAGCCTACAGCTAGGCCTAAAGCCTAGAACTAGGCCTCAAACTCTCCCTTCGTATCGTACCCCCGCGTGTGTGAAAGGGAGTTAATGTTTAACAATGTTACATTCCCTGATGTTTTTAAATAGAAACATTTAAATTTAAAGCTTTTACATTAATAATTAAAACATTTAAATTAAAAATTAACTCACAGCTGCGTAAAGCCTACAGCTAGGCCTAAAGCCTAGAACTAGGCCTCAAACTCTCCCATCGTATCGTCCGATTAGGTGTAGCAACATCGCCCCCTACTGCAAACACTTGGCAGGACCCTACAAAAACCTTTACACTCAGTGAGGCTTTCCTGGCTAAACAAGTGTAATAATACATTCTGTTTATATTCTTTGGTTATTCGTTCCTACCAGCCCACCCCGCAGGGACCTGTTTCAATAACCATGCCAGCCACCTACAGGCCCAACTCAGTCATCACATGCTGCTGTACACACATGCATTGATGCACTGCACAGCACATCAGAACTTTCACAGAACCACACTTTACTCCCTTGCTGCACAAGGAAATAATTAAACGAGTGATCCATTCCTAATGTGCCACACTGATTTCTACTGCTAGAGTATTACAACTGTATTCTCACGCACTGTTTACTCAGTAGAATAGTTCAACCCTTGCAAGGCCTTCCTCTTTGCTGCCCGTCCGCACCTCCGATTTGCCACGGTTGGCTACGTACGGTGCGAAAGAAGTTCAACCTACGTACATACGGACACATCGCGCTGTCCACAAGAGGTCCGCGTGGGGGACTCACAGTTGATGAGGAATGCGGTCACCATGGTGATGGCGAAGAAGGTTGAGGGCTGGTGGCTGAGCACGTGCACGTGCACCAGCGCCGCGGTGAGCACGAAGAAGATGAGGATGGCCACCAGGCTGCCCAGCATGCGCACGCACTCGGAGATCCTGCAACAGCAGCAGCAGCAGGATCAGCGTCAGCAGCAACACCGCCAACGCCGGTAAACACTATGTGGGTGGACTCACGGGCGAACGCCGTCATGGTGCGGGTGAACGCACCGGCGGAACGACGCGTGGCGCGGGTGAGGGCGTGCGCAGGTCAACGCACAGGTTAACGGCGCGTGGCGCGGGTGAGCACGTGCAACACGTGTGTTACGAGATGGATCTGGTCACAGCTATCACGGAGCGGACAAGGGGCTTTTTTGAGTTTCAAGGTGCCGCCGGTGGGGAGGCAGTGGCCCGGACTGGTTTGACTCGTCCACAGCTGCCGGGCGTTGCTTGGCACCGCGAGAGATTCGCGGGACCCGCGTGCTCCTTCAATGGAGGAGGAAGAGGAGCAGCGAAAACTTACGCAGACCTCGCGACATTGGCGTTTAGCTGCTGGACCTCATCGCTGCTGCTGCTGCTGCCATGATGCACAAGGCTAGAGCTGGGAGAGCAAGGAAATTGCTTCGTGGGGCAAATGATCGACTGCTGCTGCTGCTGCTGCTACTGCGTTGGCAGTGTGGCACAAGCACAGTTAACAAACTATACACTCGACACATTGTGTCAAGAACACCACCGCGTGTGGCCTTAAAATAAAATCTATACTAGACGAAGGTTCGGGAAATACTTTAACCCCCCCCCCCCCCCCAGGTATGTGCTATGGGGAGGACAATTGCCCGAATCATTGTCTGCTATAAATGTTTTTCTTTATAGACAACAGTGTTATTGTCGAGTTTTCTTTAATACATAATGGGGGGTGGGTTGGCAATACCCCCCCTCACCCATAGCCCCTCCCCCCTCGCGCGGCCCCCACCGCCGGTGGAGCACGGAGTTGAGGCACGTGAAGATCAGCATGGGCAGCATGGAGCACAGCGTGAGGACGCTGTTGAAGTTGCGCTCCAGGGAGCTGTCCGCGGGGTGGTGCCCCCCCACCTCGCTCGCGTTCCCCTGGACCCCCGGCTGTCCCGAGGCGTTCGAACTCACGTGTCGCTGGGCCAGACGACTCTTGAAATACTAGGGAGGGGTGGGGGAGCAAGAGGGAAAGGCGAGGTCATGGCCGGGCAGCCGACCGCACGAACACTATGCAGAAGCAGATGATCCGTAGCCTTCCCATATCTGATGTCTAACCACGTAAAAAAATATCGTTCGAACAGCTCGCAACTTGCTTCGCTCGCTCACGCCAACTTTGCTGCGTGGATCGCATGAGCGAAGGACTTACGGGCCAAGACGCCGAGCAGCCGGCAACAAGCAGCACTATTAAGATTGTACTCGATAATGGAGTGGAGCGACACGTTTCCTGGATTGTGCGATGTTACTATTGAAAGGGCTTGGGGGGGGGGGACGATGGGAGGGGATTCTTGTAAGAGTTTCTGTGCGGTGGTGATCACTGCAGACGTTAGCACCATCGTCATCATGACGAGGCGGTTTGTTGTCGATTACAAGGCCTCCTCTACTTACGAATATTCGACTTACAAACTTTCAGAGATACGAACAAACCTGTCCGGATGTCCAGTTGCCTGTTCGGACCGAGAGTCGTAAGGTTAATAGCCGCACAATAGATGGCGGTGGTGGCATCTACATCTGCAGAACGTGAAGAACCAGTGGCATCTACATCTGCAGAACATGAAAAACCAGTGACATCTACATCTGCAGAACGTGAAGAACCAGTGGCATCTACATCTGCAGAACATGAAAAACCAGTGACATCTACATCTGCAGAACGTGAAGAACCAGTGGCATTTACATCTACAGAACATGAAAAACCAGTGACATCTACATCTGCAGAACGTGAAGAACCAGTGGCATCTACATCTGCAGAACATGAAAAACCAGTGACATCTACATCTGCAGAACGTGAAGAACCAGTGGCATCTACATCTGCAGAACGTGAAGAACCAGTGGCATCTACATCTAAAGAACGTGAAGAACCAGTGGCATCTACATCTACGGGAGATTATACAACTTTTAAAACCATTCCCTGTGTTTAGTGTATTAGTGTACATGCCGTACAGCATGTTTTGCAATCGACAGGAGTAAAGTTGGAATTACAAACATATCGACTTACGAACAGACCTTTGGAACCTAACTTGTTCATAAGCAGACAAGTCCCTGTATAGCCATCATCCCCGCACCCGCACCCCACCCCGAGTCCCGTCCTCACCTCCTCGGCTGTGATGAAGAAGTTCCAGGGAAGGAGCGTGCCCAAACCCAGGAGGAAGAAGATGATCCACACCGCTTTAAACCTGCACACAAGTGTTTCGCGTGCCCAGGCGTTCATGCGTGCAGGTGTGTCACGTGTCCAGGCATTCATACGTGCAGGTGTTTATGTGCACGGGTGATCATGTGTTCATGAGTTTGGGTGTGCCTGTCCATGAGTTTAGGTGTTCATGGTTTCGGATGTTCATGCGTATAGGCCGTTCATTCAACGCAACCTACTTGCTGTACACATCCCCGATGTGTTTTCCGGGTTGTACCGCGTGTTGCTTTGGCATGATGTCCGACATCTCGCTCCGCGCGCTGGGAGAAGCTCCCAATAGGTGGTACAACCCGACATCCCCGACACAGTGGAACTCGCTTGCTGTCAGCACGTGATCCGCGCCTGTGTGTGTGAGGCCCCTCACCTGTCCCGCGGGCCATCGCGCCCCGCCGTGCCCCCACCTTCCGTCTCCGCCGGGGCCACCTTGCCGGTTCCGATCACCGCCGTGGTGACTCTTGGGGCGAGACTGGTGGTCGACGAGATTCAATGGGTGCAGGAGCATCAGCAGCAGCAGTTGCAGCAGCAGCAGCTACATCGTCAGCAGCATCATCAGCAGCAGCAACAGTTGCATCAGCAGCTACATTGTCAACAGCAGCATCATCAACAACAGCAGCATCCTCAACAACAGCAACATCATCAACAGCAGCATCATCAACAGCAGCAGAAACATTATCAACAGCAGCATCATCAACAACAGCAACATCATCAACAGCAGCATCCTCAACAACAGCAATATCATCAACAGCAGCATCCTCAAAAACAGCAACATCATCAACAGCAGCATCATCAACAACAGCAGTAACATTATCAACAGCAGCAGCATTATCAACAGCAGCATTATCAACAGCAGCATTATCAACAGCAGCATTATCAACAGCAGCAGAAGCAGCATCAACAACAGCAGCAGTAACATTATCATCATCAACAACAGCAGCAGCAGTAACATTATCATCATCAACAACAGCAGCAGCATCATTATCAACAGCAGCATAATCGTGATGGACCCGGCCTCATCCCTGACTGGATCCCTCTGTCTCCAGCACCGTCGCCCAAGTCGTCCCCCGGCTCGCGAGTAGCGCCTGTGCGGCCGTCTTTGTGTCCCCCAAATGCTCATGGGTTGTGTTGTTGTTGTTGTTTACACACCGCACCAGGTACTTATTGAAGGCCGAGTCGATGTTGGGGAGACCCAGGACCTAAGTAAAGATATTCGCTGTCGACAATGAGCGGGAATCGGACTCGGGTCGCCGGGTTCGCAGCGCAGCGCGCTAACCACTATGCCACCGCTCCTTTGACACACACCGACACACACAACGACACACACACACACAACGACACACACCGACACACACACACACAACGACACACACCGACACACACACACACACAATGACACCGACACACACAATGACACACACACCGACACACAACGACACACACACACACAACGACACACACAACGACACACAACGACACACACACACAAACACCGACACACACACACACAACGACACACACACACACACACAACGACACACACACACACACACAACGACACACACACACACACACAACGACACACACACACACACACAACGACACACACACACACACACAACGACACACACACACACACAACGACACACAAAGACAAAGATCCCCCGTATAGCCTAAACAGACTGTAGGGGCAAGTGCTGTTAGCGAGCACCTATGAAGGCCGGAACGGTACACGAGGGGGTGGGTGGCCAGCACCACGCCCGACCGCCTTTGTCTCCCTAGTGGCGATGTTTACACACCGCACCAGGTACTCATTTAAGGCTGAGTCGACCTAGGGGAGGCCCAGGACCGGTTCAGATAATCGTCACTGGTGTTAGCCGTGAGCGGGAATCGAACCCGGGTCGCCAGGTTCATAGCGCAGCGCGCTAACCGCTACACTACCGCTCCCCACAACGACACACACACACAATGACACACACAAACACCGACACACACAAAACGACACACACACACAACGACCCACCCCAACCACCCTAAACCGATTTGCGAGTCCCTCCCGCATCACCTCAGCCTAATCTTAGTTCTCGCACGTTTACTACCGTGTTTACACACAGAGAGCGGCGTTTATATGACAACAACAGGGCCCCTGGCACGAGGGGATGTCTTTGTAAAGGGGTCATTACCCAACGAACACTAAAGAATTACCACCGTGAGAGCAGTGACGGAGTGCGATAGGTGACCGCAACACGGCGTAGGTGACAGGCCTTCATCCAGCAGTGAATAGACCATGGCTGCTGATAATGATGGAGATGATGCTGCTGACGGTGATGATGCTAACGCTGCTGATGGTTTTGAAGGTGATGGTGATGATGGTGACTGCTGCTGACAGTGATGATGCTGCTGATGGTGATGATGCTAACGCTGCTGATGGTTTTGAAGGTGATGGTGATGATGCTGACAATGCTGCTGACAGTGCTGATGCTGCTGATGCTATTGATGATGATGCTATTGATGGTGATGCTGCTGATGGCGATGATGCTGATTGTGCTGATGAAACGGCCCGGGGAAATTCGCAGCAGCGTGCGAAGAGGTTACGGAGCGAGACCCTGAGCCGAACCTTGACCAGAGACCCTGACCCTCACACTGACCCTTAGCCTAACCCTGACCCTCGCAGGGGCCCTGGCCTTGACCCTAAATGACCCTTGCCTTGACCCTAAATGACCCTGGCCTGGACCCTAAATGACCCTTGCCTTGACCCTAAATGACCCTGGCCTTGACCCACAACGCTGATCCTCATTGCTCATCTTCATTCTGATTGAGGGAGAGGAGAGGGGGGGGGAGTGGTGGACGCAGACGGACGAAGCGGAGAGAGAGGAATGAGAGAGGGGGGGGAGAGAAACAGCGAGGGGGGACAAGCGAGGGACGGGGGGGGGGAGAAAGAGGGGGAGGGGGACAGGAGAAGGAGTGGGAAGGTAGAGGAGAGTGGAGAGAGGGGGGTGAGAGGTGGGGCTCGAGAGGTTGTGAGGTGGGGGGTGGCGGTGTAGAGGGGACTTATGTTGGCACATTGCAAAATAAATCAAAACAAAGGTGCGGGGGGGTTCATAGGTCTGCAGATCTACCGAAGTTACGCAACACGCTCTGTGCACGCGGTGGACCCTTAATGTCGTTTGCTAAACAGGGGGTCACTTTCTCCCGGTTCACCGCGACCGCGCCGCTGCCTGCCTTCGCGAGACGAAGAATCCGTTCGGAAACCTCGCGGAGAGGTGCGGCGACCCCCCCCCTTCCTGTTCGAGAGAACGGTCCGTGGAAGCGGCTATCACGGAGCTGCCACTGGGAAGCCCTTCGTGTGACCTCTGTAGAGGCCCACCCAAATTCGGTTTCGGTTTCGGCGCCGAAAGTTGGCAAGTGGCCTCTTTCGGAATATTTTCGGTTTCGGTCGATAGTCAATTTTTTACTTTCGGTTTCGGCCAAAAGGATTTTTTTTACTTTCGGTCTGGTTTCGGTTTCGGCCGAAACCAGAAATTCAGTTTCAGTCGGCCTCTAGACCTCTGTTCCACCAACTACACGACAGCACTTCCTCAACCTTCCCTGGAACTTGAGGGCCATCAATGCCTGTCGCGTGACAGCCACGCCGATATTTCAGAACACTCAAAGCTGTATTTGGTCAAATTGTAGAGGTGTTACGTACTGGGGTGTAGCAAGCCATTACGTTGCGGTGTCTACATCACGGTCCGTGCGTGGGGTGTCTACATCAACGTCCGCATACAGCCCCGCCCCTCGAGGGGCATTGGGTATATAAGGTGGTGCGCAAGAGAGCTCGAGGCAGTCGTTGGAGTAGAAGAGCCAGTGAAGGCTGAAGAGCAGCTAGCTAGCCCTTGGACTACCCTGACTCGCTGCTCTTGTAAGAGCCGACCAGGGCAAGCCAGGGGCGACCTCAGAGCAGCGAGGTCTGTGTCCTTGTGAGGGCCAGGCTCGTGTGGCTGAGGGTCGGACCTGAGCCGAAGCTGGGCCAGGTGAGTTAGCCTCTATAGGATGGGTCTGGGTTAGAGAAGTGTAGGAGCTAATGGGGAAACGTTAGCCGAGGGACACTGCCTCGGATAGACCGGGTGAAGGGGCCGTTACCCCTTCCAGTGTTAGGGTGCGCTACGTACTGTATAGTACCCATTTGTTAATAAATACGTGTTGCCTCCGTCAAACGTCTCCTGCGCTACTTACGCCGTTACAAAATGAAGAGTGGAACCCCAATTGAATGTGATCGTCGTCTTTTTTTTTTGCGCAGGCATTGGTGATCGGGCCGAAACCATCAATTCGCTACCCTTGAGAACCTGGCTTAATTCACATGCATTGGATTAAACCTGGATTTTAACCCAGGGTCTGAGCGGTGATCGGTTCGGAGCTCTAACCTCTGAGCCACCCGGGATCATCTTCACGTGGTGCTACGGTCTGGAGCTGCCTCGCGGATTTCCACAGCTCAACGCGAGGACGGTCCACCCGGGAGAGAGAGAGAGAGAGGCGTGCGCAGTCAGATTCGCTCCCTCGCTTTTGGAAAACCTAATTGAATTTATTCGCGCACCAGGCTCACCAATTAAATTCCACTTCCCAGCTACTGCCCCCCGCCCCCTCCATCTCCCCTGACCTCACACGCCCTGACACACGCCTGGCGCGAGTGTGGTCACGAGACGAGACGTCTTCCGATCGGAACTCTGCAGCAAGCAGTGCATCTTCCCCGCGTCTGAGAACGGGTCCTTGGCAGATGATGTCACAGAGCCACCCCGGGGGTGGGGCAGGGGGGGGGCTTCCTCCCGCCCCCCGCCCCACCGCGCTGTAAAGGCGCACGTCCCGAATTCGTTCAAGCGGAATGTCACGGATTAAATGAATCCGTTTAAACCGGGCATAGGATTTGATCTTTCATCGCTGCACGGTGCCGGCTCAGTGCATCCGATTCACGAGCCACTCGCCCCAACCTCGCTCGAGACATTTATGGGGGGCGGGGGGCACCTCCGAAGGCTGGAAGATGGGGGCCGGGCTCCGTGCCAGGTTCATCACGAGAGATGCTCCCAAAACAACCCCCATCACCTGTGTACCCCCCCCCCCCCCCACGGCGATGAGTCTACGTAGTAATAATAATATATTAACGGGGTTGAATAGACAAGAGGGGAATGAAACCACCACATGAGATGCCAAGCCACCAGTTGCAACTCGGACAAAAAAGCACCACCACCACCCCATCTTGCCCGCGTGGACGCTACACCACCCACGCCCCAAGCCTCGCCAATGAGACTCAACGCACGGGAGAGGGAATTGGACATTTCCGATCCACACGGGTTGATTCGAATGCATCTATTCTGTCGATTGGTACCACTGTGGATTATTTAGGGTCACTTCCATCGTCGAGTCTGCAGTCACAACTGTAAGGCTGTGATGTGTACAGATTCACTCTCCACTGTAGATTATACAGATTCACTCCACTGTGGATCCTACAGATTCACTCTCCACTGTGGATCCTACAGATTCACTCTCCACTGTGGATCCTACAGATTCACTCCACTCTGGATCCTACAGATTCACTCCACTGTGGATCCTACAGATTCACTCCACTCTGCTCCTGAAGCCCCTCTAGTCGTGGCGATCAGACCTGGACGCCGTCACTTATCTCGCCAACACGTTTCCACCACGCGCAAGAACGGAACAGACTCCATCGCTGTGCATTCCCTAGATTCGCTCCCACCGATGCCCGCATATAATTGTGGCGATCCGTGCACAGGCGGGCGGGCGGGTGGTGGGGTGGCTCTGATCTGCTAACGATGTCACGCTACCGAAGGGCCTCACTGCTCGCATTGAGGCCAACGCTGGTTGTTGATTCGCCACGCGTGGCTGCGCGGTCCACGTGGCCTGGCCCTCGCGGGCCCTCGGTACAGACAGCGGGGGCCCGGCTGTATCGCTTGTCCAGTCAGCGTTATGTTTATGCTGACTTGCTTTGTAAAAATTTAAAATAACGTCGTAAAAATATTTCGCGTAATTATTAATGCGTCGTAAACCCCACCTCCAGCCGACGCAGCCAATTAGAAACGTGTGTCACGTGGTCAACAAAGCGTGCCAAGTGGTTTACGACGGCGGCACACCCGGCGTGTTGGATAATAAACCCACAACGTTTATCAATTGGGTTTACGGACTCATTAATAATTACTCAATCTAACCCAACAAACTTTATTATGAATAGAAAGCCTTGGTGTTACATTGCCGATTATATTATTATTATCATCAACAGAATCATCGTCGTCATCGGCCATGGTCTATCCACTAGCTGGGTGAAGAGCGTCTCCGCGTCGTGAAACGGCACTCGCTTGGTTAACAGAGATGTAAACATTCATATCCAGTAAACTGTATATGTTTTGTAATCTCTTCCTCGTGTATGTATCTGTTTATTTACAACAACAAAAAACGCTCAACGCATTCGTCAACAGTAGTTACCGTATCTGTGTTTGTGTTGTTACTTGTGCATATGCACCGCTGCAGGTGCAGCATCCCCCACAATGCGTTCTTCACTTAACGGGGTCCATCCACTGCTGGATGAAGGTCTCCACGCTGTGTTGTCGGTCACAGTGGTTGCTTGACCATCACTTCACCACGCTGGTCAGTGTGGGTTTATGAAGGGCAAGAGGGGTGGGGTGACTACCAAGGGGACCGGTTCGGATATCAACCGCTAGCGATGCTAGCCGTGTCCAGGATATCGAACTGAAAATGACGAAGTGCGCTAACCACTGCGCCACCACTCCACCCCTATGCCTCATTCCGCAGGTGAACTTTGCACTTTAATATTTGCCCCCCTCGCTTAATATCACGCGGAGTCATACACACGTAGCCACGGTGGCGCAACGGTGAGTGGCGCAACGGTGAGCAGCGCAATGGACCCGTCACCCAGGGGGGGTCGACGGTTCGATGCCATCTCCCGGGGCGGCAAGTTGAATCACTGGAGCAAGATTACAAAATACCTCCCGCGCCCCCTCTCTTCTTACCGCCTCTATCCACCCAGCAGTTTGAACGGGTAACAGGTCGCTTGGGGTGGGGCAAAGTGTGGGTTGTCTCACGTCTTCCGAGACTTCTGGCGGGCGTGGAAGAGTAGGCCAAATACCCATTCGAGGGGCTCCATGGAGCGACCCAATGTGAACCCCCCCCCCCCCCCGGCGTCTCAAACCCTAGACACGTTGTTGTTGTTGTTGAAGTTGTTGTTGTAGTCGTTGTTGGTTGTTGTTGTAGTCGTTGTTGTTGTAGTAGTCGTGTCCAGACGTGCGCGCATGGCGTGGGCACGACCACTTATAATTATTAAGTACGGGGCCATCCATTTAGTAAGCACGCATGGAGGGGGGAGGGGGGAGGGGGGAGGGGGGGTGAAGCTTTGATAATAATTTGTCTACATTGGCCTTCAAATGAGTTAGACAGTCCGGCGGTGGACTATCTGTTTGCTTAAACACGCTAATATTATTAATCATTTATCGTTCCTGCGTGGATTAAATATCGGCCGTTCTATAGGATTCGGGGGGGGGGGGGTGTAAAAAGTCCGCGTGCGTACAGGGAGGGGGGGAGGGTTCAAGTTTTGACAGATTTTTGCGCACCGACTCAATGGATGGCCCCTTACCCCAGCAAAATAAATGCACGTGCTGTAGCGGTGGTGTCGTGGTGGTTATCGCACTGTGCTCCCGGCTACATCCCCGAGTTCGACTTCCTGCCACGAGTGATGTTGGGGATCTCCGAACCGGTCCTGCCCTCCCCTCCCCGTACCCACTGCACCAACCCGCAGCGTGGTGAAGTATGGTCAAACCCCCATTACCGATATGGCCTTCATCCAGCAGTGGATGGGTCGGACACCCCAATGTAGCAAAAGGGGGTCCTTGACAATCAGTGATTGAGGGCGCTACGATTATAAACTGGTCAACAAAAAAAAACATTTTTTTAAGGCCTGGACTTTTGCAGCTGTTTTAGACTAATTTCAGGGTGCCGATTCCAAATCTGATCTCAGATTTGCTCCATCACATCTCATTTTTATGATATCGGCATACCCCATTTTCATTGATTTTACCCGAAATTAACTCTGTCACTTATGATTGCAAGTTGTTGCGAGCCAGTGACGGCTTTAGTGTTAAAATATGGTGCTGTATTTTTAGGATAGTGTGTTTATAATATAATTTTATGTAGATATACACATTTATTTAATATTTTTCTTCTGCAGTTTTTATTGAAAATGCAATATTTGATATCTCAAAAACCTGATGTGGTAGACAAAAACTGATGCTAGATTTGAAATCAGCGCCCCAAAGTTACATTATAACCGTTGGAATACCTTATGCCAGAAAAAGTGTGTTGACCAGTGTTATCAACAACATCATCGCCCCTTAGATTCGATCTCCCGAAGTGGCAGTTGAAACAACGGTGCAAGTTTCCCTAAGTCCCCCAGCCTGTAAATTGGTTCACCAAATTGGTTCACCAATTTACACCGATCGGTGGGTAAACGTGTGGGTATCCCACCCGCCACACAAGGTGAGCTCTCTCGCGCGTGGTGGCCTCGTCCACCAATTGTGTCGTGAGTACAGAAATGTCCGGGCTGCGCATGTACCTCCCGTTTCACCCGGTCTCCTCACTCAGGGTCCTCTCGCTCACCGCAGGGGCTGCTGCTGCTGCAGGTGAAGAGTCGGGATGTTGGGTCCCAGCTCTCGGGGTTCGGAAGGTCCGGGGTGACGCGCCTCGCGTGTGTTTGAGACTGCGTGTGTGTGTTCGAGACTGTGTGTGAGACTGCGTGTATGTGTGTGAGACTGCGTGTGTGTGTGTTTGAGACTGTGTGTGTGCGTTTGAACTGCGTGTGTTTGAGACTGTGTGTGTGATCCTGTGAGGCTGTGCGAAACTGTCAATGTATATAATGTGTGTGATGCTGTGTACGTGTCGTGTGTGTGTCAAGAGTGTGAGGCTGACTGAGCGTGTGTGGCTGTCTATCTCATGTTGGTGGCTGGTTGGGTGTGAGAGAGGGGGGTGGGGGGTGGGCGATGGGAGAGGGGGGTGGGCGATGGGAGAGGGGGGTGGGCGATGGGACACGCGCAGAGTCGGTACTGCGAACCGACTGAGCGCACACGCCTCGTTTCCTCTTCACCTGCCGAGCACAACCCCGATAAAAGTCGCCACTTAAGTTTATTGATCGTGACCGGGAATCGAACTCGGGTGCCCGGGTATCGAACTTAGGTGCCCGGGTCCGTAGCGCAGCGCACGCTAACCACTGCACCACCGCTCCCCGCACCACCACCACCCACGCACCCAGCAGCAGCACGTGGGCGCGGCGGTGAAGGACGTTTCGTTTTATCTCGCACTTCCCAAAGGCATTGTAGCCTCAATCCGCGGGCCGCCTCCACCACCTACGCCGTCTGGATTTCGCACCGATGACTGCCGCTCTCAACTGCTTGGAAAGTTATCCCCTGCAGGACACCTCGCGCGGAAAATCAGGGGTGCAGGTGCTGCTGCAAAAACTGCTCATTGGGCCTCTGAGAGATGAAGATTTTGCTGATGCTGCTGCCGAATTGGGGGGGGGGGGATTGAGGGGTCGGTGTCACCGCCGCCCTAATTGGCATCGCCCATCTCCCCCTCGCGTCTCTTACAAAAAACTCGGTCCTCTGAGTCCACCACAACCATCACCAACAACCATCACGAACAACCACGCTCGTGATGAATTTGTGTAACATTTTAATGGAGCGTCGCTCAGTGGGAAAAAAGAGGCTGTAGCCGAGGGAGCGGGCCACGAGGGGGCGACAGTTGATACGGAGAAGGATCGAGGTGGAAGGAACACCGTCCCCTCTTACAGAACCCTCTCTCAACCCAGTTAGTCGGCAGTGGGAGACGCGGGGCCGGTGTGTGGCTCGGTTGAGATCGAGAGCCCCCCCCCCCGCCCCCCACCAAGCGGACTGGGAAGGCCTTCCCGCGTCCGGTGCAAGAACGGGCACGGATGTGGCCCATCACCCGGCCCGTGAGAGCAGCGGACGAGGGTCCAATGGACTGGAGATCCTTCACCGTGCGAGTCTACAGGGCAGGTGTCCGTCTGCTCACCTGGTCCTAGGCTATGGTGGGGGGATACCAATGGACGGGGGCACTGGGGACACTCACCGACGACTTGCCATCGATGGAGCAGTCGACACGCCACAAGCGAATTGCATCTCCGTCACAGCCATTTGAAATGTGGCAACCAACCCCCCAGTGGCAGCTGTCCCTGTGGGTGTCAAGCGAACTGGTGCACCAGCCTGCACGCGGGCCGACACGTGTCACAACGGTGCCCGCAGCTGGGCTCCAACCCAGCCGTCCCCAACACAAGAGCTGCCTCTCTGGGAATGACGTCGCAGTTTATTTTTTTATGAAACTTGACCTCTGCCGTCACGAATCAGTTCACGGGAAAGAATCAACTGGACATAGCTAAGAGTACAGTAGAAGATGGACATAATTACACCTTGTGTAAGCACAGGTCTGAAGCAAGCAACGAATCCTCACACTGGTGGGGAGGGGGCACAGAGCATCTGATACAAGCACACTACTTCGGATATGAGAGCACAGGAGTGCTTGCTCCCAAGAGGAATGAACAGGGCCACCCAGAGTGGGGGGGGGGGGGCAATTTTCTCCGGGACTCACAGAAATGAGGGCCCCACAATGGGCCTTTAGGAGGCCCTGGATGGGCCTGAGCAGACCGACATTCAGCTTCTACTGTAACGCCATGAACAACAAAAACAAACACTAAGAAACAACAACAGAAATCATAGTCAACAATACACCTCGCGGCAGGACAGAGGGGAAAGAAAGGAGCGGGTTTGGATGAGCGAACACCTGGCCAGTCGCACACCACGCGCGCCGGGCAGCAGCCGGACGGGCGGGCAGGCGGTAACATGCCAGAGGACACGGTCGCCGGAAAGATCCGCAGGCTTTGCGCTTCGCAGTGGACGCGAGAGGTTTTTTTGTTACGTGACCGTTTGTCAAAAAAGCGTAGGCCACATGTGCCGGCGTTGCGGTCCAAATTTGGAAGAAATTTACCTGCAACACCGCCTCCTGCTGAGAAAAACGAGTCTCGAGATGCGGCGGGGCTTTCCCGGGTACACAAACATCATCTGTCATAGCCAACCAAAAATAAACTCCAGCTCACTGCCGCCAGGTGTGGCGACACACTGGCTCCAACCGGCAACTGCCGGGTAAAGACCACTGTGGAGTAAAATGCGTGCGGACGCCAAGACAGCCAGATGCGAGTGTTGCGGTGGCACCGCAGTGTTCGCTCGTCCATTGAGCGCGGCTGGAGTAACCAAGGCATGAACAGTGCGGAATTAAGGCTCGGAAACACCGCCCCGGTTCCTGGGCACGCCGTCTGGGTCGGAGTTGGGGCGTCGGAGGGCACGGCGGCCTCGCTCCACGACCGCCGTGTCGCGTGCCACGCCGTTTATAAACGAACCCACCCGGCGCTCGTGGTGCCAAAGGCAAATTAACGCACGGCTAGCACCGTCTCCCAGGTGCGGCCCCATCCGCCCAGGTGAGCCACGGCATGGCACATAAACTAAAGGCCCTCTCTCTTCGCGATATCAAGGAGTAGAAACGAGGCTCGTTAACGCTCGCTTCTCATCGCCAAAAAGGTCGCGTTTCTTTGCTAACTGTTGGCCTCCTACTCGTGTCACTGTTTTGTCGTGCTGTTTTTCTTTTGTCTTCTAATTTTCATGTCCTCGTCCTGAAATTTTATCGCGACCGATCGTGCTATCGGGTTTTTTACGTCACTATGCCACAGATGGCAATGTTTGTCACATCAAAGTCTAAACCAGCATTGGTAATTCTCAGATGCAAATTGAACGCGATGTTTATCTGCCCTGTCATTGGTGACCGGGCCTGAGAATATAAACTCGCTGCTGCACGCTTTGAGAATCTAATTTCATCACGGGCAGCTGAAACCTGGATTCAAACCCAGGATCTCAACAGTGGCTTGCGGGGCAGTTGGCCACCCATTAATTTATGTAACTTTAATTCTACATTTGTCTCAATTTTATTTTACCCAGGACGGCAACTCGGACCGCCACCCGGCACACACCACATCCAGTATACCTCCTGCTACGGACCGTGGCTACTGCCAGTCTTGCACCACCTACCCCCAGTCTATAGGTGATGTGAGTCTCGGACAGGGGAACCGGGTTCCTCGAGGTGACCTTTGGAGGGGTTCACAATGGCCGTGCGCCACAAGGTCGCCCGCTCCCCTCGCTCCCGACCGGAAGCGGTGCTCGGTGTCTCTCACGGGCGAGCGTGCGGTGAGCCAGGGGCAAAATGCAGAAGTATTTTTTTTGTATTTTGGCGGAAAAACCAACGGCTAATATTTATAATAAACTTTTACAAGCACGCAAATGTCATCTCACATGACAACTTCTGCATTTTTGTTCAACAGTGTTTAAATTGAATTAATCTACGGAAAGTGTCCCTTTGTTTAGTTTTTATATATATGTATATATTCTTTTCCAAAGCATTAATATTTTTCTATGTACGTGTGCCGACACGGGACGGCTTAAGTTATGTTACGAGTTAAACTTTACATCGGTGAACACGCGTTTAATGGCTAGACGGCGTCGGCAGAAGGGAGCTTCCCGAGCAAGCACGCACGCGGGATGCGTGTACACGCTCGCTCCCGTGGCACAAGCGCGTTGACAAGTGCGGATGTGAACGCGTGCGTGTGAAGACGGGCGTGAACTCGCCACCACGCGCGAGCCAGCAGGTCACGGCGAACGAGCTGGAGTTCTTTCTCCCGGCCTGCTCTTCATACCATCGTCGCGCTCGTGCATGTGTGTGCGTGCGTGCGCACGCGTGCAGACAAAGTCACGTGTGCGGTTAAGTGGCCCCCGCGCAAAGCCCAGTGTGCAAAGCCAGCCGTGGAAGAACTCCGCGGAGGCACGGAGCTCCGCACTGAAAAGTGGGCGACGGCTCCCAGCCGACGCGGGACGCTTCACGACGAGCAGCACCGCGCGCGGGTGCCCGCTCTCGCACATACTGCGCTGCTCACTCGGCCATCGCCAGCTTGCGCTTGCTGGGGGGCAGCAGGTGCAGGGGCAGCTCCTCGGGCAGCTCGTGCCCCTCCAGCTTGACCTTGATGAGGTGGTTTGCGAGGGCGAACTCGTCGTCGTCCAGCATGCCGTCCTTGTCCACGTCCGCCAGCTTCCAGATGCGGCCGAGCACCGTGTTGGGCAGCTTCGACTTCACCATCTCCCTCTTGGCACTGGCGCCGCTGATCTTGCCGTCGATCGGCGACAGCGTGTAGAAGATCTCGTCGTAGGCCGGCTTGTCCTTGCTCACGACCCAGTCGGCCTCGTCGGCACCCTCGCCCGCGCCCTCGCCATAGCCGCGACCGAACGGCCCGTTCTCGGTGCCCTCGAAGGCGCCGCCGCGCACCGCCTGCGAAGGGACACGCGCCTCCTCCTGCCGCACGAGGCCCATGAGCCGTGCGATGTCCTGGCTCAGCATCTCGTCCACCTTCTCGAACAGCTTCGGCTTGAGGGTGTGGAACTTGGTGAAGTCCTGGTCCTGCAACTGATCCTGTGGGCGGGCAACACGGCGTACGCACACGGGGGAGGGAGGCGCGGGGGAGGGGGCGGCCGTGTAGGGGTCAGGGGTTAAAGGGCACTCAAGAGGTCACTGCGGCTGCAGCGTCACAAGGATGGATTCTTACAATAATTCCCGTTTAGGGCCAATTGCACTCCGGCAGAAGTTTCACTCGCTGGTGTTAATCATCACCACGCCTAAGTTCACCCAGAGAAGCCTCCTTTAAGCCCTTCATCTCCCGGAGCGGCATAGGTTTCTTCAAATCCCCCCCTCTGCCTCTGTCCACCCAGCAGTGTAAATGGGTTTCACCACAGTTGGTTGGTCGGCAGATCGCGTGTGGTGGGGTAAAAGTGTGGGCGCTCCCACGCTTGGCCAGCGTGGAAGAGTTAGGCCAGATGCCCTCCTCTCGCACGCGCGGAGACCCCTTCTGCCAGCAGTGGCGCGAGCGAGCGGTTGCAGGGGCTGTTACTTTACCCTCGCCTTTACCCCTTTCAGTGGCGGATCATGGAACACAGACACCGGGCCCCGTGGTGAACCAAGAACCGGGCGGGACAGGCGGCATGGGCGATGCTGGCACGCCCGGTTACCTGCATCTTCTTGAGGTTGGGGAAGTCTCCGGCGGAGATCTGGTGCTCACGCTCGATGCGCGTGTAGATCTCGCCCAGGTTGGCGATCAGTTCCTTCTTCTTGGCCTCTTTGCCGAACACGGCTGGCATCTCCTTGCGCAGGTGGCTGATGATGTACGCGTGCACCTAGGCAGGCACGCGGAGGACACGCAGTCAGCACCGGACCCGGACGATTGTGCCGCCAAAGACAATGCCCCCCACCACCTCGCACCCTTCCCCCATTGTGGCTATGTGTTGCGGCCCTGGTGCAAGTCAACAATCTTGTTTTTGTGGAGTCACCGATTAGGAAAACGAGTCTAAAGTGTGACGTCTACAGACCTGCTTTCCCTATGACCACGTCACCTGATAGCGTTAGAGCTCAGAAGCTAAGCAGGGGTTGAGCCTGGACGGTGCTTGGATGGGCGACCGCTGTGCATAACACAGGTGTAGTAGGCGGCTCCTACTGATGCTGCTGCCCTATGAGGTTGCGTTATCAGCAGAAGGCAGAGCAAAAATAGCCATTGTACCATACTAGGCTCCATTATCTATGCTCCCCACCTTCAGCTGTGGCGGTTGTGCGGAATATTTGACCACGTTGATCAGTACCAGTTGGTGAAGGGGGCAGGGGAAGGTCAGGCCAGCACCGGTTCAGATATCACTCTACACGGCTGTGAGTCATAGCCAGGAATCGAACTCGGGCCACTGGGTTCGCTCTGATCTGCTGGCGCAGACTGCGAATTCAATTCCGGAACATCAGAAATGAAGCAGACAATTCACGAGCGTGCAGCTCGATCAGTGGGTTTACGGCACACGGAGGCAGGGGCCAGCACAGGGCTCTCGCCTGCTAACGTGCTTGGGTGAACAAACAAACGGAGTCCACAATGGTCGTAAAGGTTCGCCCCAGCTGCAAACCCCCAGCCACGTGAACGAGGACCGCAAAGGCAACGCAGCATCAGCTGACGCAGTTCTGTTAACATTTTAATTTAAAGCGAGACATGATTTCTCGGCGTGGAAGTGGTTTAGACGCGCGGGCACACATGCGAGTGAGGGTGGTGACACAGTGGTGAGATGTTAACTCCCTCCTCGCCTGGTATTCAGGAGGTCGTGGGTTCGATCCCGACCCTGCCGCCTGCATATTTGGAGTTTGCATGTTTTCCCCATGGTTGTGTGGATTTTTCTCCGGGTCCTTCGGTTTTTCCCTCCACATTTCGAAACATGTATTTAGAGTAGTTCGCTGCTATAAATTTCCATATGAGAAGCCACTTTGTTGAGCTATCATTTGTGGCCAGGTCGCTTCTGAAAAAGAGCTATATAGCTCGGTGGGCCCTTGCCTGGTAAATAAAAAAATAGTTTAGTTTAGTATTGACACAGCCTAGTGGGGCGTTCGCCGCCTATGCCAGCGGTTCACTAGCAAGGGACCACGTGAGCATTTGTTAAACGTGGCTGGATGCGGTGCCACGCATCTGGAGATGCGGTGCCATGCACCCGTGATCCGGAGAGGGCTCCACTCCACTTTACAAGCTGCTTCGGGTTTTATTCCCTCATCTCGCCCGATACAGCCGCAAAAGGAACTCAATCATTTACGTTTTTCCATCCACTTCAACCGTCTACTCTCGACAAAAGCATACTTTCTGAACAGCTCATATAGTAACACTTTGTGATTGTTGAAGGGGTTGTCTGTTACGAGCTACAAGTAGGTAAGTGTTTATACGCCTATTTGAAAACTGCTCATCGGAAGATATTTTTAAAATATAATTCTCATCTGACCCCATGGTGTAAACAAGTTGCATCTCCAACTCTCATTGTCCAACTCGAAATCTCTGTGGCTTACCAATCTGTCATGAAGAAGGATCATCGCCCGAAACGTCTCCCGTTATATAATGTTCCTTTCAAGGCCACACGCACACAGCGTTATTGAAATGGAACGCGTTGCATTTCATGAACAATGACACCTTGTGGGCTATCAGGTGTTTTCCTCAATCGTACAGTAAATTCCTGCAGCACACCCCCCCCTCACCCCGGGCACAGAACACACCACGAGCGCGTGTGTCTGAGCATGTGTGTGCGTGGAGCGGCAGTGCAGAGGTTAGCGTGCTGCGCTACGAACCCGGCGACACGAGTTCGATTCCTGCTCGTGGCAAACAGCAGTGACAATAATCTGAGCTGGTCCTGGGCCTCCCCCCTCGGTCGACTCAGCCTCAAATGAGTACCTCGTCCGGTGTGTAAACAGCTCCACTCGGGAGACAAAGGCGGTCAGATGCGGTGCTGGCCAACCACCCCCTCTCGTGTGACGTGCCGGCCTTCATAGGTGCTACTCGCTAACAGCACTTGCCCCAGTCTGTTAAGGCTACACGGGGGATCTTTGTCTTTGTGTGTGCATGTGCGATAACAACACTGCACTCCGAGTTGGCGCTGCGTCGGAGAGGAAAACGCGTTGCTCCCTCCGATCTCACGCCCAGCTCTCGAGCCCGGTCGCAACCGGTCAGGGCTACGCCAACAACTTCACGGCGCCTGGCGTGTCGAGTTGATGGAAAGTTGCAAAGTTTTGATTTTTTTCTGTTTGTTTAAGAAGTTTCAGGAGAACCGATGATGGATGCTCGCCAAATCCTGCGGCAGTAACCGTGCGCGGGAAAGGGAGTGCTTACGACAACAAGGTTGTGAACAAAATGATTCCCCACTTGCGGAACACATTATTCACGTCTTGCCAGTTCTGTGTCTGTTTAGTTTTACGTGACAAATGGAACCATTTTTGTCGTTCCGAGTGAAGCCAGGAACGTACACACGTGCGCACACATACATAACCACGCACGTACACACACACACCGAGGTACCCCTACCCCCCCCCCCCACCCCTTGTTGTCGTATGGATTACAGAGGCAAGTTCTGTCAGAGAGCACCTATTAAGGCCGAAATGCTGCACATGGGCGTGGTGTGGACTGGATCACGGACAGCCACTTTTGTCTCTCTTGTGCCGATGTTCAGATACTTTGATAATAATAGGTCAACATTTTATCCTTAGTTTAACACGTATGCTTTCGCGACCAGTATTATTCGCGATTCTGGCAAATCGCCCGAAGATGCTGGATGTAATTACCAGCGAAACGTCGAACTCAAATTCTAAATGTTGTGGATTCACTCTTCAAACACACCAGTGGGCTGAAGAAGTAACTAATTGGCGTTTTGTTAACGTGACACATTTTTTACTGATTGGCCGTGTCGGGTGGTGGAGGGTTGCGACACATTTATACTTACGCGATCTAACCCAAAAACTTTTATTCTGAATTTTCTCCTTAGTCTGAATACGTTCTCTGATCCTCAATATCTGTTTCTCTTCCTCTCGGTGTAATTCCAAGCATGCTCCCTCCAAGCCTCTTCACCCACTATTCAGTTTTTGTTCCGTTCTCAACGTCGATGTTTCTAAACCGCATGTCATGGCGACAGTACACAACGATCAATGAATCCGTCTATGTGTCTATCTGCACACACGCGGACGGGCAGACAGAGTCAGATGGACAGTCAAAGGGCTGAACAGATGGATGGATATAGATGTATAAGACAAATTCAGGTGGACATTCAGATGGACGGATGGACAGGCAGACGGAGAGATGGAAATATGGACAGTCGGTAGGATGGACAGTTGGAGAGACAGACAGACGGGTCAGACGGACGTTCAGATGGACAGCCCGACGGCCATGATCAGCCCGACGGCCAAGATCAGCGGTTCTCCCACCTTGGCGAGACGCGTCCTCTTGATGAGGTCGTTGAGCTTGCGCAGCGCGGCGTTGCGTGGCAGCGTCTGGATGTCCTTGAAGAGGTCCTGCTCCTCCATCTCGAAGAGGCGCCGGTTGTCGGGGATGAGCAGCGGGTTGGACCAGAAGGAGCCCATGTAGACGCGCACCACCTCAGGGGTGTTGATTACCTTGCCCAGCGACCACATGAGCGCGCCGTAAACGCGCATCAGCTGCTGCGTCTCCACCTGCGGCCCGCGGCAGTGAGAGACGGACGGATGGGGTGATTAAACGGACGGATGGACGCACGGACGGACGGACAGACGGGAGGACAGAGGGAGAGTTGGATTGACAGATGGACAGACGGATGGTGGGCGGGCGGGCGTTTAGAAGCATTCACGGATGGATAGCCACAGTCATCTTTAATAACAGCCAAAGTAAAAAGGTATACTGGATGTGGTGTGCAGGCTGAAGAAATATTTTCTGGGTCACCGACATGGCCCTGGTCTCAAAGACCCAAAGCCTTATATAGACTCGTGTAGCAAACCAGGGTCTAACAGAGGGAGTCACTTCTCACTCGATACTTGCCAGAAGACCTGAGTTGGTCTAAAAACAGGATGGTAGTGGCACGCGACTCGTAGTAGCCACAGCCATAGCGAGAGGAATATTGGACGTGGTGTGCCGGGAGGGGGGAATATTTCCTGGGTCACTGACCCAGACAGTCCGGATTGGACTGTCTGTGTCGCGTGTTTGTGCCGCGTGCCGGCAATCCGTGACTCGCCGCTGATTGGCTGCGAGCGGGATGCAGGTCAACCACGACTCCATCTCCCGAAACACCCGGCTCAGAGCCACGGAGCGATTCTCCACGCTTCCCGCTTTCCAGGAATAACGAGCGTGTGCCGAGGCTATACACCCACATACACACATGCACACATGCACACATGCACACATACACACATGCACACATGCGCAGCATGTGCCCGCGGACGCCACCTGCACAAACACGAGCACACACGCTTTGCACCGCCCACACCAGCTGTAGCGGTGGTTTTTAAGGTGGTTATGGTGGCGGTGATGGCGATGGCCATGTGGGGTGGTGGTACTGGTGTAATGGTGGTAAAGGGGTGGCTGTGCTAGTGGTGGTGCCTATGGTGGTGGTGGTGGTGCTCGTGGTCAAGGTGCTGTCCCTGTTGCTACTGGTGGTGATATGAGGAGTGGTAGTGTAGCGGTGAGCACGCTGCACTATGAACCTGGTGACCCGAATTCGATTCCCGCTCATGGTCAACACCAGTGACGATTATTTAAACGGGTCCGGGCCTCCCCTAGATCGACTCAGCCTCAAATTAGTACCTGGTGCAGTGTATAAACAAGTAAACCCGTAAAAACAAAGTTTTTCACTATAAATCCTTTATATGCGTGGCGGCTCGAGTTCTCGTCCTCTGGCTTGAGATGGCTGCAATCTATGGGTCAGATTATTGTCTGCCAGTATTAAGCAATTGGTAATTAAATATTTAATTAGTTTTCCCTAAACAGTGTAAAATTTTGGAAAAAAAATTTCACGAAAATTAATTGTCACACACAACGAGTCTGTGTGGAAAATGTCAGCTCGATTGGATCACGGGAAGTGGGTTAAAAAACGAGCGAAAGATTTGCACGGTCCTAAGCAAGCAAGCCACCTTAATATAAAGGATTTAAAAATATATTCGCCTGTGGAGGACGCGGGGATCGATCCCGCGACCTTTGGCATGGGAAGCGAGGGCGCTACTAACTGCGCTACTCCACCACGGCCTGTGGAGGGGTTACGCTCTGGGCTCTTGCACTGTGATGTTCAGCCAAAGCCATGAATGCGTTCTATTTGAATATATGTAAAATCAAATTTTTTTTGCCTAAAAAGTGTAACATTTTGGGAATTTTTTTTCACGAACAATAATTGTCTGGCACAACGAGTCTGTGTGGAAAATGTCAGCTCGATTGGATCACGGGAAGTGGGTTAAAAAACGACCGAAAGATTTGCACGGTCCTAAGCAAGCAAGCAAGCACGCGAACTTAATATAAAGGATTTAAAAACATTGCCACTGGGGAGAGAAAGGCGGTCGGGCGTGATGTTGGCCACCCACTCCCTCATGGACTGTGCCGGCCTTCATAGGTGCTCGCTAACAGCACTTGTCCCAACAGTCTGTTAAGGCTATACGGGGGATCTTTGTCTTTGGTGGTGATGTGCCAGTGGTCATGCTGCCGATGATGGCGATTGGGCATGACGCGACCACGCAGTCATCGGCACAACTCGTCACCATGACGATCCAGCTGTGCCCCCACCCCCACCCCCACCCTTCGTGGTGAGGTGGTGGTGAACACCGCTGCCTTTGTTATGGAGCGGCTGCATGCGGAGAGCACCTGCAAGTTACTCGCCGCTGGAATGCCACGCGAGGCAGCACAGCAACACCGCACACATGTCCGCCCTAACCTGTAGTGGCTGGTAGTGCCGGAACAATGAACCACCACGCCTACCACCGAGATTTCATTGTTATGATCATTCCAGATAAGGCGCTGCGGCTTTGCGCAATGCGTCCTTCCGGTTAGAATAATAACAAAAACAACTAATTTACATCAATCTGTCAATCCGCTCCAGAAAGAATGCCTCACCACACCGTGTAATGTTTTGGGGGGTTTTTTTGGTCATATTTCACCACGCTGGCCAGTGTGTCTTGTGTTTAAATTAAACATTTTTACAGATCAGTTTAAAAGTATTTCTCACTACGTTATTCCGAATGCAGCAGGAGCACGCACACAGGCTTGCGTGTCATTTCCACGAATCGTCTCGAACAACCGTTTCACACGCATACGATTTGGTGCACGTCGGCGTGAGCGCGAGTAGAAAATTTAACCTACGAATCGCTCCACGGCCAATTACCTTCAGGTCGGTCCTACGGGGCTCCTGCAGTCTCTGGAGTTCTCTCGCCTGGTGCAGCAAAATCAACTTGCAAAACCTGCCTTGCGCACTTATCTCCCAAAAGCCAAAAACGCGTCTCTGCCAGGCCATGTGACGGTGCTGCCAGTCACAGATGTAAACCCACTTGGATTAAATTTCGATTTAAAGCTTTCGTGACTGCAGGGATTAGTTGATAAAATCCATCATTTAGCTCACGATACGTTCACCGGACGATTCACGTGAAAATCACGCAGTTACAATTGACGCAAATCATATGCTCGCATTACGCTTAGGCGAATTAAACCAAAGTGTACAAGCGATAAAAGAGCAAAAACGATATGAATGGGACGGCGCTAACATCACTAAAATAATTGATTTTGGAAACTGATGGCTGTTGGAGGGGGAGTGGGGGTTGGAGGGGGGTCATTACATGCTGGCCAGGCAGAATGGGGGGGCAAGGGGGGGGGCCTCATCACCTGGCTGAACGCAATGGAACCGTCACATGGATTTTTCTCCAGGTCCTTCGGTTTTTCCCTCCACATTTAAAATCAACATCCCGCGTTTAGAGTATTTTTAGCAGCTATAAATTTCCACACAATGAAAAGCGACTTCCTCAAGATATCATGTGGGCTAGGTCGCTTCTGAAACAGAGCTCTATAGCTCAGTGGGCCTTACCTGGTGTAATAAAAAAAAATGGTTAAGTTTTCGTCATCGCCTGGACACAGAGAATGGGCCGGAAGGAGCCCTCAGTCGCGGGCTCCACTGTGCAGCAGCCCGCGGCGCATGCCTTCCCTCCCTCCCTCTCCTTACCTGGTCGGCCTTGTTGAGCACCACGCGGATCTTGTCGTCGTGGCCCTTGAGCGCGCGGATGACCTCGGAGAACTCATCCGAGATGTCGAGCTTGTGCGCGTCGAACAGCAGGATGATGCGGTCCACACGCTCGGCGAACCACGTGAGCACCGCCGTGAAGTCGTAGCCTGGGGGGGTCGTGGGGGCGCACGCACGGCATGAACGTCACACATGAACCAATACCAATACCCGCCATTTGCCACTAAGTGACGGTGACATCACCACAACGCCAGGTTAAAGCCAGGATGGATCGTAGGCATGCCAGCCTGAATGTTTCTAACCGGTGCAGATGTTCCATTAGAGGGGTCCAAGCATAGATAAGGGAGGGCATGACTGTGGCCAAGAAGACCCGAAGCTTTGTGCGGAGCGACAGACTGGGTAGCTTCCAAACAGCATTGTGCAGCTGTTGAAAAGATAATGCCGCCCCAACTTATTCGGAGTGAGACCTCTGCTGTCAAACCGGAGCAGGTCATAAGCACACTGCCCAGGTATGGGAAACTCTCCACTCTCTCCACAACTGCTCCATCACACATGAACGCATGCGAGCGCACACACGACATGAACGTCACACGTGAACACAATACCATATGCACAGCACACACACGGCATGAACGTGACGCATGAAACACACATGAGCACACATGGTATGAACATCACACGTGAATACACGCGAGCGCATGAATGGCATAAACTTTCCACGTATCTTCTTTGAATCGTTTTTAGTTGTATGTTTTTCCACATTGTTAACTGTTACGTAATGTTTCACACTAATTAAATGGGTTTTTTTTCTGTATCGCTTGATATTCCAACCACACACGCGACGGCTGTGTTGGCCCAGAATCATGTGTGCACTGTACTCTGCGGCCGTCACCCAAGTGTCACTTGAGAAAGACGCTCAGTCTTACCTGGTTCTCACTCACCTGGCTTGTATCTGACTTTCACCTGGCCCTCACCTGGCCTGCTAATGGCCCTCTCCTGGCTCTCACCTGGTTCTCCCACGACCCTCACCTGAATCTAACTCACCTGGCCCCCACCTGGTCTGCATCTGCCTCTCTCCTGACTCTCACACGGCCCTCACCTGGCACTTACCTGGCGCTCACCTGTATCTAGCTCACCTGGCTCTCACCTGGCCCTCGCCTGGTCCTCGCCTGGGTTTAGAACACATTTTTTGATGTACTGCATTGGCAGTAGTGCAGGGCACAAACTACAAAATCTTAATACATTCATTACAAACACTGCCGCAAACTAAAAGGTGACATCTTTCACAATGGCCCTTCTTCATAGCGATGGCCCTTCTTCATCCGATTGATTGGTTCCAACTGCGAGCACCCACTTGTCTCAGGCAGGCTCGGAGCGGTAAAGTAACAGCATGATAGTGCAACTCAAAAGGAAATAAAAAAAACAACATTCACACAGCAGTGAGGCCAACTTGATGGCGGATAAGCTCGTGCAAAGAGCCTGGCAAAATCGCCGATTGAGGGGAACATGATTGCGCCACAGCAGCCATAGCAGCCTTGTGTTTATCGCGTGCAGACGAGGGGCAGGGAACCACCGCTGCTCACATGCACTTAGAAAACGAGAAGAGCAGCGGCACACCAACCAGCACAGCAACCAGCACCGCAGCAGTACACCATCCAGCACAGCAACCGGTACAGCATCACAGCGACCAGCATAGAAGCAGGACTTCGTTTCTCACTGGATATGTTATGAGTTGCTGGTCGACTGGTGTATGCATAGTGCTAGTAGCCACAGCCATAACGATAGGTATACTGGACGTGGTGTGCTGGGTGCGTAAATATTTTCTTGGTCGCCGACCCAGACAGAGGTGACTGAAATTACACTCTGGTCAGATGACTTAGGACTCGTGGGTGGTTGAGTAGTCGGTTAGGGTCAGGGGGCAAGCGCTACTGGCTTGGTTGACTATTCAGTTAGGGTCCGTGTTAGAGTGAGTAGCAGTGGCTGGATTGTTGGCTGGTCAAGATTAGGAGTAGAGCTAGAACCAGTGGAGTGGCTGGTTGGTTACTGTTGGGAGTAAAGCCAGTACCAGTAGCTGGATGGCTAGTCGGTTAGGGTTAGGCGTAGAGGTTGTACTCGTGGCTGCTCTGCGAGGGTTAAGTACTCGTAGCATTTAGTTGGGCATTGCGCCGAGCGTCCAGACTTCTCGCTCCTCCTCCCCGATACTCCACACAGCCCCTCCGCGGTTGCTGGTGTTGTTTACAGCAGCATCGTGACCTCGCGGAACAATCACAGTCACACGGCACATGCCTCACGGTACCGCCAGCGTGCGGCATAGCCGTTCGAACCCACGCGCGGAGGTGGCCCGGCGCACAGGAAATATTCAAGTGGTGCTATATTTAGTTTCGTCTTTAAGATTTTCCCAGTCACGCAAAGGCTACATTTCATCCTCGGCGCCCCCGTCACACCCAACGCCGTCACCATCCTTCCGGCAAAACCTCTGCCGCACGAGCGATGCAGGTAATGGCAGGAAGGGGAAGAGGTGATCCGTGGGAATTCCAGCATCAGTGCCCATCTGCTTATCTCCTCTGCGCTGCCACCGCTATTAATACAACGGCCACACGTCTACCAGGATGGGATAACATCCAAGCCGCAAGGCGGCACAGGAAGTGCCAACTTTGTTTTCCACGCGGCGCCAACGTGCGTTCCCCCCGTCCGGCGTTTGTGCGGCGGACGTCACGGTTGTGATCGAGAACGTTGCGGAGGAGCCAAACATGGCGGCGTCGCCGCCTCTGTGACCTCTCTGTGGCTGGCCGTGATTTACATCCGTCAGCAGAACGGTCTCACCGAGAGCCTGGCTCTGGCCGATGCTCTCCTCGCTGTGCACTCAGATTTGTGCGGTTGCTTTGAAGGTCTTTGGGAGCGATCGCCCCTACCTCAGCTAAGAACTGGGGCCCGTGTGTGTCAGGATGTGCATACGCCAACCACCTTAAATGAGCAACTGGTGCAGTGTGTGATAAACATCAGCACTAGAGAGACAAAGGCGATGAGGCATGATGCTGGCCGCCCCACCAACACATGTGTCACGTTGGCCTTCGTAGATGGCTTGCTAACAGCAGTATCCCGAGCAGCCTGTGCACAGAGAATTCCGGACTCGGATTGGCCTGTTCAGCCAATCTGCGCACTCATCAAAACCCAACAAAATGACAAACGTGCCATGGTCATCATCAACTATGATGGACGAACAAGAGAGAGTGTGGGCTACACGGGGCATCTTTGTCTTTGTTCTGTGTGTACCCACCTCGGCTGAGGCGCTGCTTCTCTCCGGACAGGATGCCCGGCGTGTCGATGATGCTGATGCTCTCCAGAACGGGGTTGGGCATCTGAGCGCACATGAACCTGCGAGAGGGCAGGGGTCATGCGGGCACACACGTCCACCATTACGGGCAGAAAGCAGCAATACCTGCGCGATATCGCTTCGCAAGTAACCGCAACGGAACGCAACCTGAAAAGTACTTAAAAAAGTGTGGAGGAGGAAGCCAACTGGGGAACACAGCAGAGTGTGTGTGTATCCAGGGCAGTTACGGAAAGTGGGCCAAGATCAAAACGATGACATAACGAGGGGGGGAAAGAAAGCCGTTTGGAGTGATTTTGGAAAGCTTATTAACGGAAAACAACATCACAACGTTGTTACAGAGGAACGTGTGAATGAGTTGGTACGTTACGTGCTCTGACATACGGATCACAAACAGACATTGACAAATCAAGCAGAGCGCACAGTTGAACGTGATTATAGGAGGGAAGCTGACAACCTGGTGACCTGGTGTAGCCAGAACAACCTGGAGCTTAATGCTCTAAAGACCGTGGAGATGGTTGTGGACTTCAGGAAGAATACAGCCCCACTCACCCCCATCACCCTGTGCGACTCCCCAGTGAACAATGTGGAGTCCTTCCGCTTCCTGGGCACTATTCTTTCCCAGGACCTCAAGTGGGAACTGAACATCAGCTCCCTTATCAAGAAAGCTCAACAGAAGATGTACTTCCTACGGCAGCTGAAGAAATTTAATCTGCCAAAGACAATGATGGTGCGCTTCTATACAGCCATCATTGAGTCCATCCTCACCTCCTCCATCACCATCTGGTACGCTGCTGCCACTGCCAAGGACAAGAGCAGACTGCAGCGTATCATCCGCACTGCTGAGAAGGTGATTGGCTGTAATCTACCAACTCTTGAGGACTTGCACACCTTGAGGACCCTGAGGCGAGCGAGGAAGATTGTGGACGATTCCTCTCACCCTGGATACTCTCTGTTCCAGATACTCCCCTCCGGCAGAAGGCTGCGGTCCATCAGGACCAAAACCTCACGTCATAAAAACAGTTTCTTCCCATCCGCTGTTGGCCTCTTCAACAAGGCCAAGGGCTTAAAATTACTTTTACACTTAAAATGACTTTTACACTTACTATATTTAGTCATACTTACAACGTGTTATCTTATTTGTATTTTTGTATTCTAAGATTGTATATTATGGCTAATTCACATTTTACATTTCACATTTTACATTGTCTACTTATTCATAATTTTAAATACTTTAGCCCGTTAGTATTAGTTATACTTTGTAACGTTAGTATAGTTAGACTGTATATCACCTATTCAAGTTTTTAAGATCGCTCAATGTTGAATGTATGCACCATCCGGCCATAGTAAATTCCGTGTATGTGTAAACTGTCATGGCGATTAAAACCGTTTCTGATTCTGACACAGAAGCGCGGAGACACACACGCTTGGAATGACAGCGGGAGACAGGAAGAGAAGCACGTGGATTAAAGAACACGTAGAGGGTGCGTCTCATTGACCGTGAGGATAGGTGGGGCTTTGCGCAGGACACGTGTCTAAAAGGGACGCTGGCCGGCGGTGGAGATTAAAGTCTGAGAGGCGGCCAAAGGAGGGAACGCACCCCAGTACGTCTACCGTGGAGATGGACCGACGAAATCAGCTCGTGTGTGCGGCGCTCATCCTTGTACTATATTTGATTCGCAAATTAAAAACACAATCGCAAACATTGTTCTGTATGTACATCAATCGTCGTATGATTACGATAATCATGATTCAATAATATTCGTGAAAAATATCAATAAGTCGATGATAATTTTTCAACATTGCAATTTAGCCATCCATCAATAGGTGTCACTCGTGAGCAATCTCAACCGACTCAACGAAAGGTGATCGTCAGCTCTCCAGCGCAGGTCACGCCCTCTGTCAAAAACACAACTCCATGATTTGGTGCGTTACTCATCCATGTGCCAGATTTGGTTCTCAAGTTACAAGCAGAAAGATAGACATCTCTCAAATGATCCACAACAGTATGAATTGCACTGCTTGTGCTGAGAAACAAGATTCTACTCTTGATTTAAAGTAATCTGCCCAAGCCTATTTACGTTACATGGAATTCATTATTTAACACCGGTTAGTGTTTGTGCAAGATTTTCGATTTCTCTTGCGATGACGCAGTTGATTTTTGAGACCGATCTCTATTTCCTCGTCCTGGTCTCTATGAGTTCTCACCTGGTTACAACAACACAAAATCAACTTGCCTTGATTTGTGCCACTGTAGTGTTCTCGTTTGTCTGCCCCGATTTTCAACAGCGTGCTTTTGTTGCAACCCAGATCTCCCTTGCAAGGCGGACTTTGTCTCAAAGGGTTCCTCTCACTTGGCTATAATATTTATGTACACAGTATATATACGTGTGTGGGTGAATGTACCTACTACGTGATATATTTTGGGGGTGTGAATATGTTTTGTAGGTGTGGCTTAGTTGACACAGCGAGTTAGATCAGTGGGCAGCACAGGTGGTGCATTTGCCGGTCATCTTGGTCAGTGAACCAATGGCACCTGGGTCTGTGCCGTGACCTCCTGCCAGCAGAACGGTGGCGAGAAGGGCAAGATAATATCTGCCTCGCCTGGTATACAGCAGGTCATGGGTTTAATCCCGACCCTGACACCTGTATATTTGGAGTTTGCATGTCTATCTCCCCGTGGTCACGTGGATTTTTCTCCAGGTCCTCTGGATTTTCCCCTCCACATTTAGAAACATGCGTTTAGAGTATTTGGTTGCTATAAATTCTCACACGAGAAGCCCATTCGTTGAGCTATCATTTGTGGCCAGGTAGTAAAATAAAAAAATAGTTTATAGTTTAGAACCTTGACACTTCACGCGTTCTCAAAGTGCACCTAGCCCGGTACAAGCGCTACGGTGACATCCCTGCAACTTAGTTATGCATGGCAGTTGTTGTTGTATACATAATGTACGTGAGCACATGTTTGTATGTTTGTGAGTATTGTAGGTGTGTAGCGAGGCTGATCGATGCCCGGGTGTGGTCGAGGGATGGCTCCTTATTGGTCAACCATGTTATGTGTATGCTGATGATCTGGTGATTGCTGCTCACTTAGAGGAGGAGTGGGAGGTGCTGCTGCTGCTGAACCTGGAGTGTGTCACCACAAAAACTAAGCACCTACCTGGCTACTTTGTGCCACCAAACACTCCACCCCCTCAGCTCCCTATTGGTGATGGAGCAGTTCTGGACAGAGTGGAAAGTTTCCCATACCTGCCACCACATGCCCTAGCAGTTTCTGTTTGGCCGCATAGAGGGGACTAAACGTGCACGACATTGGCTGGAGAAGAGATGGATTGATGCGATACGGGAGGATGTGGAGCTGAGTGGACTTGCCAACGACTGGTCCCAGCGGTGTCAAGATCGGCCTCTATGGAGGAGGCTCGTGAAGACGCTACTTGGGCAGTTGGAGGCAGTTGCCCTCCAGCAACAACGGAGGGCAAAGCAGCGATGCTCATAACAACGAACAGAGTGTTGGGCGAATAAAATGTAGCAAGTTGGCAGAGTAGGGGGTAAAGCTGGTGCATCTATCAGCCATCTCAGTCAGCCAACTCATGGCACCTGTGTCTATCCCGAGACCTCCTGTGAGCGAGCCTTCGACACTTCACGTGGCCTCAAAGTGCACCTCACCTGGCACAGGCGCCATGGCGACGTCACCATCACTTAGTGATGAATGGCGGGTATTGGTGTCTTTGTGTGTATGGGTGCTCGCTTACAGCACTTGCCCCAACAACGTAAAAATTATATGGCGGGGAGGTTCTTTGTCTTTGTGTGTATGTGGGTATGTAGGTGTGCGCGTGTGTGCGTTATGTAACTGCGCGGGCTATGGTTCCCATGGGAGGCACAACGACACCGCAGGAGGGCTAGTGAGCCTCGGAAACGAAGGGGAAGCAGATGGCACCTGTGGCTGGTTGTGAGTCAGCACAGGTGAGACTGTGAAGTCACAACTCACCATATTCACACCACCGTGCAGTCATTAGTCACCCGTGTGCTACATCCCGGCCTCACCTTTTATCAATGAAATCAGATTATCGTCCCAATGCAGCAAGACCCTCCCAAAAACTAGTGTTGAAACTCGGCGAAGATCTATGGGTAATTCAAGGGAGTGACTTTTTAATCTATACAAAGTGATCCGTTTTAAAATACCCCATTGATTCCTAATGGACCGCTTTGATGTCTTGCCTACAGCCAATTGAATGTTGAGAAAGAGATGGATCTGTTTCCGAGAGAATAGAGCGTTTAAAACAGTTTAATGAGCGCAGTGAGACTGGTGGGGGGAGATGTAACAAACAAAAAAGTTGCCTTCTCCGTAAATAAATTTCTCCCGAAAATGTCTACTGGGCTATCTACGAATGGATCGTCCTGTACGTAACGCCATGATCATGACGGGTGAATCGTGGCGTAGGGGTTGGCACGCCGAGTTAAGATTTTCATTCACTTGCATCGGGCACGGCTGACGACGAGGCGATTGCGCTGCTGCCGACTGCCCGCGCACCTGCGTGCAGCATTGTGCTGCCGCGGCGATAATCGCCGTTGTATTTTTCCAGGCACGCTACGCGATCGGCGACTATGACCGTGACAGCGATTAGGATGATAGGGTTGATGATGATGGTGGTGGTGGTAATGGATGCGTGTACTGTACAATACACATAGCCAAGACGTACAGGCATGACAATGGACTCGCTATGCTCTACCATCCGTAGAACACACACACACATACACCTGTGCAATCCAGGACTTGAGACTAAGATCCACCTTTATAGACTGCTGGGGGCAAGTGTTGTTAACAGGCATCAATACAGGCAGTGTTGTGGCCGACACCACGGGCGATCGCATTTGTCTCCCCATTGTTGATGCTTACACACTGAAGCTGAGTCGACCCTAGGGGAGAGGGCCCAGGACTAGTTTACATCCCTGGCCACTGATGTTAGCCGTGACCGGATATACAACTCAGGCTCTTAGGTTTTTTCGGTAAAGTCACGTAGGTAAAAAATACTTGATACAGCAA